AGGCCACTGAAGGCTCTCCCTGAAACACGACAACTTCCCTCTTTCCCCCTGTATTTGAACTCAGAAGGGAAGATGTGAAGTGTATCAATTATGTCTTGCTGACAAACATTTGCAGGCTCTTGGTTTTGTCTTTATTTTTTCTTAGCTGCAGCAAACACCCTCTAACCCAGAACTTCTTAAAAATCCTCGTGTAACTAAACAGATGAACAGAAAAACATGGATAAAGGGGCGATGAAATTGGTTGGGAACTCTCATTCTTTGTGAATCCCTGGCCGTGTGTAAATGGGTGCCAGCCATTTCATTGCTGTGATTTCTGACCAAACAAGAATTGCCTGTAATTTAATTTTCCTTGAATTTGAAGCACAGCCTTTTGCCTCTCTTTGATGCTGACAAATCATTGCAAGCTGTGAGGGATTGACCCTGACTTGAGAATCTGACAGTGGCTTGGGCAGCTTGGGTGGGTGGGTAAACAGTGGGGCAAACCACCAGCAGCACAGAAGTAGCTGCTTGGACTTCTGTGCTTGGAAACACGGCCTCTGAAACCTGGGAATGCTCCTCCAAGGGCAGGGAGATGCAGCTTTGGAAGTTGTGGGGCCACCTTTGGCTGCATTTGGAGAGATGGATTGATAAAGGAAAAAACCTTTGTCTTATAAACCCTCAGGGTTTGTAACACTGAGGGAGAATGTTCATAAGGATGTTTGCTTCTGTAATTTAAGTGTTCTCCCCTCCTCACAGCCCAGGAAAAAGCCTTCCTTGCTCATGTTCCTCAGTTTTCAAGCTTTCATTTCAAAGTTCTTTCCTCACCTTCCCTTTCACCTGGTGGAGGAGCCAAACCCAGCAGTTGTGTCCCAGTGAAGTGCTGGGTAACCCACAACTCTCCTTGTCCCTTGGCTTCCCAGTATTGCAGTGGAGGACTGATGGCCCTGAGGCTGTTCCTCAGCCCTCCTGGGACCCTGAGCTCTCCCAGAACTGAATCTTCCACCACTTGCTGATGAAACCCATTAAGCTGAGTAAGAAACACTCCAATTCTTCTGTCCAGGTCGTGTTTCTGAGGAATGAACCCGACCTTTTGTCATGCCCTGGGGTTTTGCTGAAGGTCCTTGGATGCCTTATCTTTGCTTCCTTTGGTGCTGCTCCTTTCCTCCTGCTGTAACAAAGTTTCCTTGGCTGCACTTAATCCATGTTTTCACTTATTAACTGTGCTCCTGAATGGTTTTGTTTCCAGAGGTTGTGGTGTCTGATTCCTAACACGGAACTGGGAATTGTGAGTTAGCAAAGCAGCTCTGAAGGCCGGCTCAGTTACCTTTAGATCACTCCAGTGCAGCTTGAATTGCTCCCAGTGCTCTTTTGAAATAAAAATGCAACATCCAGGGTACATCACTTGGGTTTCAGGTGTCTGTTTTGTCCTGACTGTTTCCTAGAGCAAACTTTGGGAATAGGTGTTCAGTTTGGTGAGGCTGTGCTGTAATCCTTGTTCAGCTGGGAGTTTTAAGTCCCATTTTAGTGGACTTAACCAATCTACAACAGTAACATATATGTGGACATTTACTCCCCCAAAATGGCCATTTCCTCCACAGGAACTGTGTTCTCAAAGATATGACAGATGAGTTGTAATGTGCATTCTCACCATTTACTTTTTTTTTGGGTTGGTTGGTTTGGTTTTTATTTTTGTGGAGCAGGAGAAAGGAAGTGATAAGGGAAGGAGAACTGGCCTTTTTTGGGCTCACGTTTGGTCAGCGTGAATTGATTTGTCTCCACCTGCTGTAGGACAGATACATTTTTATATAAAGTATGAACCATTTCTTTAATAACTGCAGAATAAAAATGTTATGTATCTGGAAATTATGCATTAGGTGATGTTCAAGGCATCATCTTGGTTACATTGTAGCTTTCTTGTTCCAGTGAGAGCTGTTCACTTGGAAGGTTGGGAGGTTCACTATGTGTCAAAATGACAGTACAATAAGTTATATATTACTTATAGAATAAATTATTTTATCTAACTGGAGCCCAAAATATGAAAATACAAACACATAACAAAATGTGATAGGGCTGACTTTTAAGAAGGAGTGGTGGTTGTAATTTCAAAAAGATCTTTTTTTTTTTTTTTTTTAAATAGAAATCCCAGAAATAAACTCTGCCGTTGTCACCTTCGCTTCAGTGATGGGCAGTTGCTACTCTCGTGCTCCAGGCAGAGCCAGAGATAATCTGCATTTGTGGGCAGAGTTTTCAGGGTTCCCAGCAGTGTCAGTGGAGCTGAAAATGGTATTTTCAGGGTGGACCAATGCATTTCTTCTTCAATTGCAGTAGGAGAGCAGGTCACTCCCAGGAGCTCAGATCAAGCTTCAGGCTCTACTTTCAGAGGTGCATCCGAGGGGAAAAGGACAACAAAATCTCTCAGCTTTCAGGGAAAGGAGCAGGATTTGCATGTGGGAGGTCCCTGAGCAGGGTTTGCTGAGCGCAGAGCAGCTGGGTCAGCAAAGCATCGAGCCCGTAAATGAGTCTGTACTCGGGGAACTCCTCACTGCAGCTGCATCCCGGTTTCACCTCCTGAACTTGGGCACAGAGACCCCCAGGGAGTTTGAAATTAGATCAGACAGGGCTCAGACTACCAAGTGACACAAACCTCTCCTTCAGGGAGGTATTTGTGGGGAAGTTGTGATACAGCAGGACTGAGAAGGGTCAAAGAACAGCGAGTGGTCACTGAGCACCCACCTAACCCGTGGTTAATGATTATAAAGCAGGAATTCAACAAATCTGGGCTGTACAATAGGAGGTAAAGCATTTGGGGGTTACTTTAAATAACACTTCTTTTTTAAAGGAGCAGTTTGAAAACGTTCTTTCCCTCTGCAAAAACCTCCCTGCATTTTAAGCTACAAACTGCCTTGCCCAAATTTACAGGTGACATCAAGAATCCTCTTGAAGAAACTGGAGTTCTAAATGCTGCCAGCATTAAAATTAATAACTCAAGTGTCTCTTTGGGAGCAGAGTGTTCTTTGGGTGTATTAATTTTTAAAAATTTTCTCCGACATAGACTTAGAAAAACCCTGGACTCAACTGGTGATCAGTCTGTGTTCTTGTGTGGGAGATATTTTTCAGACTCAGTGGATGTTTCTGGAATGATGATCCTTTATCTGTGTAAAATACCAGAAGGTGAGGGCAGGCTCACCCAGTGTATAATTCAGAGCAGACATAAATCATCATAATTCTGAACTGTGCTGATCAACCCTGCACCTCAGTAGTTCTCCAGATCTAAATCTTGATTTAACTTGTCTGTTAAATGTGTTCATGTGCACTTCTCAAATAATAACCAGGTAACCTAGAGCTGTGGTCTAAAGGTTTAAAAAGCAGTTTATTAACTTTGTGACTCTTTGAGTATTGCAAAATTGGGGGGAAAAAATGACTTTGTATTCTTGATGCAGATTACTTGGGATTTATTTTTGTGACATGAATCTTTTCAGAGAAGATTTTTTTTCTTAGCCTGAAATACATTTTAGGTCTAGAGAATTCCTCTGTGTTGTGTATCAGAATTTATTGTATTCCATTTCAAAAGGGTTTGCTATTTCCATTTAAAACTCAGTACAGAGGTCCCTCTATACTTTTTGCTGTTGCTGTTTTACCAACTTATTCATCAAAATATTACATTGTTGGTTTCAAGATAGAGAAGATCTCTCAGAACTTAAATAAAAGCTGAGTTGACTTTCCCCCCATTTTACTGCCAAATTTTATCTTCCCAGCATATGGTTCTTCAGTAAACTGAAGTTTTAGAAGTAGTTTATTTGAATTTTAAACCAGGGAATGAAAAAAGTGCATTCCTGGCTAGGCAGTTGTAAACCCCAAAAATACTCATCACCTAAAAGGTAAATGACAAGTGATTAAGTAGCAAAGCATTCAAGTTGCAGAGATGGAGTTTGTAAGGGAGGTTTGAGATCACCTCAAAGAGAGCTCAGACCCTTCTGCCTCCCTCCAGGGAATAACAAGGGAAAAAGGGATCCATCCATTCTGCTAAAGTTGAGTTCAGACAGTGCAAAAGTCAGAAGGGTTGTGTTCCAGGAGCTGGTGGTACTGGCCAAAAACACCTGTGTGGCATGTGCTGAGGAATTCCCATTTTCACCATAGGATTCCCAGGAATTTTGTAGTAATTTCGTCCTAATATTTCACTGATTTTGATTGAATCCACATAAAACTATCATGATTTATAATGTGTTGGTTTTTTTTTTCCCCTGAAATTTTCAACAGGAAAAAAAAAAGAATATATCAAATTCCTTGATATCTTTGATTTGAAGGATGGTCTTGGCAACCAGTTTGACCTTTTCCTGGTAAACCAGATTTGCTTCATTATTAAGTTCTCTCCTACATCATACTTTGCACTCAGGCAATGGGATACATGATTTTGGATGCTGTAAATTTACTTGTCAGTAGTTGTGTTGTGTATTTGGCTCCGGGGAGCCTGTTCTCTGAGTAAATAGCACTGACAGACTGTGCCACTCGAGCAGTCCAGCCATCTGTCCTGCTTGCCATTGACACTCTGACGTGGATTTTAAGGAGATACCTTCAGAAAGGGGAAAGAGTGGCTTGAGACAGGAGCCCTTCAGATGTGTTTGGCAGGTGGAGCCCTTAGTTATGACCTGAATCAGTAATCTTGTTTGTTGTAATGTGAAGGTTTACTCTGATACTCTGTTCACTCGTGTGGTTTTTGAAGTCTTTGTCCTCCATTTTGCTGTCTCGGAAGAGAAGATTGTTTTTTTCAACTGTCTCTCCATTGAAGAGCAGCAAAATGAAGCTTTGTGTGAATGTTTGTGTACATGGGTGTAGAAAATGCAGACTTAGACTGAAATTCTTACATCACGTTAAGGAAGTTGCACACACATGTGGGTAAAATGGGGAAGCCTTGGTCATTCTTGGGGCTTACTCTCTGAAGGGATTGTTAATATTTGTCCTGCTCTGAGCTGTAAGATCTGTAGGTGATGTTGCACTCCTTTGACAGCTGTTTCCATCCTCAGGACTAATGGCAAAGGAGTGACCCAGCATGGCAGCTATGGTGCCACCAGTGAAGCTGAAATGGCTCGAGCATCTCAACAGCTCCTGGATCACCGAGGACAGCGAATCTATTGCCACGAGGGAGGGAGTGTCCGTCCTGTACGCCAAGTTGGTGAGCAATAAAGAAGTAGTGCCATTGCCCCAGCAGGTTCTGTGCCTCAAAGGACCTCAGTTACCGGATTTTGAGCGGGAATCTCTGTCCAGTGATGAACAGGACCACTACCTGGACGCCCTTCTTAGCAGCCAGCTGGCTCTGGCCAAGATGGTGTGCTCAGACTCCCCGTTTGCCGGGGCGCTGCGCAAGCGTCTGCTGGTGCTGCAGCGCGTCTTCTATGCACTTTCCAACAAATACCACGACAAGGGCAAGGTGAAGCAGCAGCAGCACTCCCCGGAGAGCAGCTCTGGCTCCACGGACGTGCACTCGGTCAGCGAGCGGCCCAGGTCGAGCACGGACGCGCTCATCGAGATGGGGGTGCGGACCGGGCTGAGCCTGCTCTTCGCTCTGCTCCGCCAGAGCTGGATGATGCCGGCGGCGGGGCCCGGCCTCAGCCTCTGCAACGACGTCATCCACACTGCCATAGAGGTGGTCAGCTCCCTGCCGCCCTTGTCTCTCGCCAACGAGAGCAAGATCCCCCCCATGGGTTTAGACTGTTTGGCACAAGTCACGACGTTTCTTAAAGGAGTCACCATCCCCAACTCCGGGGCGGATACTTTAGGCCGTAGATTGGCGTCGGAGCTGCTGCTTGGTCTGGCTGCCCAGCGAGGTGCCTTGAGATACCTTCTGGAGTGGATAGAGATGGCTCTGGGTGCTTCAGCTGTGGTGAACACCATGGAGAAAAGCAAGCTGCTGCAGAGTCCAGAGGGGATGATCAGCTTTGACTGCTTCATGAGTATATTGACCCAGATGCGACGGTCTCTGGTAGGTCCAGACCAGCTTTGGCTGAATGACAGTTTGCTCAATATGTTAAAAAAAGGGTTTTTTTTGTGAATTTTCCCTTTCAGGATTTCCTTTGTTACCCACCAGCTCTTTCTCCCCCTTCTTGCCCGCCTGTTTTCCTCATGGGTAAAGATGGAACAGCAAAGCAGCCCCTGTGTTGTCACTTCTGTCATTATGCTTTAACTTCAGGGAAAGAATCAAGGACATGCTTGATCCACTTGCACTTGTACATTGAAATTCATAGCCAAAAAGTTACAAAGTATGGAACTGTTTTTCTGGCTTGAATTTCAAACTTTTGCCATACACCTTGTTTCCTGTTCAGTTATTTTTATTGGACATTCCTGCTTCCCAAATTCACTTGGACCTCTGCTTATACATCTTTGGGACGTTCAGCATTTTTGCTGCTGCTCAGCAATTAATTTGATAAGAAAATGAGCTAAATTGGAAGTGTGGCACACTAGTTTATGTGTTGAGTGCTTGTGGTCCTAGATGAATATTCTTTTCAAAGCTATGAAATTATGGCACAGGATGCAATCAGAAGCTGTGGCAAACTTCTACCTCATAAGCTCAGACTGAAACAGAGCATGACTTTCCCTCACCTTGGTCATTCTTTTCTCCTCAGGCTTGTGTTGCTTGTTAATAAACATAAATTTTAAAATCTAAACAAATGTTAAAACATGGGGACGATGAGAAGAGCGTGACAGTGGCAGTACCTGAACTGGATTGTATGTGCTGATGGGCAGCTCTGTTTGGTGTTGGTTTTAGGCCAGATATGAAATTGGAGTCCAAAAGATGGAAGATACATAAAGATAAAATAATTGTCACTTTGAACACAAATAACATGCATTTCAGAACAAAACAGTATTAGGAGAAATTAACTCCGAACACAGATATTTTCACAAAAATGATCAGTAAGAATATTTAAGTAGCACTTGGGACACTTCTGTTTTCCTGAAGTGTGTGCAGATATCCCAGCTCAGGAAAAGGTGGTGTACTTTATTTATTAAAGCATGCCCAGGTCCCTGATGCATTTGGCACAGGTGCCCTGTGGCTGTCTGGGAGGATGTTTGTCACAATAACAACCTTTGATTGTCGCAGGGCTCGTCCGCCGACCGGAGTCAATGGAGGGAGCCAACCAGGACATCTGATGGCTTGTGCTCCCTGTATGAGGCGGCTCTGTGTTTGTTTGAGGAGGTATGTCTGGGAAAAACCACGGAAGGTCATTGTAGTTTCCTTCCCCCTCACTCGTGGGGTCGCTGGGAACAGGGGCTGCAGCCCAGTCTTGGCTGAGTTACTCTGGAGTAGAAGAGGGGAAAAAAAACCTGTGAAAAACTGAGATGTAACCAAAGTCACTTGGGCAAGCTCATGATGTGGTGGTGGTGATTTGTATTTAAGCAGAGAATCGTATTTAGGGGCAGTTAAAGGTGCATTAAACGTTGTCAGTGTGGGGAAGGAAACAGCGAGTGGTGCTTGTTTTCCAGGTGTGCCGAATGGCCTCAGACTATTCCAGGACATGTGCCAGCCCTGACAGCATCCAGACTGGGGATGCCCCCATTGTGTCTGAGACCTGTGAGGTGTATGTCTGGGGCAGTAACAGCAGCCATCAGCTGGTGGAAGGAACTCAAGAGAAGATACTTCAGCCCAAGCTCGCTCCGAGTTTTTCTGATGCACAGACAGTGAGTGACATTTCTGGGGGTACATTATGTGACATTCAGCAGCTTCATAACTAGTGTGGAATTGAGAAATGGGGCTTTACTTCTGAGGGTCAGCTTGTAATGAAGGTCTGATGCTCAGAACTGATCACACAACTTATTGAACTGGAAGTGTCACACACATAAATATCCCTGTAACAAGAACGACTGAATTTCCTGACTTTCTCTGCAGAGACAAGTTGGTTTGCCTGTAGGTTTTTTTTTTTGGTGGTGTTTCTTTGGTTTTGGTTTAGATTTTTTTACTGTTGCTTAAAAGGTGTCTGAACTATTCAATCTTCTTTTCCTTTGGTGGTTTTCACACCAAGGTTGCCTAGTTTAAAAGTCCAGACTGGGCAAACTGCTGACACAGCAACCTTAATGAGCGCCCTGAAAATGAATGTACCAGCTCTTCTGCTCCCAGTCACAGGTCCTGCCCTTGCAGCTGAGCACTCTTGTTGGTGCCTGGCACAGGACAGAACAGTTTGCTTTTCTGTTCCTACCTGGGCTTTGCAGTGTTGACTCAAGTAAAAGCTCTTTTTGGTCACTAGACAATCCAGGTGCGTTCTGTGCAGTTGTTTCTATTGACGTCACTGGTAGATTTGATGTGCCAGTGGACTGCAGGGCTGGGCATCACAGAGGAGTTTATGCATTCAGAAAACTTTCAAAACATCAGTGCACAAGAGTGGAATGTGAATGAGTGGTTACTCTTTTATTAGGACAGTAGACACCCATCCAACATATTTATGTGATTTTTTTTTTTCCCACTGTGATAAAGATTTTTTTCTTTAGCTTTCTAGCTAAAACAGTTGATAATTGTAAATTAATCCAACGATTGATAATTGCTTTAGGGTTGTCTGGATGTTAATTCCCATTAAATAGGGCAGTGGCTGTGCAGTCTGACACCTGTGTGGGGCTGTTTTCTGTGTGCCTTTATGATTCAGATTTGAACCTGCTTTGCACTTAAAGGTTCCTATAGCAAATTATTGCTGGGTAGTTGATTTGCTGTTGAGCCATTTGTCAACTGAGCTCTGACTTCCCAATAGAGGCAAGTTTTTATTTTCTTAAAAACTTTTAGTCTTATTTCTTTGATGTTTGTGTAATTAAAATATATAGAGTCAAATGAGAATGGAGCTTTAGCATGTGGCTTATTTCTGTAATGTTATCACTTGGTGCTGGTTAAAATCAAGGCAGACCTACAGTGCTGTATCAAGCTGTCACTTTTTGGTTTTGCTCTTAGCAAATGAAAATTTCCCTCAGTGACTGTTGGAGACCTGAATGCAGCCCAGTGTTTTTACACTGTATTGTTTGGAAAGGTCACATAAAGAAACCTCACATACTGTTATAAAAGTACAAGCTTCTAGGCCTGTAGGTGAATTTTGCATTTATTTAATCTCTGTGATTCACTGTTTGAACCTCTCCTTTGCAGATTGAAGCTGGACAATATTGTACCTTTGTCATTTCTACGGATGGCTCTGTCCGAGCCTGTGGGAAAGGCAGCTATGGGAGACTCGGACTGGGTGACTCCAATAATCAGTCCACACTGAAAAAACTGACTTTTGAGCCTCACAGGTCTATCAAAAAGGTGTCATCTTCAAAAGGATCCGATGGCCACACTTTAGCATTTACAACAGAAGGGGAAGTCTTCAGCTGGGGTGACGGTGACTACGGAAAACTGGGACATGGAAATAGCTCAACTCAGAAATATCCCAAACTTATTCAGGGTCCCCTGCAAGGAAAGGTATGTTTGGTATAGCAGAACACCTGGTTTTGTTCTGTTCAGTTGGGGTGTTGTGTAAAATGTGAAATATATAAAATCTTAAGAAAAACTGTGTGTTTTCTCGACTTCTCTTTGAAGCTGGGTCTGCTTTGAGTAAAACACTAGAACTTGTGGTTGCCTCTTGTGATCTGGACAGAGGCATTGTCAGGAAACCTTCTCACAGTCTGAAGGAGTGAAACATTCCAGGAAGGAGGGGGTTGCTTTTGGTACCTCAGCACCAGGATTTTGACTTACAACTGCTTAGTGTGGCTTCATCTGGAAAGTGGTTCTGTGTTGTCTTACAAGGCTTTCTTCTCCCTGTCTGTCTGTGTTTAAACATTCACTGATGCTTCTTTTTCCTCCTGTAAGACCAGGATATCATCATGTTAAGCTGCCTGATTAATAAATCATTAGCAGTTTTATATTAGAAACCTGCCTTTTTACGTACTTATTTCTACCATCCAAATAGGAACTAGGAAAGATTGCAAGGGTTCACTTCTTATGTGTGCATTTACTCCACATGAATGAACAAGTTAATTTACACAGATTTCTTCTGAAGCTTGGCTCCCAGGAGCTTTCAGACTTCCTGTTTGGTTTGGGTAAGAACTGAGTTTCTTTTTTGCCTGTGCTGCAGGTGGTTGTGTGTGTGTCAGCGGGGTACAGGCACAGCGCTGCTGTCACAGAGGATGGAGAGCTCTACACGTGGGGAGAGGGAGACTTCGGGAGATTGGGTGAGTTTCAAATTCCAGGGGATGCTTTTGGAGGAATTTCTGTGTCTGGTCATGATTCTGTGCATTTGTTCTCTAACTGTCCCCTCTAAATACACACATCATGCAGCTGTGTGCATAGAGCTGACTAGTGCAGAGACTCTTAAAAGCTTTTAATGCAGGTAATTTTACAAAAAAATTTTAAAAAATATCAGTGATTTCAAGAAAGATTGCTTTTATTCATAACACTACGTATGATTGCTAATGCTACTGAAATGTAGACATTTTAAATAAACTGGAATTCTGGTGTGGTGGGAGGGTGGGTGTAGAGGGGTGAGAGCAGGGAAGTGACGGGGCAGAGGATGAGGACAGTGTTTTACAGTTTTCCAAGGCAGTCATTGGAGGTGCTGAGCCTCTCCCTGCTGTGTCAGGAGAAGAACACTGGGTTAGAGGTTCAACTTACAGCTTTGGTGGGAAATGTGGCTAACATGGAGTTCTGGTGTGCTTTGGGGGTCTCGGAGTGGTGACTTCCAGTGCGCAGCTAAAAGGTGACGTTAATTTGTAAGTCGTTGATATTTAATCAGTTTTGGATGGGCTGTTCTTTTCCCCCTCTTCTCCATTTTTCTCCCATATCTACACAATTTCTGGAGTTTCTTAGAGATGGAATTTTTTCTGGGGTAGGAGATGCTGTGATGTTTGGTTGCTGCAGAAGGGCCCAGTTGGAGCTGTGAGTGTCCCCAGCCAGCTGTGGTGCTGCTGTGATTTGACTGTGCAGTGGTGACACTGTGCCCTTATTGCAGCTTGCCCTTGCTGCTCAGGAGACCTGCTGCCCACTGTGAGGAGGTGCAGCTGCTTAATCAACCACTGTCAAAGCCACTTGTACTGATAATTCCTTATATTTCTTTTCAGCGAGCTAGAAAACAGCCCTGGGATTCAGTGGCACCTTTACCACAGGTGGCTTCCAAACCTGACTGGGAACCTTCCCCAAAAAGTGGGCAGAAATTACCATTTGTGATGAGCACAGAACACACGTGGGATTTGCAGAATCTTATTGATTGCAAAAGACAAATAGAACTCGAAGCTTCACAGAAAGAAAAGTCACGTTTTTTCTTGTCCGCCACAGGTCACGGTGACAGCAACAGCCGCAACATTCCCACTCTGGTGAAAGACATCAGCAACGTGGGAGAGGTTTCCTGTGGCAGTTCACACACCATAGCTCTGTCCAAAGATGGCAGAACAGTGTGGTCATTTGGAGGAGGAGACAATGGTAGGTGAAAGTGCCGTTTGGGTTGTAATTTTCGGGTTGTTCCACCCGCCTCAGAGTTTCAGCGCTCCTTGCGCTTTGGGTCTGGGTTTTGTTTGGTGGCTGTACAAGAAAAGGATTCTTGTAACATCTAAACATAATGTTTGAAGTTTGACTGCAAGATTGTGGAGTTTTGAAAAGGATTGTGGGAGGGGAGGGGTTTCACAGAGCAGAAAGCTCCGTGAAGGCCTGAACAGTTCAAATGTAAATGCTGTGCTGATAACTTTGAAATGAATTCACTCATGGTATGACAGTAGCTCTTCACATCCTAGAAACTGTTGCATTTTAACTGCCTGGGATTAATAGTTCAATTTTAAAATACACTGTAACAAATATGTATTCCCTTAAGACTGTAATCCAAAGAGGAAAGGTTTTGTAAAAACTGTAATAGGTTTGAATTTTAAAAATCCACTCTGACATTTTTAGAAATCCCAAAAGAATTCTTTTTGGGGAACTTTTAATTGCTGCTTATCCGTGGAAAATACCTTACAGTTGTGTTTCCTCCTTTTGTAGGCAAACTTGGTCATGGTGATACCAACAGGGTGTACAAGCCTAAAGTTATAGAAGCCTTGCAAGGAATGTTCATTCGGAAGGTCTGTGCTGGGAGCCAATCCTCGCTTGCCTTGACATCGACGGGGCAGGTAGGCAAAAAACCAGGTGTCACTCCAAATATCAGAGTTGGTGAAGCTGCTGTGAGTTCACATTCTTTCAGCTTTTATTGTTTTGACTGTTGAGAAGATGTTCAACTAGTACTTTAATGACAGTGAAGTTCTTGATTAGAGTTTGAGGTTATGAATGTGCTGGAGTAATTCAAAATGTGCTGAAGAGCCACGTGAAAATACACTTCAAGATCCTTGCTTAGCCACAGAAAATGTATTATTTTTAGGTTAATAAAAACCACCAGTGGAAAAATCAAATTGGATCCAGGAAACAAAAAGCAGTGAAATGCTTGTAATTTTTAATACATGAACCAACTCAGGTGATTGGGTGATTTAATAGGGTTTTTTTAAATGTATGTGTATTTTAGAATATAGGTGTTAACTGAAAGCTTTATTTCTAATCTAAAAAATCTCAGGAGAGCTTGGAGATAAATACTGGGGTGGTAAATCACCATGTCATCCCAGTGCTGGGGGGAGGCAGGCACGGGATAGGAAATCCATGCTTGTGCTGTGTGGAGGGCCTGCCTGCAGTTGCTGTGCAGGTGCCATGCCGGGGATGGTGGATCCCTGTGCCCCCAGGGGTGGTGGATCACTGTGCCCCGTGCCAGGTGGAGATGGTGGATCCCTGTGGATCCCCGTGCCAGGTGTGGTGGATCCCTGTGGATCCCCGTGCCGGGGGTGGTGGATCCCTGTACTGGGAGTGGCAGATCCCCATGCTGGGAGTGGCGGATCCCCATGCTGGGAGTGGCGGATCCCCATGCTGGGAGTGGCGGATCCCCGTGCCAGGAGTGACAGATCCCTGTGCTGGGGGCAGTGGAACCCTGTGCCCCTGAGGGCGGTGGGTCCGGGATCCCATGCGGGGGTGGGATCCCCGTACCGGGGGCTGGTGGATCCCCGTGCTGGGAGTGGTGGTGGTGGATCCCCGTGCCAGGGGTGGTGGATCCCTGTGCCGGGGGCGGTGGATCCCTGTTGTGGATCCCCGTGCTGGGGGTGGTGGATCCTGTCCCCAGGAAGCCCAGTTTAGGGTGTGCTGTGTTGCTCTCTCCAGGTGTACGCGTGGGGCTGCGGGGCCTGCCTGGGCTGCGGCTCCTCGGAGGCGACTGCGCTCAGACCCAAACTGGTGGAGGAGCTGGCTGCCACCAGGATAGTCGACATCTCCATTGGGGACAGTCACTGCTTGGCACTCTCTCATGGTAAAAACCAGAAGGTGTAGAAAATACAGAATCCTCCCCTCGATCAAAAGCAGGTGGATCTCAGGTTTTGTTTTCTGCTCTGTTTGTAGATAATGAAGTCTATGCTTGGGGTAACAATTCCATGGGGCAGTGTGGTCAGGGAAACTCCACTGGGCCCATCACTAAACCGAAGAAAGTGAGTGGTTTAGATGGAGTTGCAATTCAGCAGATCTCAGCAGGAACTTCCCATAGCCTTGCCTGGACAGCTCTTCCAAGGGACAGGTAACGGTGACACTGGGGACAGGTATCGTTTGCTTTTTGTGCAGGTCACTTTGGGATACATTTGACTGCTCCCTGAAGGTGTTAACCACACCACGTGTTCAGGTGTTCTGCTTGGAGTGTTTTGGACTGGAGAGTCTTCCCTCCCTACTCTCCTCTTCCCTCTCCTCCAACTGTTGCATATTGCAAGTGAAAATATATCAGCACCAAGAATCTGCATATTAGTTCTTTGTGTATGAAGATTTCTTACCTGCTGTTAGACCTCTGTTTACTAAAATTGTGAGGAGTTAGGCAGTGGGAGGTGAAACAACTCAGTGTTTATTTTTGCTTCTGAAGGGACTTTTTATGGCTCTGGAGGTTTCCTGCAGTGTAACAAGGAGTGCTCTGAGCAGGAGACTTTGGGAAAGGGCAAGTTCAGACAAACTGCTGAGGTGGATTTAAACATATTAAAGAATTTCTTTATGGTTACCTGTTAACCTACACTGAAACCAGGTGCCTAAATAAACAGTTTGGTTATTAAATGTACAATAAGTGAAATAATACTTTGTTACACCAAAGACACGAGCAAGGAATTGAAGTGAACCAGTGTAGTTTTATATATAAACTCACACAAAGGAATAGAAAAGCTTAATATTTGGAAGATAACTCAAGAAGAATTTCAAATGCCCTGTTTTCACAGGAGCTGTCAATTCAGAAAATAGTGAGACTCAGATAGTACTGAGTGGCACTGCTCCTTCTGAGCTCTCCCTGCATTGTGTCAAAGTCTCCACAATCTGACATTTGTTCTAAAACCAGCTCTGTGAGTACTGGGCAGCCTTTGCACCAGTCAGGTGAAATACAGATGGCTTCATCTTCATGGCATTGTAGGTGTTTCTGTTCTTTAGAGGGTTTGTTTGTAAACAGTTTGACAGCAGAAAACACCCCCGAGGGTCGGGAAAGTTAATCTACCACAGTCGTGTTGGGTTGTTCTAAGAAACAAACTGGCTCAGTGTGTGTTGAACCTGCTGGAAATGTGAAGTGTTGAAGCAGGGGAGGATTTGCAGAGAATGATCTCTGGTTGTGACTGCAGGCAGGTCGTGGCGTGGCACAGACCCTACTGCGTGGACCTGGAGGAAAGCACCTTCTCTCATCTCCGCTCCTTCCTCGAGCACTACTGTGACAAAATCAACAGTGAAATCCCCCCTCTTCCTTTTCCCTCCTCAAGGTACACACCCCCTGTGCTTGTTGCAGATTCTTGTACTGGTTTTAGTTTTCTTTACAGCAGTGGTGCTTGACTTGGTCTCGCTTTGTCTGTTCTTTAACAAGCTTAAGTCTGATTTCCTTGCTCCTTCAGGAGCTCTGCAGTGCCCCAAATGTAGCAGGGTCTTTTTGTCTGGAGTTTATTCTCATTATGCACTGAATTAAAGGCTCTATTTCAGAGTTTTCCTTTGAAACACGTTTTTCTATGGAGCTGAAATGCATTTACTATTTCTGCTTTGTCAGTTCTTACTCCTTTTAACCGTTTTTCAGAAGTTTTTTACAAAGACTAGAAATTAATATCCTGACCTTTTGTTTTCAACCCAATTTTTGTGCTCCTAAACCTTCTGAGAGAAGATTACATTTCTTACTTCTTAAAAGTTATTTTTTCTCTATGAATAATACATTTTACTCTTTGTGTATTTTTGGATGGTTTTACCTTCTGATTCACGGGACTGCTTTTCTAAAGTAATTTACTTAACCTTCTCTGGCACAAAATATCACAGGAGAGTTAAAAGCACTGCGAAGTGATAAGAGAGATTAACAAGGATGTATTTCTTTTGCCAGGGAACACCACAATTTTCTGAAATTGTGTCTGAAGCTGCTTTCTAATCACCTTGCACTTGCCCTGGCTGGGGGTGTTGCCACCAGCATTCTGGGTCGCCAGGCCGGGCCTCTCCGAAACCTCCTGTTCAGGCTGATGGACTCCTCTGTCCCTGATGAAATTCAGGAAGTAAGTCATGCTTTGTTGTTTGCCTGTGAAAATTGTACTCTCTTCTTCTCTTTCTTTGTGCAATTAGAGATATATCTGACTTGCAGCAGTTGGCAATTTTGATAAACACGAGTCTGACTTAGTGGTTTTATTCATGAAAGGTAAAAACTGTTTAATGATCTGAAAGCAGAGGAGAATGTTTGCAGAAGGATTTCAAAAAGCTGCTTTATTTTGTAACTTTTAAATTAGTCTTCCTTGTGATAAGGAGCCTAAAATGTCAGTGTTGTGGATTGAGTAATTAACTCAGTTGAGTAACTCTCCTGAGATGTACCCTTACAGCAAACAGCAGCTTTTGTTGCTCTCCTTTCACTTCTTCAATGCCCTGCATGTCTTTGCATCACAGCAGGAAAAATTAGTGTGCTCTTGTGAGATAGAGCTCTGGTGTTAAATGAAATTAAGCAAGATGTTCTGGGGTGTATCATGGGTGATGTACTGTGTTTTTGAAAGATACAGGTGAGTTGATTATCTCCCCCTCCCCCACTGAAGAAGGATTTTCTGCTGCTCTAATTTTAGGTTGTAATCGAGACTCTGTCAGTAGGAGCAACTATGCTGCTTCCTCCACTGCGAGAGAGAATGGAATTGCTCCATTCCCTTCTCCCCCAAGGCCCTGATAGATGGGAGAGCTTATCAAAAGGACAGGTAAGGTCAGGTAAAAATATGCCAGGCTTTGAGAGCAGCTGTGGTTTGCTTTGGCTTGTTCTGCTGGAACATTGTGAGCTGAGGTGAGAGCCTTGTTCTCAGAGTGCCAGCACATTCCTGGCGAGGTGCAGAGCAAAGCCCAGCCTAACAAAACCTGGGGGCAGCCTGGCTAAACCAGAGTCCAGGGAGCACTGCATGTTTTCTCAGGTGAATGCTGGCTGCAGACAGCTTAGAAAGTGCTGTGTCAGCATATCCAGACTGGTATAAAGAGTTTTGCAATTTGGGTTTAACCATTTGGATTTAACGTGTCTTAGAAACAGAAAATTATTTCCTGGGAAGAATACTTGTATAATGCTTTCCCTGCATGGATTTCTGCCTCCTTTGCAAAGATGACTGCAATGTTCCTTTTGTCTTTTTCTTTCTTGAATGCAAAAAACCAGGAATTAATGCAGGTTAGGATGCTTGCCCAGTATCCTACAAATGGAGGAAAAGATATTCAAGGAACATCTTTCCTGTCCTTGAGGGCAGTAGGAACTGAAGCTTCAGCAGTAGGCTCAGATGAAAAAATGACCAAAAGTACTGTTCAGTTCTGTGCACACAGGATCCTGGTCAAATCCTGTATTTTATACACTGAGGAAGAGACTGGCTCACACTTGATACTGAAACTCTGAAATAGAATCTTCTGATTCTAATTTTCTAGAGGTTGGTGAAGATGAGTATTGGTACAAACTGAACCCCCTGACAATTACTAGGGTAGAGCAGGTTTAGGTTTTGCAGCATCAGAACCAGCAGCAGGAGGGAGCTGCACTGAAGGTGAAGGTCTTTGTCTCTGCATCTGCCACCTCTCTTGGTCTCCTGTGTGCTTGTTCTGCTTTTTACCCTTTCTCCTGTGTACAGCCTAGAAAAATGATGTGTCCCCCACCAATCCCCAAATAATCAGCTCCAATAAATTGGAGAAAACATTTAGTCCAGTGTCTGATATCTCCCTCTTAATCTCAGATTTTACTGGCTATGGTCATCTAATTGATATATTTATCTGTTCTCCAATACTACAAACCTGCAGGAAACCCTGGAGTTTTTGGTGCAGTCCTGCAGCTTATTCTGTGTCCCATTACAACATTTTCATTGTAACTCTGATCCTTTTTGTTGCTTAGCTCCTTTTTCTGTCCTCATTACCAAAGAGTGTTTTTTGTGCCTGTAAACATGTTCCTGTAGAGAATGCAGCTGGACATCATTCTGACAAGCTTGCAGGATCACACCCACGTGGCCTCCCTGCTGGGCTACAGCTCCCCCTCGGACAGCAGCGAGAGCTCCTCGCTGTGCGTCAGCTACGGAAACCTCTCCGAGCAAACCTACGCTGTGCAGAGCAGCCACCCCGACACTCACCTGGCTGAGATCCTCATGAAGACTCTGCTGAGAAACTTGGGATTTTATACAGTATGTACAGGCCTTGTAGTTTGTTGATTTATTTTTAAAATGAGGGCGAATTTTGGATGCTTAGAAGGGTTAACTTGTTTTTCTCCATCTCAAGAAAACGGTGCTCTTTTTGTTTACCCAAAGTAGAACTGCAACATGTATTTTGTCCTGAAGTGGCCTAAAATCAGTTCATCATCTCTAACAATATAGTTCTCATGTTATTATAGTGGTATTTATTGTTTAAGATGACTTATGTCTTCATATCAGACTATTTTACTGCTCCAGCTTTGGCTTCAAATTTTTTGGCAGATAGAATGTAACACAGGATGTTTTTAGTCAGTGTAATCTCAGCCACCAGGGAACAATAGGCAGACACCAGGAGCATGAATCTGTCTAATTAACTTCACCAGGGTTATTACCTTATGCTTATTACCTGACAGAACATCTCATGCATCAGCCCCCAACAGATCTTAAAGATTATTACTTATTTTAACATACTGGGATCTGGGGGCCAGGGGAGGGAGGGGCTTTTTTCACCCAATTAGCCGTGGGGAGTTGAATAAAAACATTGCTGCCTGTGAAAGAAACCTTTTTATAAGAGAAGTGTTCTCTTGACAGCCATCACAATCACTACTGTGACCTTCTAAACAAGTGTAATTTTAGGTGTGGTTATCCCATGATCCACTGGCACATAATAAAGACTAAAAAAAGTTTCTTTTTGAGATGATTATCAGGTTTCATGGCATTTGAAGCAGGGTTAAATGTTCTTTTTCTCTCCCCCTCCTTTTTTTCTTAATAGGACCAAGCCTTTGGAGAACTGGAAAAAAACAGTGATAAATTTTTACTGGGTACATCATCATCGGAAAACAGCCAACCTGCTCATCTTCATGAGCTTTTATGTTCCCTGCAGAAACAGCTGCTGGCTTATTGCCACATCAACAGTGTCAGTGAGGTGAGTGTCCTTATTGTTATCATCATAAGCACCGGAATGTTGTGAGGTTCCTGTTGTAAATCGGAGCATTTGAAAGCTAAACTTAATTTAAATAACCCTTTAAATATATTTACAGGATCATTCTTATGTTGGTTTTTTTTCCTTCCAGAATTCCAGCAGCGTGGCTCTGCTCCACAAACACCTCCAGCTTTTGTTGCCTCACGCCACAGATATCTATTCCCGTTCTGCAACCCTGCTGAAGGAAAGCTCTTGGAATGGTAGCGTTGGGGAAAAACTGAGAGGTAAATGTTCGTGGAAAAATCACTATTGATGGCTCTGTAAGCTTAGATTTGAATAGTAAAATAGCTTGGTTTTCCTGTATCTGCATAAAGTGGACATCCCAAGCGTCCCCCAAAGGAGGAGGTCAGGGGTAGCATCTGGTTGATGTTTTTGATAACAGCATTTGACACACAGGGAAAATACAGCATGGAGAAGACATTGAAACAATAATTCACAGAGGCAGTTTTGTTAGTTCTGGATTTCTCTTCTAAAAAGTGCTGGTTTTGTGATCACTGACAAGCGTGTTAGTAAAATACCAGATAGATGAATAATTGCTAAACCCATCAATTCCACGTGTGCTGTGGAGTCACTTTGAGAAAGCTGAGGTATTTGATGCAGTTCTTGGGCTTGTTGAATGGCCCTGTTGTGCTTGGAATATTACTGTGTAACTGTAATCCAGCTTTACTTTGCCCCCTGCAGATGTGATTTACGTGTCAGCTGCTGGCAGTATGCTCTCCCAGATTGTCAACTCCCTGCTGCTGCTGCCCGTGTCAGTGGCCCGGCCTTTGCTGAGTTACCTGCTGGATCTGCTGCCACCTTTAGATCGTCTCAACAGACTGCTGCCTGCTGCAGCCCTGCTGGAGGATCAGGAACTGCAGTGGCCTCTTCATGGTAAGTGTAATAACCTGCTTTTAACCTGAAAAATAGAGAATGGCACCTTTTTGTAGTGGTTGGTTTAACTTTCCCTTTTAAGGTGGCTTTTTTTATTTAAAGTGTGTGTCTTGCTGCATCTTCCTTTCCATTTGCTAAATGTGTTAATAGCCCTTGCTGTGAAATGCTGCTTCTGCTTTAACTGAGGGCAGTTTCCAGCTGTTTCCTGTATCTGTCCATGTTTATCAGAACAGAAAGAAGTGTGTGTGGGACAAAATACTCTTGGGCAGAGTTGGAAGGAGCCTTTCCTTGGTGAGCAGCTGTGCTGGAATGGTGACACCACCAGGCCTGTGCTGCTGCTGTAGTTACCACGTCCAGTGGGGACTGGAACCTGCTGTTCCTTCAGCTGCCTGAGGGGCTAATCTGCCACTAACAGGGAGATAAGAACAAGACCTGTTCACTTTGCTGATTTTGGAGTTGTTTGTAAGGTCAGAGTGACTGATTTTACCAAGGAATCCTTGCAGGTGGCCCTGAGCTGATCGATCCTGCGGGGGTGCCCCTGCCCCAGCCCGCCCAGTCCTGGGTGTGGCTCGTCGACCTGGAGAGGACGGTGGCCTTGCTCATCGGGAGGTGCCTGGGGGGGATGCTCCAGGGCCCTCCAGTGTCCCCTGAGGAACAGGACACAGCCTACTGGCTCAAAACCCCCCTCTTCAGTGACGGGGTGGAAATGGACATTCCTCATTTAGGTAAATGGAAATGCAGGTGTCTCACAGTGTTTGTGATCCGCTGGAAACGTCTGGGGAGGTTTGAACGGGTCTGGGCACTCAGGGGTTGCCTTTCAGCGTTGTGGTGTGTTCGTAGAGTGGTACAAAAAGTGGCAAAATGGATGTTTAAGGGTATGGTTCAGTTTACAAAGGGTCTTGGAAATGCTTAAGGAAGAAAAAATCTGCAATTCTCAGTGAAATAACACAGACTTCACTGAGTTAACTTTAAACATTTTACTCTTAGATGGTCAGCAGCACTTAACAGACATACCAGGGCCTCAGTTTTTCATATTAATTATTGGAAAATGTTATCTTACATTCTACTTGCAAAGTGAATTTTTTATTCATTAGAAACAATACTATTAATAACAAACTTCAGTCTTTATGATCTCCCAGAATTGGTAACAACTCAGTGCTAATATTCCAGTCATCCCTTCCTATCTGAACAGTGCCCTTGCTTCTGCTTCTTTGTGGCCTCTTCCTTGATTCACATCTCTGTCCCCATCCCCTCTGGTTCTGAGTAGACTTCAAGACTTATTTACAAGCCAGGGTGCTTTGAAATGGGTCCAGGCAGTGACTGCAAGCTGTGCAGTTCAGGTGGAATTAATGATGCAGATTTATGCTATTGCAGGGGAGTTGGAGAATGTTTCTAAATCTCTGTAGGTTTTATGTAAATTGTAACTCTTAAGTCACTTCCCTGTCTAATGTAAATTCGTTTACAATGAGATGTCTTGATATTTTAAAATCTTTTTTTTAACTAAGTGTTACTAGAGTGTTTACATGCACTCTTAGGTGCATGTAAATAATCCTCAAAATGTGCAGAGTTTAATTTCTTGGGTATTCCCCTTCTGGCAGACAAATGCATGAGCTCCCTGTTAGAAGTGGCCCTGTCTGGAAATGAGGAGCAGAAACCCTTTGACTATAAACTGAGACCTGAAATTACAGTTTATGTTGACTTGGCCTTGGGCTGTACAAAAGAGCCAGCAAGGAGCCTCTGGATCAGTATGCAAGACTATGCTGTCAGTAAAGGTAAGGTTGAAAATGTGTGTTTGTGTGTGTTAAAAGCATATTACATGTATGGCCTGCCTCAGCTACACTCCTAGCACAATCCTGGGTTTTCTTTGGCAACAGTTTTTAATTCTACAAAAGGAAAGGTGATTTATTGTCACGTTCCACCATCTCTCTGCTGCTGTTTCTCTTACTTTTGACGTGGATTTCAGTGTTTGCCAAACGTGTAGTTCAGTGTTGTTTTTCCCTCTGAACTGGTAAGAAGAATTCTTGTTTGCTTCCTCAGTTGTTGGTTTTTCTGTTTTCTGAGTAGAGCAGGGTAAAACTAGCAATTAAAAAGGAAAATTAATGGGGAGGGGAAGGCAGAGTAACTTGTAAAATATGTTAGGAATGGAGAGCAGGGGTAAGTCACCCTTTGTTTGTCAAGTCTCTGGGAGGCTGCCCTTCCAGTGTTAATAGTTCTTCATGCTTCCAGCCTAAAACCTGGGCTCCTGCTCAAGCTTTCCAGGTTCCTTCTGATGAAATCCACTAAACATTGTGGTTGTGCTGTAGCTCTGCAGCACCCACAGATCATTTTCTGTAGCTCTGGCCAAGCTGAGCAGGGATGAAAAAAACAGCGAGTGGTCTTGAGTGCCTGTTGAGAGCAACCCAGAGGGTTCTGTTGGAGAATCCCAGTGAAAAACCTGCTGGTTATCTTTGCAAATCTGAGGGGAATGGGCTGAGATGTGTAATTTTGGCTGTGGAAATGGGCTCTGGAGAAGTTGATGAGGTTCTGCTCTGTTCACAATGCAAACTGGCTGAGGAGCAGGTGTGTTAGATAAACTGTCTGTGGCCAGGTGAGTTTTTGTCATTTCTACAGCAGTTTGCAAGGATTCATAGGTAATATCAATAAAAAAAGATATTCTGAAGATACTTATAAGGAAGTGGGACAGTATTTTTTTTTCCCCCTGTGCAAAATGATGGGTTTTTATGGAGGTTTGCTTGGCAGTTTGGCTATTTTGTGGTAGAGTAAAAAGAACCATTATGAAAATAATATTAAAATGGGGAAAAGTTCTTTTGAAATTAGGAGGTCAGTTCCTGAAAATACTGGATCAACCTTCATTCCAAAACCTGAAAGTGTCTCTTGGTAATATTAGCAGTGAAGTTTGTGCTGAAGCTTGAGCAGTTGGCCTTCCTGCTGGGGATAAGGCTTTCCCATCATAAGCAGAACTGTGGAATGATGCTGGAATGTGGTTTCAAACACGTGTAACAGAGCAGAAAGTTTCAACTATGAGTTTATTTCTAAACAAAATCCAGAGGAATTTGTGGCCCAGAAGAGAACAGCTCCAGTTTGCTGTTGTTAGTTGAAAGCCAGGTTGCACCCTGGTTTCTGCTCTCTGGTGGCACTTGGTGTGCCCACCCTCGGCCATCAGACTGAGGGACCTTGAGCAGCCAAACCCACGCTGGTCTGAAGTGATGTGTGAGTGACTGATGCTCAGCATTCCTTAAGCACTGAAGCTTCTGCTAAACTGAAGGATTTAAAAGAGTGAAGATTTTTTTATGATGTCACCAAAAGTACCTTTGTTTGTTGGAAACAGCCAGTTCTGATGAATCCTTTCCGTTTTCAGATTGGGACACTGCAACTTTAAGTAACGAATCGCTCCTCGACACCGTGTCCAGATTTGTTCTTGCAGCTCTTCTGAAGCACACGAGTTTACTTAACCAAGCTTGTGGGGAGAGCAGGCAAGTCACTTAAAGCTGCTTTAAAAGTTGAGTTGAGTTGTGGAAAGGCAGTTTGTGTGATTGTTTCTTGTTTCTGGCTGGCAGGTACCAGCCTGGCAAGGCCCTGGCAGAAGTTTACCGCTGCGTGTACAAGGTTCGCAGCCGTTTGCTCGCCTGCAAGAACATGGAACTCATCCAGACCAGGTCATCCTCAAGAGACAGATGGGTAAGGACAACTGGAAATGTCCTTGCAGTTCTTCAGGCTCTGCTGGGTATTCAGAAAATATGACATAATGTTGGTTTAGTATCTGCTGCTGGGATTTTCATTGTGTCTTGTTGAAAACTTGCCGGAGTTTTCAAATGAAAATGGGCATGAAATGAAACATTTCATGGGCTTAGTCCTGGCATTGCTGTGCTGGGACCTGCATGAACATCTGCCATTGCACCGTGGCAGCCTGTGGATCATGGCATTTGAGGATGGAAATGTTCATGGAACTACTCAGGGCTGGGGCCTGATGGGCATTACAGAGTACTCCTTAAAGCAGGATTCAGGTTTCTCTGAGAGGATTTTAAAGCCAGATATTTTTAACCAACCAAATTCCGAGGTGACATGAAAATTAATGGGCTTTTTGGCTATATTGTAAAAGCACTGGTGATGCTCTTTAAAGCCACGTGCATATGTTGCCTAATTTTAATTAAATTAATTAAAATGCTCTGAAAGCATTGGGTGTGTGCAGTAAGTTCTGTGACTCCCAGAATTCCTCCCAGTTACTGTGCAGATGCAGCACAGCAAATCTGAGACCTGCAGGAGATTTGTTGTTTCAGATTTAACACTGTGGGGGAAAAGTGTCTGGTTTGCATTTGCAGCAGCAAAGCATCAACTCAACTATATCTACTCAATCAGAAAAAAAATTGACATTCAAGTTCTAAGCCCATTAAACTTCCTGTGCACCTCATATGCTAATCTTTTATCTTGGGATGTAAATCTGGTAATTCCATGGAAATAAAAGGGAGGAAAAGCACTGCAAATGCAGAACTGTTAAGGATAAAAATGGTAACATATTTGCTGTCACTTTAAGGAACGATCTTATCCATCAAAGTAAGTTTTATCGTATTCATGTTCTTTTTAAGGGAGTAATTTTTCTGATTCAACAGGATGAGTCTCCAAAGGCTTTGATGCTGAAGTGTCAGGGTTTGACAGTAGACTCTAAGTAAGCATTGCAAGGAGACATTTTCATGTAAATCATCTGAGTAAGGGTTACTAAAGGAAAATTAAATTTTCCAGCTGACGTAGAGCCTTGAATGTAAACAGCTGATATTGTTTATTCACAGCGTATCCAAATTACCTTTTTGACAGGAAAAACCCCTCACTCAATGCCTGTGTCCTTTTACACTCATCTTGCATTTCGGTGAGAATTTTTCCCTCTGTGATTTGTGGTTTTTTCCATCAAGATGCTGGATAACCAAGAATCTGCTGATGTCGATGCTCAAGAACATTCCTTTACTCGCACAATCGATGAGGAAGCAGAGATGGAGGAGCAGGCAGAACGGGACAGAGAGGAAGGACACCCAGAGCAAGAAGATGAGGAGGAGGAAAGAGAACATGAAGTTATGACAGCTGGTAGTAAGTACTGGTTCTGTGTGTCAATAATGTCCTTTTCTCTTTGAGGCAAAGTCAAGAAATGAGTTTAAAAATGATGAGATATTTTTCTGTGTAAATATTGTGAGAAGTTTATTTTTATAAAATGGTGTGGTGCTTTTATTGATGCAGGGAAGTCTTCAGATGCAAGGGAATGGGAATCCTGGGCAAGTGCACTGCCTTTGTGGGCCATTCCCAGGGCATCTGGCATGTACTGACACTTCTTATCTGCACTGTCTGCAAGACTAATAACTAATAAATTGTTTGCTCTGAAGTTCTGGCCAGTAGATTTTCAAGTTTTCATCAGCATTTATATATAGAACCTTTGCTGTGTTTGTGTGGGTTGTTGTTTTTTCTAGTGAGCTTTGAAGGATAATGTTATTATTCTGAAGTTTGGAAACAAAACTGCTGTTGATAGCAGGGCTGACTGAGTGGGAATTCACTTCTGTCTTTGAGTATCTCAGTCAGAGTTTGGTATTTGTGGCACTGTTTGCAATACTTTCTGACGGGTTTTCTAAAAATCTCGTTTAATTCTTCAGAAGACAGCTTGGAAAAGGTAAACCTTGCAAACTGTTACTGTACTGATTTGGATTTGTAATCTGGCTCAGTGGGATGGTTAATCCTTAATTTTTCCAGTCACACTGGGCTGGTTTTCTCTGTGGTGACTCAGCATTCCCAAGGACAGCACTGGGAAATTTTCTGTGCAGTGGATGTAGCTTAAAAAACAAAATTGGCTGACTTGAGATATTTTCCATAGATGCATAATTTTGTTTTCCTTTTCCAAGTCCTGTTCCTCTGGATGCTGTTGGAATGTTTGTCTCCTCCCAGCCCCTACTCTCACCCCCTGCTTTGCTGACAGTTAGAATTTGGGACCTCACAGACCAAAATGTTGTTACCCCTTTAGTTTTCTGGGATGTGCAAAATAACATGCACAAATAAGTAGGAAGATGATGATTATTTCACTGGACCTCCCAAGGAAGCTGATCCATGACATACAGAGTTCAGATGGTGTCCTTGCTGCTTCTAACTGTGGATACCAATGAAGGAAGTGTTTAAGTTCACCTCTGCCTTTCCAAAAGGGAATTGAATCTTTAAAATTAAATTTTTTAAGTCTAAGAGAACTTAAGGTCTTTGGACAGAGATGAGGAGGTTTCCCACACAGCTTCTTTAGAGGAATTTGGCCCCTCAGCAGAATTCAGTGAAGTGAAGACTAAGAATTTTGATAAGATCTTCACTGTGCTACCCAAAGCTGATAAAAGCCTGGAACTGTTTCAGTGTTGACTTGGAGATACACTGGAGTCTGAAATACAGATTTACAGAAGCATTACTTTTATAGGTCTGCTAAAAGGCAAACATGAAATAATCTCTCTCTCTTTGATGCCATCCAAACAGGAGTTGGGTTGCTGTAAGACACTGAAAGAGTGTTTGGTGTTCTGTCAAAGTGCATTGTCCTCTTCATTTGAAAATGAACACTGTGTAAATGCTTCATTTAACCTGTTTGCATGACTTCTTTGATGGCACTGTAGCATTAACGTATTCTTTCGCTGTTGGAAAAATATCAGTTGTGCTTTGTAGCTTGGGCAGCTTTTGGCCCAAGATGTAGATGAATATTTTTTTTATCCTCTGTAGCTTTGTCTAGAAGTTAAGACCTTCTTTTTGTGTTGCATGTTACAGAAATATTTCAATGTTTCCTATCAGCCCGTGAAGTAGCTCGCAGTCGGGAGCGGGATAGGATGAGCACTGGGCCAGGGACTAGACTTGATGATCCACCCCCTCAGTCTCAGCAGGAAAGGAGGATCAGCACAGACCTGACGGAAGGCCAGGATGTTTACACCGCTGCCTGCAACTCGGTGATCCACAGGTGTGCCCTGTTGATCCTGGGGGTGAGCCCCGTGCTGGAGGAGCTGCAGAGGCGCCGGGAGGACGGGCACTCGCAGCAGCCGCCCCCGGCCACCCCCGACGGCATCGGCATCATGACCAGGTGGGCTCTGCTCCCCTCACTGATGGAACAGCTCAGCTTTCCTCAGAGGAGTTCAACTCACAATCGTTTGAGAAGGGAGTTTTTGCTCAGAGCAACCTCACTCAGCTCTTGAGGATCTTGAGAATCTTGTGGGTTTGCTCGGTTTTCTTGGTCCACGTTAACTAAAACTTGAGAGTTTTATTTTGTGTTTAAGATTCAAAGCTGGGCTTAGTGGTGAATAGTTCAGATGATCAGGTGTTCAGATTATCATGAGGTACTTGGAAAAAGTATTTATTTTTCCTGTAATTTGTGTTTGGATTTGTTTGCTGCCATATTTGGGTTTTCTTGAGCCTTACCGGTGTCCTATATAGTAGTGTCAAAAAAATTGTAGTATATGTTTAAAACAGAAGTTTCAAAGCCTGTTATGATAAAAGTGTTGTTCATGATTGATTTTTAGAAGTATTCCTAACACTGACATGAGTAAGACACTAGTGTTAGGTCTAGGAGAAAAAACACTGAAGCCAGGCTGCTCAATGAATGGGAAGAAATGTTTAATTTAAATACTATAAGTACTACATCACCTACTTTAAATTTTGTAACCAGAGATATTCTTGGTAACACAGTTTTATTCTAAACTTGACTCACTTAAACTTTTATTCTGGCAATCTTAATGTTTCAAGTAGAATATAGCACAGGGATTGTGTAGGTGATGTTACTTGTCTGAGTCTACTTTTGCTTCTAGTGTACAGAAACTCTTGTTGGGTGTTTTAAATTAAGGTACTGATGGGGAGTGTAGAGGAGGATTTATATATTCAGTACCCTTTTATTCTTTTTGCCTCTTTTTGGAGATCTAGTCCCTAAAGCATGGGTGGCTGCCTGTGCCATTGTCAAAGTGCCTTTCATCTCCAGCATGTCAACTTTAGGATGCGTTTCATGGGTGGCTTTTTAATAAGTCCAGTGCTTTGTCACCCACTTCCTCTGTGTTTGTTTTCCTGTGCTCTCAGCTCAGAGTGTGTGTTATACTCTGTAATACTCCCCAAGGCACTAGAGATCCCTCCCTGAGGGCACCCTCAGTTCAGCTGACCGCTCAGGCTGTGAAGAAGTAACCAAATTTACTAATTTTAGAAGCGTAACCAAAACCATCAGACCACTTTTGGCCTCCTCAGTGTGATCTTGTGATGTTCTGGGAGAGTCTGCTCCCAAACACAACTGTGGTACCTGCTAAACTTGGCTATCAGCTCTGCCTTTTGTCTAATATCAGTGTTTTCTCTGTGTGTGTGTGCACGTAAATGTGTGTGCCCTGGAGCAGGAGTGAAAGCCTGACAGCAGAAAGTCGCTCCATCCACGCCAGCTCGAGCTACAGACTGATTAAATCAAGGAGTGAGTCCGATTTGTCTCAGCCAGAATCAGATGAGGAAGGTTATTCACTGGTGAGTAAACCAGCATTTCCTTGTGGCTGGAAAGCACATCCTAAACATTTGTTTAGGGCTGTGTTTCAGTAGATCAGTGCAGCTTTTTGAAGAGAAAGTACTGGTGGTAAAAAACCAACTGAAATTATTATAGCTCTGCTAACTTTCTCACTTTTATGGGTGAGGGATGAAAGTTAAATACTCAGATATCATGTACCAGATGTGTTCACCTAAAGAAACGAGGCTTTTATTCATCTTTTAATGTAGAGTGGAAGACGAAATGTTGATTTGGATTTGGCAGCATCGCACAGAAAGAGGGGTAAGTTTCCTTGTTTACCTCGTGCATATTGACCAGATAAATGTTGGTGTTTCTGAATTTAAAGTGTGTTTGCAGTTACATGCAGCTGATAATTGCATAACAGATGCTAAAACTGAGTATATAAAAATAACATGTAAAAGAATTGTTACCTACTGTTTGTTGCTTTGTGACTTGGCTTTAGTATTTCCTAGGTTATAACTCCTTATTTTAGTATCTAGAATTGTGACTTTCTGAAGAAGTGAGGATTTCTGGGAAGTTAAGTGAATTAGGAGCTTTCATTTTGTTTTCACTCGTGTGACTTCAGGAATAAAAAACTGGCAGAGGTGGTCACGTGGAACTTGTGCTAACAATGAACTTTTACCATGAAATGGGCTTGAACGAGGAGAACTCATTCAGAAAATACCACTTTCAACACCAGCACACCTACAGAACCAAGCAACCACTACTTTTATTGCTGCAGTATAATTCAGATTTTTTGCTTTTGTACTGCTTTGTGTTGCTGCTTCACACTGGGGAGTCTCAGTGAGCTTCTTGGTACAAGGTTTGGAGGGAGCAGAGGGTGTTTGTTTACACTGAGACCAAAAGTCCCACTTCGGTCTGGATGATGCAGAATCTGTGACAATCACAACTTAAGGGTCTGTTGGACCTGTAAAAACCATGGGAAGATGTAAACAGGAATTAGATTATGTTATGCCTTAATAACAGAAGGCCCAATACCATTAGATCATGTAAGAATTCTTGTTTAAAAGGCTTCATCATTAAGCAGAGCACTCAGAGGTGCTTGCTTTTTGAAGTCTTCTGGAACTGTAAACCAGATTATCAGTGGCAGCACCCATTGGATTTAGCATTTAAATAATGTGGAAGGGAATTCCTTGTGCTTGCATAATCAATTGAAACAGCTGAACCAGTAAAGAAATGTTGTAGAGCTGTTTGCAGTGTGACTGCAGATGTGTCATGGCATTGTCAACATTGGGAGATCTATCAGAAGGGCCTCTGTCAATCTCTGAAACCAACATTTTTAGCTTTGCCATTGATCTGATGTAGAACTCTGCACTTCATTTCCTGGGTCCTGAAGTAATTCAGGACATGATCTTGGGCTAGATCTTGGATACAGGTATAATTTATGGATTATAGTTCCTCAGCTGCTGGTCACAAGCCTCAGGAAATGGGGAATAATGCAAGAGGAGACTTTATTAATAAACTCTTCTTACAGCAGAAGATTCTGCCCTGGGTCTGAACCAGTGAGGAAAAATGGGGGAATGCAGCTGATCTGTCCAGAACCTAAAGAACCTCAAGTGGCTCATTTGCAGACTGAACATTGTGACAACATGTAACTGTTCTGGCTCTGGGAGATTTATTTACAGTCCCGTGGCACTCAGAGTTTTTTGGTCTGGTTTTGGCAACTGGGAGCACATCCTGGTGTTTGGTGAGGGTGCAGCTCCCAGCCAGTTGGGGTTGTCCCCCCTTGTGACCTGCCCAGCACACTGAGGTGTGGGGATGGTGCAGTTATATATGTATATAAATAACTCCTTCAGTTATATCTCCATCCTCGTGATGTGCTGGGAATGATGAGGGGGATGTTTGTGCTCCCTGCTGCCTCAGTTTGAGGAGCAGGAGAAATGTGGATTCTCACAGCAGCTTCACATTCAGCTGTCCTCCATCCCCACTTGCTGGCAGAAAGAATTAAAGACTTCATCTGCATTTGAATTTGCTACATTTGTTCAAAATGGGGGTGATGAAAAAGCCCAGTTTCCTGTTTATGGCAAGAAATGACCCTCAGAAGACTCCAGCATTGTTTCTCAAGGTGTTCTCCAGGTGGATTTTTAAATGCCACCAAAGTCAGATTGCCCTGAAGCAACCAACAGATATTTTCATGAGAAACAGGCAGCATATTTTTATTTTTAGGTTTGGGGTTTTTTTTGACATGTTCTTTCCATATTTATGATTGTACCTTGTACTCCTACATCTGATCTGCTTTGGAATGGAGGACGTGGAAGATTTTGTGGCCCTCTAAATGACGAGGAGAGGAAGGAAACTTGTCATATAGCTGCTGAAATCTGTGTCTATTTTGAGTGCAGAGGACAGGCATGCATCACAACAGGAGTGCATGTGGGAAACTCTTCTCAAATTGCAATTAATTTCAATCCTACAGAACAGCAGCAGTAACCAGTGCTGCTTTAAGGGACTTGTAGCTGAACTTGTCCAGTTTTTGTTGGATTGACTGGAGAGCTGGCAGCGTTTGGGGGGAAAGAACCAGTGGAGCCTCACAATAAAAACAAGGGGACCACTTCTCATTTCTTTCTGCTGAGTTTATTATTTAAAATATTTGATCACATTTCCTTTTACGTGTGGTTTTTAAAATAATCCTTTACTCAAGTTTGCAGCAGCCCTTGAGGATATTTGTTCTCTTCATGGTGTCTGCATAAGCTGCAGGAAGTGACAAGCAGAACCAGTTGGAAAGCAAGTTTTTTTTTCCTTCTATCACCACTGCTTTTTCCCTGTAGACTGTACTGTTTGAAAGAGAATTTTGACTCAAAAAATTGCTTTCCTCTATGGGTGTGAGGTCCCTCCCATCTCTTCTCAACAAATGTACTAGAATGTGACCACACTAAATGTCACAGGGCTGTGGCCACACACATTTGCAGCTGAGGTTTTGTGGGGCTGCTTTATCCTCAGCTGCACTCCATGCAGTGTTTGATCCTTGCAAATCAGTCAAAATGACAGGGTATTGGTGAGTGGTTGATTTGTTACAGGCAGGACAGCAATTCCCCCTGGAGTGGGTTGGCTTATTTTAGAACTTGTGTCTGTGGAGTGCAGCAGCTCATGGCTCACAGTTCAGGTCACATTTCCTTGCTGATTGAATCTCACTGTTGGTTATAACCTGATTTTTGGGCTGTGAAAGCTGGTGCTTTTCATCAGTTGCAGTATAGAAAACTGCTAATCCTGTCAGTCCCTGTGCTCTTGCAGATGAGTATGGAAGGAAAAGCATTCTCTTTTTATCCAATTGACATCTCAGCCACTCAGTCCAGCCTTTATTTAAATTGCCTTCATTCTTCCTGTCTATTCAGAAATAGGACTGGGATATTCCTACTCCAGCCTGAGGATCCTTTGAGTTTCTTGTCCCTTGGTATTTAGTTATTTCTGAATCAGCAACCTTTTCCTTCCATAACAACAGAAAAAGTCCTTCTCAGTGATTCTGCAGTGAGGGATGAAGACATTGTTTTCCCTTTGTATTTTTATTTTTCATTCCTTAGATTAATCTCTTCCAATTCTCCAGCCCCAGGGGGTGCCCCCAGATGTGGTGCCTGTTCTGTGCAGTACCTGTGGGAGGCTGTGCAGGGAGGGCTGCAGTGAAATCATGGTTCCATCATCCGAATTCAGGGAATTGCAGTGTGCTTGTGCCGCTGTCCCCTGTCACTGGCACAGCGTGACTCCAAAAAAAGCAGCAGCTGAAATGAAATCCAGATTAAACTGGGATGATTTTACTTTCCTCGTTACCTGCAGTAATGAGCTCTGAGTCTGACAGAGGGCAGGTGGTGTTGGAGCAGGGGATTTACACACCTCTTGGTGGGTGATACAGCTGTGTTAGGGGATTACTTTTGCTTCCTTGACAAGAAGGTGGAGAATTTAGCAAGCCTGTTATCTCAGGCACCACTAATTCAAAACAAGAGTAAGTATTTTTTTTTCCACATACTTGGTGTATTGTTGTACTGATTGAGATGAGACTGATCTTTGAAGTCTAAAAGTAATATGAGGATGAGATTTCTGAGTGTGTTACCTTCTGTTTCAAATGTCTGCTTTTGTCTTCTGATTCTTGTGTGGTGTAGTGTATTTACTCCTTTTTGGCCAGTTGAGCCCCAGAAAAAAGAAGAGCTTCAAGCAAGTAACCGATGGCATGTTTATTTTTTTGTCTCTAAAGCTTCCCCCACATATTTTTTGTTTTCTGCAACTGTGCCACATTCATGTAGAAAACTCATTATTACAGGCTGGCTTTATAAGGACAAGTCAACTTTTTTGTTTGTTTGTTTTCACTGTAAGCTTTCAAGTTTCTTCCTCTGCACAGCTCTGGCCGTGTGATTGTAGAGGCTTGGGAAGTGCTGCACTGCAATCAGTTCTGTGTGGTGGATGTTGCACAGAATCAAGCTCAGCTCCAATTTGCAGCCATACATTTGATTTCTCTGTTGATAATTTGACATCTTCAAGAGAAAAAAAAAAGACTGTTTTAGATCTACGTGCTCTGTCTCTGAAATGTTTTTAATTCTGAAGTATGGCCTTTGATTTCTGATGTCTTTGTGTTTAAACACTTTCAGTTATAACTTCTATTGTCTTACATTTAATCTGTATCTCCTAATTGTTGGACTTTCTCCACATTTGAAACAATTTTAAACCGGTCTTACATTTAAACATTCCTGCATTTCATATTAAAATGGTTAGCTAAGATCTAATCTTATTTCAAACCTGAAATAATTTAGGTTTTTATTCATACACAGTGGGGGTTCTTTCTTACCAGATCTGTTGACCATCAAAACTAAATCTTCTTCTGATGTTCTCCTTGAAAGGTCTCCTTTAGCTTCTGATTTAGGACACTGGAGTTGCTGTTTGTGCCTTTCCAAATGCTTTGGCCCTGGGCTGTGTCATTTATCTTGTGTTTCTCACCTCTCACTTCCCCATATAACTTAGATTTTAAAACAACTACTCTGAGAATTCATGTTAAAATTAGGGTAAGGTTGTATCTGTCTTTGCTGTTGTTTTAAATGCTGCTGCCAGGGGTAAATTATAAAACTGAGTAACAGAATTTCTGTAAATTTTTGTCATAGTTTTTCATTGACAAAATAGGTGGTTCTCTGTAAACCAGGTGTTGTTGCTGTGTTACATAAAGCAGCAGAGATTAGGAAGTTAGATTACACTTTGAAAAGTAGTGTTTAAGCTTAACTTTTGCCTTATCCCAACTAAATTTGAGGCTGTATGTTTTTGTCCAATAGGTTGTCTGACCCAAGCATGTGATGGTTCTTTCTGAAGCCATTGCAACTGTTCAGCAGTGAGTGTAAGGGATACCTTGTAAATGCACAGAAACACTGTTTACAGAAAAGGAAATGGCATGTGAATGCTTTTTCCCAATTCACAGCCCCGACAATTTAAATAAGTGGGGATTTACCACCGAGTTTACAAAAGACAAGCACGATTTCCCAGTATTTTGAATTTGTAAGTTGTGTGGAGGTGCAAATCGTGAGCTGCAGGTGCAGGCTCGTTGGCAGAATAACAGCATTTTGCCTTTCCTTCAGGACAGAAATGAGGTAAATGGTTACCAGGAGAGCTGTCCTGAGCTGTGTGTCTGTCTGTCCTTGTGCCCCTGAGCAGCTGCTGCAGGCAGACAGGAGCTCCACAAATGAGGATCCAGTTCCATCTGCCACTGGAACTCAGCCTTGCTCTGAGGGAAGAAAGCTTTGAGCAGATGGATTGTTGGGAATCTGGGTGACTTTTTCCTGTTTTTTAATAATGTTTGAGGCTGAGACCCTGCAGGAAGATTTTTAAACCCCGAAGTGATACAGATTTGTACAAGCCCTGTGAATGGGTCGTGATTCCCCAGATTTTATCTGAAACTCATGGTGCATAAGATAGGTGAACAGATTCACATTTAAAAATTATTTGCAGATTGTTAAAGATAATCCAAGCTAAAATTTCAAAGTGACTTCAAACACAGATCAGGTTTCCACCAAGGTCTTCTTACACTACTTATCTCTACAGATGGGAAGTTCTTCTGAGCAGGGTCTGCCCCCTTGGGACACCTTGCAGAGGTCCAAGTTGGCCAAAAGAGCATTTACAAAAATAAAGCACTGCTGTAAATTGTTTACCTGCTGATGGACTTATGACCTGAGTGACGTGGCCCTCACTGGTGCCAGAGTTTGAGTTCCAGCAGAGTTCTTTTGGAAATGAGGTGCAGCCTGTGGTGTAAATGGGTGCCAGTGCTGCAGACTGATGGCTGGGGCTCATCTGCAGACCATTTGTTAGTGATGGTGAAGTTTCAGTGTAAGGACAGAGGAAATACTGGAAAATAGACTTGGAAATTGCCAGCTGACAAATATACAGATCTAACACTTGCTGTGGATAGTATTTAATATACATTTCTCTCTCTTGAGTCAAAGTTCTGTCTTAGTCTAAAATACTTGCTGTTCCATCTGCAATCCTGATTTCTGTGAATATTTCATCCAAAATAACATTGCTTTTTTCAAACTTTGAAATACAGTGGCTTGATTAAAACCAAAACTACTCTTGCTCTATGGCTAGACCTTAAAATGAATATCCCAGTGCATAATTTCTGTTGTAGCAAATCTTTTCTTTACTATATTGTCGTTGAGCTGCAGAGCATTTTATTCAGTGTTCTAGCTTTAAGCTGAGCAGTTTGAGTGGCTTCTGCCTTTTTTTTGTTCTCTCACTTGGCCCCATGCTGCAATACTGCTTAACACTGAAGAGAAATACAGCCTTTTCTTTAGGGAAATTGCTGTAAATTGAAATCGAGTGTTTCGCTCTGAGTTGCTTAATGCATGGTGTAATTAACACGAATATTCATTTTCCACCCGTAAATAGCAGCAGTTCAGCCTTCACCTACTGCCAGAATGTGTTACCTGGTGAGTGGGGACTGAGAGCCTTCCTCGTGTGTGTCTTTAGGGACAATTCACGGGCAGCTGGAATCCCTGAGCGAGTCGTGGGTGCGGCTGAAGCAGGGCAGGGACTGGCTGTGCACGCCCTCCTGCTCCTTCCTGGAGCCCGACTTCGACCTCTCCCGCTCCCTGGGAGTTCACACCTTGATTGAAAACGTCGTCAGCTTCGTCAGTGGAGATGTGGGCAACTCGCCAGGGTTTAAGGAGCCCGAGGAGAGCATGTCCACCAGCCCCCAGGCATCAGTCATTGCAATGGAGCAGCAGCAGCTCAGGGCTGAGGTAAATAAATCTCACTTTGACAGCTCTTCTTGTTCTTTAGACATTCTGCTCGTTTTAGGGATTTTTTTCCTTGAAATATTGTCCAAATTCCAACTATTAATTACATTTTTCTTTCTTTTCTCTTAAATATCTTAGCTAGAACTGGGAACTCTAAAACAAAACTGAAAGCGTTCCCCTCGTTAAAAAAATTGTGTCGAGGAGAAAACACCTGCCTGGTTCATCCTTGCTTACAGCTGGAGATGATGCAGTTTCAATTTCTAAGGATACTGCCTGCTTCATAAACATTGTGTTTTACCTACCTTTATTTTTCAGCTTCGTCTGGAAGCCCTTCACCAGATTTTGGTGCTCCTGTCAGGCATGGAGGAGAAGGGCAGTGTGCCGTTGATGGGAAGCCGTCAGGTAGCAGGATTTCAATCCTCTTCGTTGCTCACTTCTGTCAGACTGCAGTTCCTCGCTGGCTGCTTTGGGTTGGGCACTGTGGGCCATGCAGGTGCCAAGGGAGAGAGTGTCAGGCTGCATCACTACCAGGTATGCACTGCAGGAGTGTCTGCTGTTTCAATAACCGAGGGATGAAAACGCATCAGCCCCTGTAACACTTGTTTGTTTGGCCCAGGATGGTATCAGAGCAGCCAAGAGAAGTATTCAGATTGAAATCCAGGTGGCTGTGCACAAAATCTACCAGCAGTTATCTGCTACTTTAGAAAGAGCCCTGCAAGCTAACAAGCACCACATAGGTAAGTGAAACCAGGTTGGCAAAATATTTCCTCTGATACACAGTACAGCAGCTTGTACATTTACCAAAGCAGCCTGTGGTGTTAATGACCAGAATTCACGGAATTATCTACTTCTTTTCCTGAGAGAGAAACCTTTGAACCTTCTTCTGTCTTCATTCTCTTCAAGTGTTAGACCTTCTTATTTGAAGTCTTCTCAGCCTTTCTATTCCACATACCACGATCTTCCACAGTCCCTTTGGGGCTTCAAAGTGATTTTTAGGTTTTTCAGGGATATAAGAAAGCAATTTTCTGAAGAGGTGAGAAATCTCCAATCTCTTCCTTTGGTGAAGTGAGCTTTTTTTAAACCCAAACCTGAGGAACAGGGCATTTTGCCTCTTTGGAAAGCCCTTTGTCCTGCCCTGTATCCAGATATTGCCACGTGCTCAAGGGATGGCTGAGCTCTGCACCTCTTTGTGCCTTTGTGCATGCACTGACCAAGAGCTCCAGCACTGCAGAGAACCCTGGAATTTGAATTTGTTGGTGGAACCCAATGGCCATTCTTACCTGAATTGTTTTGCTCTTTCACTGACAATTAAAATGGAACTGAAAGAAATTTCTTGAGAATCCATGTGAAGTACAGGTAGAAAATGAAGTATTTCACTCAATTATCCTTTTCTAGAGAGAAATACCTGGTTTGAGATTTAACCTCAGAACATTTACCTCACAAAGCAGATCTGCATGATGTTCTTCCTTGGGCCACCTTGACAGAGTTAACTGATTAAAGGGGACTCCAGTGGTACAGCAGAAAGACCCCCTCAGAGTGTCTGACAAAACCTCACTGTTTCCTTGATAATTTCATTCATTAAATTGTGTTTAAAAAATAATCTGCTGTTCTTCTGCCTTAGTGTTGTTCCTCTGAGCAGCTGATTAATCAGAAACCACTCTCTGACCCCCTAGAAGCGCAGCAGCGCCTGCTCCTGGTGACAGTCTTTGCTCTCAGCGTGCACTACCAGCCTGTGGATGTGTCCCTGGCCATTTCCACGGGGCTGCTCAACGTGCTGTCCCAGCTGTGTGGCACAGACACCATGCTGGGCCAGCCCCTGCAGCTGCTGCCCAAAACTGGCATTTCCCAGCTCAGCACAGCTCTGAAAGTGGCCAGTACGAGGCTCCTGCAGATCCTCGCCATCACCACGGGGTGAGTGTCATCTGCTCCCTTGTTTCTGGAAAACTCAATTGTTAAGCTCTTCAGCACCCTGGAAAAATAACCTTTCTCTAGGACAATAAATGTTACTCAGGAGTGTGTAAGTGAAGGGCAGAACAAAAACAATAGTCACATTATTCATAGGAAAGATGCAGATAAGACTTATAAATGTATTTAATTGTGAGTGTTTGGACCAGAATAGTTACAACTCTCTGGTCTGTGAACACTGTATTTGAGTAGTCCCCATTTTGCTGGTCCAGCTCTGTATGTAGATCTGCTCAGTTGATGGGATAAGACTTTCTGTTGGTGTGTAAAATCATTTGTGTGAAAGCAGTACCTATAATGTGGTAACAGTTGTTCAGAGCAGGGCATTGTGCTGCTTTTCAGAATATGAAATCATTTACTGAGGATTAGTGGCCTCTGCTAGACCATGGAACAGTCCTATCAGTACTTAAATATTTAGTTTAACTCAGGACACAGCAGTGGAGAAAGTATTTTCTATTTGGGGCAAGACTATTATTTGATATTCAGTGCTTGCACCTTCGTGTCAGTGTTCAGACAGCACATTGCATTTACCTGCCAAATGTGTTATGTCAAAAACTCATTAACCCTCCACCAAAAAACCCCCAACCATGGAAACAACACCTCATCCTTGGTAGTTGCAGTGGAATTATGATTAATAAACAAAGCTGTTCTTTTTTTCCCTGGGAAGTACTGAAAATATTCCAAAGATTAGACAGTTCTAGTTTAATTAGACATTAGTTTTAAAAGGGTTAAAAGAAGTAATAATCCAAACCTGTGGTGGTGGAGGGAGGTGCTGCAATTATTGTTCCTTGGATCAGCTCAAATACTCTTCTTTTTCCTTTCTGTGTGTCTGGACAGAACCTATGCTGATAAACTGAGCCCAAAGGTGGTGCAGTCTTTGCTGGATTTACTGTGCAGCCAGCTGAAGAACTTGTTGTCACAAGCTGGGGTGATGCTTATGGCTTCCTTTGGAGAAGGGGACGGGGAGGAAGAGGAGGTGGAATCAAAAAAGGTGGATTCAAGTGGGGATAATGAGAAGAGAGACTTCAGAGGTAAATACTTTGCATGATTTCTGTTACAGTTTCAAAATACCAGAAACAATAATAGAAGAAATCACTGCAGCGTTTTGATTTTTGTTGGGTCATTTTTAACTCTGTAAATTAGATTCAAGTCATCAAATAATTTAGTACTCTGTTCAGATTTATATGGAATTGATGCATAAAGTGATGTAAGGACAGGAGCAGGCTGAGAACAATAATCACTCCATCTGGTTTGGAATTAGGAATAAAGTATATTTTCCCTTGAAGAATGAGTTGATGGTAGTGTTTTTCATGTATGTGGTCGTAGGAATTCATCTGAATTTCAATCTAGAAATAAATGTAGTTTTATTCAGGGAATTGTTGTATTTAGGCAGTTTTGAAGTTGGAGTGGATGGCAGGAAGGTGACACAACTGCCATGTGAAAAAAAGCTGCAGGAAAAGATTTTCTGAAATTCTAAGATCTTCACAGTGTTTGCAGTCCTTAATGAACACTTTGATTTTCTGTGGCAGTTACGGGTTTGAAGAATTATCATTTGTAACTTGGTTTTAGGTGTAGATATGTTTTTGTTTGTGCTTATAATGATCTTCACTTACAAATAATGCAATGGCTGATGAATTAACAAGATAATTAATCACAAAATAGGATATGAGGTCTTTCCACAGACATTTTCATGGTAGAACTTCCTTGGAATACCGATCAGGGTGGGAAGAAGTTCAGTGTTTTGCATCAAAACCACTGCCCTGCTGGGTGGGGAGGCAGGAGAGCTGGGAGTGATGTTGAGATTGCATGGAAGATGTTTTAATTTTCTCCTCCTCTATTTTTCATTGGCAATAAATTAAAATTATTCTTCCCCCAGTTGAGTCTGGTTTGCCCGTGAGGATAAAAAAAATACCTTGGGCCGTGAACGTTTAATCTTATTTTCTGTCCCTATCTTGCTGAGGAGCAGAAGTGGGAGCACAGCTTGGTGGGCACCTGTCAGCCACCATGGAATAACTGAGCATGGCATTTTCACCTCCAGAACAGCAGCAGGACTGCCAGTCGAGCTGTGATGACAGCGTTTCATTTCCCTCCCCAGCTGCCCTGCGCAAGCAGCACGCGGCAGAGCTGCACCTGGGGGACTTCCTGGTTTTCCTGCGGAGAGTTGTGTCTTCCAAAGCGATCCAGTCCAAGATGGCATCTCCCAAGTGGACAGAAGTGCTCCTGAACATTGCTTCTCAGAAGTGCTGCTCAGGTACGACCGTGGCAGGACGTGCTGGGGGGTTGTTGCGGTTCCCGAAGTGGAGCCCTGTTAGGATGTGTCACACGGGGAACGATCAGAACCAGCTGGAGTGGATGTGCACAGGAGTTGCACTGGTGGGGTGTAGCCAGGTGCAGGCCTGATGCAGAGGGCTCTTTGGGATCATTGACCTGTTGTTTGTTCCACCCTCAGGAGTTCCCTTGGTTGGCAACCTGAGGACCAGGCTGCTGGCGCTGCACGTGCTGGAAGCAGTGCTGCCTGCCTGTGAATCCGGCGTTGAAGATGATCAGATGGCTCAGGTCTGTATATTTTGTTGTAAACCTTTACACCTGTTTCTTCTGAAAGTCTCATTAAATTCGTAAATGTTTCCTAAGTTTGTTCAAAATCCAGTCTAGTGAGGCTCAGTGTAGATCTTTAGTAATCCAAGAGCACTAAATATTTTGATGTTTATACCTATGAAGTAAAGTAAAACAATACAGTGCTACTTGTCCTCATGTGGGAGTTAAAATAATCTGAATTCTGTTCCAATGCACCAGGTTGTTGAGAGATTGTTCTCACTTCTGTCTGACTGCATGTGGGAGACTCCGATAGCTCAGGCCAAACACGCCATTCAAATCAAGGAGAAAGAGCAAGAAATGAAGCTGCAGGTAACGATGCTTGTCCTCTGTCCCGTGACTGAATGCTCCTGAATCACACTGAGCACTCACTTTTGGCCTGTTCCTGGCAGAAGCAGGGAGAGTCTGAAGATGAGGATGAGAATCTTCCCATCCAGGAGGTGTCCTTTGATCCTGAGAAAGCTCAGTGCTGCATAGTGGAGAACGGGCAGATTCTGACTCATGGCAGTGGAGGCAAAGGATACGGTTTAGCATCCACTGGAGTCACTTCTGGCTGTTACCAGTGGAAGGTGGGTTGCACAAACGTGCATTTCTTAACTCCTCTCACTTGGGTTTGGAAATGGGCTGTGATTTATTTACAGCAGCTGCCTCTGGTTTTTTTCCCTTGTGGCGACAGTCTTGAGTAAATGGCATTGTTATGTTTATGGTTGGACTCCATGATCTTAAAGATCTTCTCCAGTCTAAGTCATTCTACGATTTTATGATTTTTCAGTCCAAAGGGAAGAGTTTGTGGCTGCTTTTGAGTGCTGCTGTCTGGGTATTTCAGTACACAGGTTGGAGGGTGTCAGTGTGTTGTGTGTTTGTAGAGGTGATGGTACTTGTCCCTAAGATCCGTAATCAGCACCAATGTGCCTGGCTTTGCAGAAGTTACCTGCTGAAATATGTACATTTTGAATTTTTTCTGTAGAAAAACACTTCACAAAACATTGTTTTCTTGCAAAAAGGCATATCAACCTGACTGGCAAGAACAGTGTTTTAATGCACTATCTGAAGTGATTTTGATTTTTTTAGGAATGTAGATACATACACAGATGTGGTACCTTGTTGGTGCCACCTTTGAGCATAACACTTGTACTTCTTTTTTTTCCACTTGAATCTGTGAACATGAGATGAAAAGCTTATTCCTCTCTGTAATATTATTTTTAGCACTTGTAGCCCAACGTCTGTGTATGTTTTGAGTCCACAAAAAAACCCATCCAGCTTCTTTGTGTATTTACATATAGTTTTCTTTATTACTGGTACATGAAGCTTAAATGACTTGTCAGTGATTGACAGAGAGAAACAGAAATATACATACCTACATGCCAGGAAAATCTCCGTTGCTTTAATGTGTTCAAGTGCCCATTCTTGCATTTATTTTTCAACCCTGCCAGTTCTACATCGTGAAGGAGAATCGAGGCAATGAGGGCACCTGCGTGGGGGTTTCCCGCTGGCCCGTCCACGACTTTAACCATCGCACCACCTCGGACATGTGGCTCTACAGAGCCTACAGTGGCAACCTCTACCACAATGGAGAGCAGACCTTGACCCTGTCCAGCTTCACCCAAGGAGATTTCATCACCTGTGTGCTCGATATGGAAGCGAGAACCATTTCCTTTGGGAAAAACGGAGAGGTATTTAACAGCAATTGTTTGTTTTAATTGGAAAATGGATGGACATGATGGTTAAAACTCATGATATTTCAGTACTTAAAACCTTTATCACACAGACACAACTTTTTCATGTTTCATAATTTTGCTTGTTAAGTTTCTGAGTTTGAGGGGGTTTTTGTTGTGGTTTTTTCTCACTAGGAGCCCAAACTGGCTTTTGAAGATGTGGATGCAGCTGAGTTATACCCCTGTGTTATGTTCTACAGCAGTAACCCAGGAGAGAAGGTAACTTGAGGGCTCATCTGTGTGCATGTGCTGGTTTTGGCTGGGCTAAGTCAATATTCATCATAGCAACATGTGTGGTGCTGTTTGGGATTTCTGACCAAATCCATGTTTATAATACAGTGTTTCAACTGTTGTCATCTATTGTAAATTCAAAATGTATTTTATTACTTAGAATTGATTTACAGACTTGATGTTCTACGTGAAAAATTCAGTTCCCCAGAAACCAGGGAGGATGTACCATTAGGATTTCTAGATAGTCTTTTGTGAGAAACCACGGACTGTTGTAATTTCAGCATCCTTGAGTTTGAAGGGGTGGAGGTTCTGATCAGCGTTAAGGTGGATTAGGAAAGCAAAAAGAGGCAATGCTAATAATTATTTCTAGTCAGGAGACTCCTGTATTTGTATAAAGAGCTCATTCAGGTATGTCGAGAAGACAACTTTGACACTGTTCCCTTGCACACGTAGGTGAAAATCTGTGACATGCAGATGCGAGGGACACCCAGAGACCTCCTGCCCGGGGACCCCATCTGCAGTCCCGTGGCTGCCGTGCTGGCAGAGGCCACCATCCAGCTGATCCGGATCCTGCACCGCACCGACCGCTGGACGCACTGCATCAACAAAAAGATGATGGAGAGGCTGAACAAAATCAAAACCTGCCTCAAAGAAGCGGGGCAGAAGCTCAAGAAGAGCCGCTCGGTTCAAAGCCGGGAGGAGAGCGAGGCGAGAGAGGAGAAGGAGAGCAAGGAGGAGGAGAAGGGCAAGCACGGGCGGCACGGGCTGGCTGAGCTGTCGGAGCTGCAGCTGAAGATGCTGTGTGCCGAGGTGTGGCCCGTGCTGGCCGTCATCGGAGGGGTGGATGCCGGCCTCAGGGTCGGAGGGCGCTGCGTGCACAAGCAGACGGGCCGGCACGCCACCCTGCTGGGCGTGGTCAAGGAGGGCAGCACCTCTGCCAAGGTGCAGTGGGACGAGGCAGAGATCACCATCAGGTACGTGCTGGGGCTTGGGAACCGTCACGAGTGTCACTCAGCTCACACCGGAGTCAGGGCTTGGGAACCGTCACGAGTGTCACTCAGCTCACACCGCAGTCAGGGCTTGGGAACCGTCACGAGTGTCACTGAGCTCACACCGCAGTCAGGGCTTGGGAACCGTCACGAGTGTCACTCAGCTCACACCGCAGTCAGGGCTTGGGAACCGTCACGAGTGTCACTCAGCTCACACCGGAGTCGTGCTGAGCAGTTACTCGCAGTTTACACTGGAGCGGTGGGGAGTTGATGCTGCCTCGAAGGGGGGTTCATTCACGGCCTGACTCACATGGGGAGCCCAGGGGGTGCCCCTGTGCCAGGTGTGAACAGGCTGGAGCTGCCGTTGTGCTGAGGATGGGGAGAACCAGGGAGGAGGCTGCAAGGAGATAGCCCCTTTTCCACCTGTCTTGCCTTCAAAGGGAAGGCACCTGGAAGGAGACTCCAAATGAAGCCAGTGGCTTCTCTGGGCTCTCTGGTGCTCTCACAGGACCTGCCTGTGTTTTTGTGGGGAAAGATTTGACTCATTTAATTTCTCACAGTCTTGTGGAGAAATTAAGCACTAATTATTTTTTTTCACTACCAGTAAAAAAAAAAAAAAAAGACATTTTGAAATGGCCAAGGTCAGTTTGCCTCTAAGAGCTGTTGCAGAGTTATGTCTGTTTTGTCTTTGCAAAGGCTGTTGTCACTTTAACTTAATATGCTGAAGTGCAATTAATTTAGTTCCAGGTATAAATTCTTTCAAATGTGACAGTATAGCCTTAAAGTAAGTGTGGCCTTGAAATAACTTGAACCTTTATTTGAGTGAAGTGGTACAGCATTTGAACTTGGTAAAGCATTGAGTTCAGTTCAGAGTGTACCTTCTTAATCAAAACCAGGCTAAAGCTTGCTTTCATTTTTAGGTAGAAGTTTATATTGTAAAATGGGAAAGAAAACATTTTGGGACAATAAAAGGAAGATTTAAAAGTTGTTTATCTGCTGGATGTATGGAAAACACAAGATGTAGGAAATATGGACTGGTGAATTTTTGTCCTGCTTCAAGTGAAAATTAGCTAAGTTTAACAGTCCTAAATATTACCAGAAGATACCAGGGGATGTAGATGACAGATAAACCTCTGTGTCTGTTGGGTTTCCTGAGCTGTGTTTTTAAAATCACTGTCCTCACCAGGTAATCTGTCCTGACATACCAGAGACAGAATTACCATGAGCTGTCAGCAGTGTGGTGATGAATAATTGAACAGGAACATGAGGTCCATCGAAGCTCTTCCTTCCTGTGAAATGTTTTTCCTTTATAAACTTTTGTATCTGTGCTCAGATTCAGCTCAGGTACGATGATAAAATTGGGCTTAAGGTAGTTTTTTAGTAGAAGCATGTTACATACTTTTAAATAATCCAACCAAACCTGTGTCAGCACAGAATTGAAAGCTTCTGAGGGGCTTCTGGGTTTCAGTGCTTGTTGAAAACCTGTGTATGCTTTGTTGCCTTTACTTTGAAACCACATCTCCCTGTTTTCTGGCCATAACCTCATTACTCCCCCACCGTTTGCATTTGATTTTTAGAATCGCTTTGTTTATTTTATCGAATATATTTTACATCTTACTTTGCCTACATTATTTCCTGTACTTTCCTCCTGTCTCTCCCTCACTTGCTTTTTCCTGTGTCATTCTGATCTTTATTAAAGCTTCCCAACTTTTTGGTCGCCTAGTGACACCCCCCTGTATAACCTGGAGCCCTGTGAGCCACTGCCTTTTGACGTTGCAAGATTTCGTGGGCTGACAGCTACTGTGTTGCTGGACCTTACCTATCTGACTGGCATTCACGAAGACGTGGGAAAGCAGAGCACCAAGAGGCACGAGAAAAAACACAGGCACGAATCCGAAGAGAAAGGGGAAACGGACCAGAAGGCAGAGGGCGACGCCGGCTCGGACGCGCGGTTGGGGCCGAGCGCCGACGATGGCAAAGGACACGGTGCCACGAGCTCCAAGTCGGAGAACGAAATCGTTTCCTTCTCTTTAGAGCCTTCAACGCTAGGTATGGAATCCCAACACCAACCCGGGGAAGGAAGGAAAAAGAACCACGAGCACAGCCCGAGGAGTCACGACATAGTGCAGTCCGAGATCAGGGCTGTGCAGCTCTCCTACCTTTACCTGGGGGCCATGAAGTCCCTCAGCGTCCTGCTGAGCTGCAGTAAATACGCCGAGCTGCTGCTCATCCCCAAGGTGCTGGCAGAGAACGGGCACAACTCGGACTGCGCCGGCTCCCCGGTGGTGCACGAGGACGTGGAGATGAGGGCGGCCCTGCAGTTCCTCATGAGGCACATGGTCAAACGGGCGGTCATGAGGTCACCCATCAAGAGAGCCCTGGGGCTGGCAGACCTGGAGCGGGCACAAGCCATGATCTACAAGCTAGTGGTTCATGGGCTGCTGGAGGACCAGTTTGGTGGCAGACTTAAACCAGGTACGTTTTCAGAATTAATGGAAGTATAGGACTACATATTTTTATTTTTTAATTTATATTATAATTGTTAGTGGCAACAATAATACAGATAACGTAGTCTTGTAGTTTTGTGGTGGTTGTGCTTTGGAGGAGTCTTAATTGGGCAGAGAAATTTTGCCCAGCACTTTTGCTGTTTTATAAACATAATACTGACTTTTTTGCCTTTTTTCCAATTCCATATTAAAATAAATAGTGAATGTATATCAGTCAATCAGAAATACAGGAGTTTCTAATTTGCCTTTAATTCTTTTTAAAAATGAGCAGTTCTGTCTGTAATTGTCAGAAGGATTTGCACTCCTAAACCAACAAAAAACCTCTCTTAAAAATGTTCCTCGGACAGCTGAATTAAAGATATCTTTATAGTTAATCAGCTCTGTTTCCATGTCTTCCCTTTTGCCTATTTTGAGAATAATCCTGGCTGTTAACCATAAATCTAAATATCATAAGATCTGGTGGAAGTAAATGACTTGTTTGCTATTTAGCTTGTGTTGGTATCACAACAGCAGAAGTGAGTGTATGTTGTGCACTCCTGCACACCCCCTTCTCTGGGGAGAATTTGGAATAATGCCAGTTATTTTTGAAAGCTGGAAGTTTAGCCATGGCTGCTGTTTTGCTCCACACAGTTACATTAACGTTGCTGTAACGTCCCTTTTTCTCTTGCAGAAGTGGAGCAACAAGTGGAAGAAGGTGATCAGTCTCAGCAAGCCCAGACTCCAGTGACAACCAGCCCTTCTGCTTCCAGCACAACTTCTTTCATGAGCAGCTCTCTGGAGGATACAACCACTGCTACTACTCCAGTCACTGATACAGAAACAGTTCCAGCTTCAGAATCACCTGGGGTTATGCCTCTCAGCCTTCTTAGGTAAAACACCCCACAGCATGTGTGATTCTGTGGGTGTGGGGAGCAATATATGTCTTTAGATAAGCCTTTGAAGATGCTAATGTTTGTATTTACTGTCCAGAACTGCCTCTGCAGAGGGCACAGTTTAATTCGTTACTTTGCCTTGCAGGCTTTGTGTTACTAGAAATAAAAAGCTGTTAAGCTTTTACTCTGCATTATGTATATGTGTAATATCTGAGTTCTTCAAGAGGGAGAAAATACCTTCCTGAAGTTGTCCTTCAGTTCTCCTGTTTATTTGGTACAGCTGAAATTATTAACATCTGTGTTGTTAACAAATGTTTGTTGATTCTCAAACCAGAGTGGATCTTAGTTGGGAGGTGTCATCCTGTGAGCTAAGATATTGTTTCATCTTACATACTGAAATGGAAGATAGACCTGGTTAACCTGCAGAGGATATTTGTGATGTAGAACACAATCTGTTTGACATTGCATAGAGTCCTGTTCTAAGTTTATTAATTCTTAGAGGTTTTGCAGATATAATTTGATAAAAGCCAGAATGATACCTTTGTACCAGGACAGTGAAAATAAAATATTCACCTGTTCTATTACTCTGCCTGAGTTCTGAACAAACTGGGGAAGTGGGAAAAGTGTTTACCCATCTTTTATCTCCTAGGACAGCCCTTGATCTGGGAGGGGATTTTTAGGTGCATGCTTAGAATGTAACGTTACAGGTAAATTGGTAGGAATGAACTGTTCTGACAGGGTTTCTCTGCCCCTCTCCATGTGCTGTGCCTTACCCTTACAAAACACAACTGCTGTAAAGTAGGATTTGCCAAGTGCACTCCAATTTGATGCATTTCTTGTGTCAGACCTTTTCCAGCATAGCTCTTTTTGATGGAAATGTCTCCTGTTTTCTTTTCCAGGCAAATGTTCTCCAGTTACCCAACCACAACTGTGCTTCCAGCACGGCGTGCTCAGACTCCTCCAATATCTTCCTTACCAACATCTCCTTCAGATGAGGTTGGAAGGAGACAAAGCCTGACTTCCCCTGATTCCCAGTCTGCCAGGCCTGCCAATCGTACAGGTAAACTTGGAGGTGTAGATGGAAGTGTGGATGAGTCAGTAAATTCCCAGGAGCTCAGTGACAGGATTGCAGAGATTGAAAACCAACCCAATTTCTTTCTAAGGCAACTTAACGTTCAAAGCATTGTTGAAAACCTTTTGGTGACTGTCTTAGCACAGAAAAATGTAGATTATCTAACTGCAGACTTTATCAAGCAAATGAAGTGAGTTTTCAGAAACTGTGGATTGGATTACAAAGTGCATGTATAAAACCAGAATGCAGCCTCATTGGTAATTGCTTCAAAATGTTGGTCTGATTTGGGCTTGTGGTGTGTGCCACTGTCACATGCACTGATTTTCTAGCATGTTAGATCACATACCATGCAGAAAACAAGAACTGGTGTATTTTATGATGCATCCACCAGTATAACTCATTAATTGCAATTAATTACATTTAATGAGGTGGAAAGGGCTGTCCCACCTTCCTGGGGTCCTCATGCTCCTGTCAGAATAATCTTGTGAAGGGAATGGGAGGCTTCAGAACAGAAACAGATACACAGAATAATTGGAGACTGAGCAAATTGTTGAGTGAGGGTCTTGAGCTTCTCAAGAGCACAAATGAGTGCTGTGGGGCAGAGGAGAAAACACTAAAACCAAAACACATATGTATGTGTTTTGTATTAAATGAACAAAAGAACCCAAGGTAAAGTATCTTCTCCAGATTTCATATTCACACTGAGAAACAAAGTCTGTGCTTTAAAATTCCTAAGTGAGAAACTCTTTATTCCTATATCATTTTCAGATGCATTACCAGCTTAGTTGAGGTGTCTTCCTGCCCCTTGTGAGGGATGTGTACTGGTGTGATCTCACAACATTTGGGAATCCTGACTTGGACAAGGATAACTTCTCTAGGCTAGCTAAATACAGATCAAATAGATAATTTGATACAGTTTTAAATGAAAATAATAGAAGTGTCTGAAAAGAAATAGTTCTTTGATTATCATCAGTACCCCACTGGAGCAGAGGCACAGATAATCTGGGTTATCAATAACAATGAGCAGCTTGGGGTTTCATTCCAGAAAATATCTTACTTTGTGGCAAGTGATGGAGAGAAAAGTTGAGAGCAGTTATTCCCTTATGTGAAGCTGATGTGGCAAAGCAAGGCCTAGTAAAGTAACTCTGAAGAAAGATTTATGCACTTTACATGTCACATTTTCCATCTTTCCAGCTCTGTCTGATCCAAGCAGCCGACTTTCCACATCCCCCCCTCCTCCTGCCATCGCTGTGCCATTGCTGGAAATGGGCTTCTCCCTCAGGCAGATTGCCAAAGCTATGGAAGCCACAGGTAATCTGTAGCTGGAGTATCAGTTTAAACTGAAAAATTGGATGCACATAAACACTTTTTTCCAGTAAAATGCTTAATTTTTAAGTTCTGTAACCATTTATGGGTGAAAAGCAATTTTTTAAAAATAACCATCAGTGCTAAAATACAGGTGTGAAGCGTGATTTCCCTGCTTTCAGGTGCCAGAGGAGAAGCAGATGCACAGAACATCACAGTCCTGGCCATGTGGATGATAGAGCACCCTGGCAATGAGGATGACGAGGAGCCCCAGTCGGAGGGGACTGCGGAGTCACGGCACGGGACAATCGTCTCCGGCAGTGGGGGGAAGTCTGGAGATCATTGCTATTTGCAGTCTCCAGGGGATATCCCTTCTGCTGATGCCACTGAAATGGAGGAAGGCTTTAGTGAGAGGTAACATGTTGTTCTCCTGGCATTGCTTGTGGTGTTCCTGATCCTGGACACCTCCCAGGTTCGGTGCTGCTTTGAAATTTTGTTACAACACCAGTAGGAGCAAAGATGCAATTAATTTAGGTGTACGTGGTGAATTTGTTTTCCAGTACTGTGTGTGTGCAGAACTGAGCAAGAATGTGACTAATCATGTTCCCTAAAAAAAAAGAAAGGAAGAATGAAAAAAAATGAGGGCTTGTAATTGCATTTTAACTGAAAGACAGAGTAAGAAAGCAGAATTTTGTTGGTGCACTTCTTCCCCTGCAGTTTATACATGAACTGGGATTTTTCTACCTTTTTCTTTTTAAATTAATTCTTGGTTTATCCAGAGCAGATGAAACTGAATTGAAGTTTACTTTCTCAGTTTTCTTAGAGCTAAACTATCTCTTAAAGAAGGTGGTGGTTCTTTTGGGGCTTTTTGGTGGATTCTTTTCCGTTGCTGTTTTGTTGGGTTTCTTTAAATCCTGGAAGTGGTGGTTACATTTTTAAGTGACTCCTGTCAGGAATCATACCAGCATTTCTTTTAATAGAGAGGATGACCATTATAAGATGCATTTTGGGAACACTTGTTCACATTCCTCAGTCCTACTGAGATATATGTTTTTAGGTTTCCTCCCTTACTTTGTCCCAGATCAGTTGTCAGTTCATGGAGAACTTATGGATTTCAGTTGGGGTAAATGTCACAGTCAAAACCACAGCAAATACTCAGTGCTCAGTGGGACTGAAAATTCTTGACCTCAAAATTCCTCTTTTTTCCTTCCACAAAAGAAAGGAAAAAGAAATTCTCCTAAATACAACTTTGGAATTTTTCCTCCCTTTACTGTACGTGGTCGGTTAAAACTCGGTTTGACTTACCTGTAAATTACAAATTCTTGTAGCCCTGATAACATGGATCACGTGGACAATGCAGCTGCTGCCAGTGGCCCTCCCTCCAGGAGTCGCTCGGCTGTGACACGGAGGCACAAATTCGACCTGGCTGCCCGGACCCTGCTGGCACGGGCTGGTGAGTGCCCTCACGGACACACAAGGGCTGGTGAGTGCCCTCAGGGACACACAGGGGGCTGGCACGGGCTGGTGAGTGCCCTCAGAGACACATAAAGGGCTGGCACGGGCTGGTGAGTGCCCTCACAGACACACAGGGGCTGGTGAGTGCCCTCAGGGACACACAAGGGCTGGTGAGTGCCCTCAGGGACACACAAGGGCTGGTGAGTGCCCTCAGGGACACACGAGGGCTGGTGAGTGCCCTCAGGGACACACAAGGGCTGGTGAGTGCCCTCAGGGACACACAAGGTGCTGTGAGTGCCCTCAGGGACACACAGGGGGCTGTGAGTGCCCTCACAGACACACAAGGAGCTGTGAGTGCCCTCACAGACACACAAGGAGCTGGTGAGTGCCCTCACAGACACACAAGGAGCTGGTGAGTGCCCTCAGAGACACACAGGGGGCTGGCACGGGCTGGTGAGTGCCCTCAGGGACACACAGGGGGCTGGCACGGGCTGGTGAGTGCCCTCAGAGACACACAGGGGGCTGTGAGTGCCCTCAGGGACACACAGGGGGCTGTGAGTGCCCTCACAGACACACAGGGGGCTGGCACGGGCTGGTGAGTGCCCTCACAGACACACAGGGGGCTGGTGAGTACCCTCAGAGACACACAGGGGGCTGGCACGGGCTGGTGAGTGCCCTCAGGACACACAAGGGGATGGTGAGTGCCCTCAGGGACACACAAGGGCTGTGAGTGCCCTCAGGGACACACAAGGGCTGGTGAGTGCCCTCAGGGACACACAAGGAGCTGTAAGTGCCCTCAGGGACACACAAGGGGCTGTGAGTGCCCTCACAGACACACAGGGGGCTGGTGAGTGCCCTCAGAGACACACAGGGGGCTGGCACGGGCTGTGAGTGCCCTCACAGACACACAAGAGGCTGTGAGTGCCCTCAGAGACACACAGGGGGCTGGTGAGTGCCCTCACAGACACACAAGGGGCTGGTGAGTGCCCTCAGGGACACACGAGGGGCTGGCATGGGCTGTGAGTGCCCTCAGGAACACACAAGGGGCTGTAAGTGCCCTCACAGACACACAGGGGGCTGGCACGGGCTGGTGAGTGCCCTCATAGACACACAGGGGGCTGTAAGTGCCCTCAGGGACACACAAGGGGCTGTAAGTGCCCTCACAGACACATGAGGGGCTGTGAGTGCCCTCAGGGACACACGAGGGGCTGGTGAGTGCCCTCAGGGACACACGAGGGGCTGGCATGGGCTGTGAGTGCCCTCAGGGACACACGAGGGGCTGGTAAGTGCCCTCAGGGACACACGAGGGGCTGGTGAGTGCCCTCAGGGACACACGAGGGGCTGGCATGGGCTGTGAGTGCCCTCAGGGACACACGAGGGGCTGGCATGGGCTGGTGAGTGCCCTCAGGGACACACGAGGGGCTGTGAGTGCCCTCAGGGACACACTAGGATTTGACTAAACCAGGGAGGGAACAGGAGGGGGGTTGGGACTTGGCCTGAAATGTAGAAAACTCCCTCTCCCCCGTGTGTGGCTGCACAGTTCAGTGTTTGGTGTGGTAATAAGTAGATTGTGGTTAGCAGAAGAGTTACAAATTAAGTTGAAAGTACAGCCATCTCTGTTCCATGTAAAATAAAAGTTGTGCTTTCCTGTTTGTCCCTCCTTTTCTGCCTGGAGCGGGGTTGTACCGCTCCGTGCAGGCCCACAGGAACCAGAGCCGCCGGGAAGGGATCTCCTTGCAGCAGGATCCGGGAGCTCTCTACGACTTCAACCTGGACGAGGAGCTGGAGATCGACCTGGATGACGAAGCCATGGAAGCCATGTTTGGGCAAGACCTGGCTAGTGATAATGATATTCTGGGAATGTGGATCCCAGAGGTATTGGACTGGCCTACCTGGGTGTGTGTGACTGCAGCGGGGGCTGCTTTAACTTACTGCTTTTTGCATGCTCGGGTTTGTGAATTTTCAAGTAACCTGTGAATGCTCAAGTCCCGTTTGGAAATGGCTCTAAATGCCAGCAGTGCTTCAAATCTTTTTGTATATTCTGTAGCTTCATTTCTAGATCAAGAATAGTGTTTTCCTGTGTTTCTTGCTCAGCACTTCCCCATGGATGTAGTTTTGATTCTCTTTTCTCCCTGACAGATGAGAACACAGCTAGTGTTTGTTGTGATGTGTGCATAGTTGTTCTGATGATATCAGTTAGAAATCAAGTAGGTGTTTCCAGATGGCTTAGCTGTGTGAGATAACACAGTTCTAAATGCCTCTTCTACTGCTGCTATTAATAGTATCTGATCTGTAGCAGCATCATTTGCACTTAAATCAGTTTTTTTAATTTAATCTTGTCGTGTATTTCATTCTCTGGGAAGGATGTGGTGACAGTCCTCACTGAATTGTTGTGTGGAGCAGTAAAAAACTCTTGAGGTGGAAAAGAAATGTAATAACAGCAATTAGGTAATCTTTGGATTCTTCATGTCAAATTAGACATCGACCCATAAGACTTAAGGTTTTGTCTCCTAATTATAATGTTAGCTGACTTTGATATGGAAGCAATTTTCAGTGTGCATTTGAATTTTTCAGAGCACTTGTTTCAGTGAGACACCTCAATGAAATTACTGTCTTAGGACAGAAATGTACTTACACAAAAATGAACTTCATATTGAGATAAAACCTTGGAATTGGCTGACACAAATACCAGTTGTTGTTGCTCAGTAAACGTAAAATCTGATTGTCTGAAACAAAAAATAGTTCTTTTTATTTGTTAGGTTTAGTTTCAGACAAGTTCTGAGGAGAACCAGATCGAGAAAGTGTTGACTGTGAGCAGGGTTATATGTGAAAAGTTATATGTGACAAGAATTTTGAGTCAATCTGAAATGGAATAGGAAACTTGGTGTTCATTTGTTTTGGTGTCTCCTCTGAAACTTTACTTCCAGATGTTTTTCCTGTTGTGAGGTGGTGTTCTCTTCATTATGTCCAGTGAAAGGCAGAAAGGAAGATTTAGGGACTGGAGTATCCTGTGAGGAAAGGCTGAGGGAGCCTGGGGTAGAGATGACTCAGGGCAGTCATCTTACTGATGTGTGTAAATACCTGCAGGCAGTGTGTAAATCCAGGCTCTTTTCAGTGACTGAACCAGAGCCAGTGGCACAAACTGAAGCCCAGGAGAATAAGGAAACACCTCCTCAACTGTGAAAATGCCCAAGAACTGGCACAGGTTGTCTGGACAGGTTGTGGTGTCTCCATCCCTGGAGATACGGAAAAGCCACCTGGACAAGGTCCTGGGCTGCAGGTGGCCCTGCTTGAGCAGGGGGGGTTGGATGAGATGATCTCCAGAGATCCCATCCAATATCAGCCATTCTGTGACGCTGCTTTGCTTCTGTGCCAGTTGAGCATAGAAATATCATTGTGTGTGTAACAAAAACGTGCCCAAGATCATGGGTGTGGTTTGTACCTGACATGGAGGGATCTGTTCTGTGCCAACAACACGTGCAAATCTTCCTGTGCAGCACGTCTGCGAGGCTGAGGACAGAGAAGAGGTGGTGGTGTGTGAGCTGTGCGAGTCCAGCGTGGTGAGCTTCAACCAGCACATGAAGAGGAACCACCCCGGCTGCGGGCGCAGCGCCAACCGGCAGGGCTATCGCAGCAACGGCTCCTACGTGGACGGCTGGTTCGGGGGCGAGTGTGGCAGTGGGAACCCCTACTACTTGTTGTGTGGCATCTGCAGAGAGAAGTACCTGGCCCTGAAGAGCAAATCCAAAACGTCCACTTCCGAAAGGTACGGGAAAAGGAGCCCGTGGAATTCCTAGCAGAGATTCCCGAGCCTTAAAATCTCTCTCTGTGTTCAACAAATGCATAATAAGAAAAGAAGGTGAACTTGATTCTTCTGGGTTATAAGTGAAAAACTGGGATTTTTTTCCTGCTTCTTAATGACTTCTGGAAACTTTTAATCAGTTTTGTCTGACAATTGCAGTATTTTTTGTGGGCCTTTCTCACATCAGTACTGCCAAGTGCTTCCCCCCCTCCACACATACTGTTAGCCCCTTTTATCTATTTCTCTCTTATTAGCCATTTCCAGAATCACTGATAATTGTATGCAGATGTAACAGTAAAGTTAATAAGTTAATAAGGAACCAAGTTTAAAATTGTTATGGATGTTTTCAAAATATTGGAGTCATACAGTAATTTCCTTTGTTATTTTTTCCTGCAGGTACAAAGGCCAGGCTCCTGATTTGATAGGTAAACAAGACAGTGTTTATGAAGGTAAGTTTTGAAGTTGCATAGTGGGTTATTTTTTCATAAAAGTACTTCCAATAAATAAACCTGAAACTGTACACAAAGGTGTATTTTTAGATCTCCCAATTAGATGTAGTATTTTAGGTTTGGGGTTTTTTTTTTTTAGTTCAAATCAGAAAAAAACTCAGTGATTTTTTTCCCCCCATTTTTCATCTAAGCAGCTGAAATTGGGGTGATAAGGTGTTGGGGGGAGATGTTATGTCCAGAACTGCACATGCAAAACCTTCTGTTCAAATACTTCCCTTCAGCTGCCTTTGTGGGAGAAATTAGTGTAAATTAATGTCCCAGAAGTCTGCCATTTGGCTTGTTCTTAATTCTTCTACCTTTGGCCTGGGAGTGGCTTTCTACTTTAAACAGATTATTTGTGGTATCTGCAGAAAAGCTTTCCCAGATGGTTCTTTGATTGTGGTCCTGTCTGTAGCTGCATGGTGGCAGTTGTATGATTTACCACATCTGTGTATCTGAGACTAAATGAGTGCTCCAGGACTTGGGGCAAGTCCACCTGCTGATAGATTAAAGGTGTTTGGATTCTACTGAGTGTGGAGTGAGGCAGAGCAGGGGAGACCACAAAATAGAAGTTAATTTTTTTGTAAATGGTTGGGAAGTGGATGGAATGCAATGAGTTGCAGTTATAATGCTTCTTATTTGGTTTTTTTTCCCTTTTTTCTTTTTTTTCTTTTTTCCCTGGGAAGGAAAAGCAGAAACCTGAGTGTCTAATTATAGCCTGTGGAGTCATGCCTACTTCTTTGATTAATGAAAGACCAGAGATTTTTAATATCTCTATTTATTCTTCAGTCCTTTGGCATATGTACTTGTTACCATGATTTCAAGCACAGCTTTTCATTATATTCCAGGTTTTGGAGTTGTCTTGTGCTACATGTGGTGACCTGCAGTTTCTGTGCTTTTAAACAACAGCTAGTTTGATACTTCAGAGAGTATTCCAGGAAACTTTTGGGCACTATGTGTAAAGACCAAGTTGAATAGAGAGGGGAAAGAGCAGGATTTGTTTTTCTGATTGACTCCCTTGTGTCTACATCAACATCAGGGGATGAGTTTTTAAGATTTACTGAGTTGCAAATGACAATACACATTTCGCACCTTGCACCTTTTTTTTTTAATTAATTGGAATTATTTAATATTCTAGCTTTTGTAACCAAGTCTAATTCTATTTCCTCAACTCCAGAAGACTGGGATATGTTAGATGTAGATGAAGATGAAAAGCTGACAGGAGAAGAAGAGTTTGAATTACTGGCTGGCCCTCTTGGGTTGAACGATCGACGCATCGTCCCCGAGCCCGTCCAGTTCCCCGACAGTGACCCCCTGGGGGCTTCTGTTGCGATGGTCACAGCCACCAACAGCATGGAGGAAACGCTGATGCAAATAGGTAAATGTCAAATGCATTTCATTCAAAGAATGAATAATCATAATATACCACCTCCCCCTCCCCTTTGGTGTGGTTTTTGGAGGTGTGGTGCAGAAACAGTGACAATGTTTCCTGCCTGACACCGTGAGGGAGTGAAGACAGGCTCTGAAATGGCCTTTATTACAGGGCAGTTAGAGAGCAATGAGGATTATGAATTAACAGGAGGCTTGAAGCTTCATTTACCAATCTGTGCCCATAGTTCAACAGTGAATGCCAGTAGCATGTTTTACACTCAAAGAATGGGTTTAAATTGGGACTTCAAGGAGGCCTCTCTGATGGAAAAGGGAAACAGAGTTGAGATTAACCTGAGTATTGTCAAGTAGTTCTCATCTATGAAAATGAGGAATTATTGAATTATGGAGTGTATTTCAGGAGTGTATTTATTTTCCTCTCAGTCATTACCACCATGTAGTTCTGTATGAAATACTGAAAAATGCATGAGTAGATGACAGACTTGGGCCAGATTGACTTCTGTGCTTATTCCTGTATGATGAAGTTTTGGTTTTCTTTAAGCACTAATGCAAATCGTGGTTGTTTCCAAGGCTGTCACGGCTCAATAGAGAAGAGTTCCTCTGGCAGGATAACCCTGGGAGAACAGGCAGCTGCCCTGGCCAATCCACACGACCGGGTCATGGCTCTGAGGAGAGTGACAGCTGCTGCCCAAGTCCTCCTGGCAAGAACCATGGTTATGAGAGCACTCTCACTATTGTCTGTCAGGTTGGTGGCATCTTTGGCAACACTTTTACCTCTTCTTTCAGAACCAGGTACCGAGTGATGTTTGATAAGGACGCGATTTTAGACTATTTGGGAGAGCGATTCTCCTTTCATGCACTTACATAATACTTCTAAGAGAAGGAGTTCTGCTGATTTTTGTTCTTTTAACCCAGAGCATTTCCATCCCTTTTTCCAGTGGTTCCAGTTGCAGCCTGGCAGCTGGCCTGGAGTCCCTGGGGCTGACGGACATCCGGACGTTGGTGCGGTTGATGTGCCTGGCGGCGGCGGGCAGAGCAGGGCTCTCCACCAGCCCATCCACAGTGTCCAGCTCAGCAGAGAGAGCCAGGGGCATCCACAGCAAAACCAGCAAGCCCATCTCTTGCCTTGCCTACCTGAGCACTGCAGTTGGGTGCCTGGCATCGAACACTCCCAGTGCTGCAAAGCTGCTGGTGCAGTTGTGCACGCAGGTAGGACTGTCCTCTCAGCTGCAACGCTTCAATCCAGGAGATGAAACCATCCCTTCTGTACATCCCTTCTGAACTGGGATGAGACTGACCTCACTGTGAGGATCTCCTCAGAGTTCTTGGTTATGGCTTTGCACAAGGCTGTGTTTTATTGTTGGTAAAAATCAAGTAACCACACATGTTTTTGCTGAGTGCTCTTTTTTTAAGTGGGGAAAATGGATGTGCTCTTTGTTTTCATAGGGGTTTTCTGTTTAGCTTCTGGTGGGGTTTTTTCTTGAGTCAGCTCTATGAAAAAAAAAATTAAAAGCCTTTAAAACTCTGCCTGATTCATCCGCCTGAAAATATTCTCTAAAATTTCTATTTCTGTTTGTTCTGGATAACCAGAACAATAAATAATTATCATCTTCAATTCTTTGTTTCTAGAATTTGATTTCTGCAGCAACTGGCGTGAATTTGACAACAGTCGATGATCCAATTCAGCGGAAATTTTTGCCAAGTTTTTTAAGGGGGATTGCAGAAGAAAACAAACTTGTCACATCTCCAAATTTTGTGGTTACTCAAGCACTTGTAGCATTGTTGGCAGACAAAGGGGCCAAACTGAGGCCAAACTATGATAAAGCTGAAATTGAAAAGAAAGGTACGATACAGCTTTGTTTTTAAATGTTGATCGTTAAACCTTGAGTTCCTCATTTTTCTACGTAAGGGAGAGGCTTGCTAGAAAAATGTCTAAATAGATATACTCAGAAAAATATCTAAATAGGTATACTCTGAAAAATGTACAAAACTTGTTATAATCACAGGTATCTTACAGTTCATGACAGACATTTAATTAGAAATACGATCTCATTACATAACTGCATCTTTAGAAAAGCCTGAATGTGTGTTATTCAAAGCCATAGAGCTGAGACATCGAGCCTTGGTTGTGCCTCCTGGTGAAATTAGGGGCAGTTACAGCTGATTGCTGCCACCCAAGTGCTGTTCTGTGTCTGGTCACAAAGTTGTGCTGCCTGTGCTTGGAGGGGTCAGGGAGTTTGTGAAGCAGCTGCTGTTGCTGTGAGAAGGAGAGGGAAGGACACAGCAGTGTCAGGGGAGGCATTTGCTCGTTCAGCAAGCACTTGCTCTCTGAACAACCATTTTCCCTGGGGTGGAAATCAGGCTGTTTATAATTCCATTCTCAAGAGCTGAATATTCTTCTCGTTTACTGAAAACGTGACTGGGGTTGTTTGACTCTCAGAGGACGCTTTTCCTGAGGGTTTTTAACACGCCCTTTTCTGGGAATGCTGGCTAATGCTGTGCTTCACCTGCCGACTCCGTGTGGTACTCATCCCGGCCATCATCTCATTGTTTCGTTTAAGCAGGTTTAATTGCCCATTTGTATGCCCATCCTTCCTATGATCCCTCTGCTGTAGGCCCTCTGGAGCTGGCGAACGCGCTGGCCGCGTGCTGCCTGTCCTCGCGCCTGTCCTCGCAGCACCGCCAGTGGGCCGCCCAGCAGCTCGTGCGCACGCTCGCCGCCCACGACAGGGACAACCAGAGCGTCCCCCAGACCCTGGCTGACATGGGGGGGGACCTCAGGAAGTGCTCCTTCATCAAGCTGGAGGCTCACCAGAACAGGGTAAGCCCTGCTTTGCCTGCCTAAAACAGGAGGAGAAAGCTCTCTGAGTGACGTTAGTGTAGATGGCATAGAGAGCAGTTCTGTGATGAAAACCTTCACACCCACAAAGAGAATTCCCACACTTCTGTAGCTTCCACTAATTACCACGTCTAGTGGGCACATCCAACCCAAAACCCACTTTTGGAGGCTCACCAGAACAGGGTAAGCCTGGTTTGCATGCCTGAAACAGGAAAAGAAAGCTCTCCGAGCAACTTAGTGTAGACAGCGTAGAGAGCAGTTCTGTGATGAAAGCCTTCACACCCACACAGAGAATTCCCACACTTCTGTAGCTGCAACTGATTACCATGTCTAGTGGGTACATCCAACCCAAAACCCACTTTTGGAGGCTCACCAGAACAGGGTAAGCCCTGCTTTGCGTGCCTAAAACAGGAGGAGAAAGCTCTCTGAGTGATGTTAGTGTAGATGGCATAGAGAGCAGTTCTGTAATAAAAACTTTCACACCCACACAGAGAATTCCCACACTTCTGTAGCTTCCACTAATTACCACGTCTAGTGGGTACATCCAACCCAAAAAGCACTTGTGCCCCTGTTGCCACCTGCAGAACTACCTGGTTGGAGCTTTCCGAGGGTTCCAGGCCCTCTGTCTTGTTTTGGCTACGACTCATCCTTCCGGTCCAGCTGCACGTCCCGGACAGGATGTGCTTGTTAAAATCTCCTCCCTTGAAAAAAAGTGCTAAACAGAAGTTCAAGAATGCAGCACAAACCGTGAGAAAGGGTTTTAGTAACAATCTGAAGTGAAAGAAAATTATACAGCCACATTAAAATCTGCAAGAAGCTAAAAATCTTCAGGTGTCAGTCTCACGTGGCAATTGGAACACTCTGTTTGTACAATACATTAAAAATAAAATAATATTACCTTACACATGCGCTGACTGAAATGATTTCCCACGAGAAGCAATTTTTTGGAGATTGAGTTGTTGCCTGAGGTAAGTTATTGCACCTCTGAAGCACAAAAATGCTTGGCTTTTTTGAAGCTTCAATTAAAGGCATCGTGAGAGTGTTCTTACAGCACATGGAGACAGCAGAGTCACCCTGAATGTTTTCTTAGACTAGATCTGAATTTGCATTCATTTTCACATCTTAGTTCAGTTTTCTGTGCAATGGTGGCCTGTGGAGCAGGGTGAAGTGTGGCACCCTTATAAAGCCTGTTTAATTGCAATATAATTATATATTGTACTATATATATTATATCTATATTATATATCTATATAATATAATAGTACTGTAAAAGTAGCAAAATAAATCTTGATTGTTATGGTGTATTTCAGTGCTGCTGCTGCTGCTCTGTCTCACTGATTAATGTTTGCTTAATATTAGTGAGCAAAACCAGCTGAGTTTCCAGTTCTGCCATGATTCCTTTGGTATTTGCAGGTCATGACGTGTGTTTGGTGCAATAAAAAGGGACTTTTGGCCACCAGTGGGAACGATGGCACCATCAGAGTGTGGAATGTGACCAAGAAGCAGTACTCACTGCAGCAAACCTGCGTGCTCAACAAGCTGTAAGTTGGTTCTTTACAGCAGTCAGGGGTTTGATTGGAGCTGTAATTGTGCAAGATAATGGAAAGAGCCAGCCCTGCAGCATCTCCTGCACGTGTTCTGTGGGGCTGCTGCTGTGTTCATGGCATGCAGAGTAAATGGAATGGCTTAAAACTGGAAACAGAATTTAATTATCAACTGGGCAAGAGTCTTGTGTAAAGAGATCATGGGAAAGCTGTTTGAAACCGATCCTAATTAATTGACACGAGGAGAAATGGGTAAAATAAAGACTGTGTGGGGCTGTCAAGAAGAAAAAATTGAATATCCCTTCAGTGGGTTCCAGTGGAGAGCTCCAAAGTATAACATGCTAACATTGCAAGTGTGGTCATTTGGGATAAGTGTCAAAAAAGAACTTGTGACTTGTGGGATTCAGGAACTGAGTGTGATTCTTCCTCATGAGAACGTCTTTATGTGTCCAAAAAAAGAAGAAACCAGAAGGAAAGATTAAAATGTAATTCTTTAGTAGAGCACAGGAGAGTTTAACTCAGGAGAATGAAGGAACAACAGTGAACTACAAGGTTGTTTCCTGATAATTTCTTAGTGGTTGTTCTAATTCTTGTCTGCTTGTCAACTTGTCTGGTAGATGTGGCCTTGAAAGGAATAAATGGAGTGACATAACAATATTATAGCCTTCATTTTTCTGTTATTAAAAACAGTAAAAAGTGTTGTTTATGATCTTAAGGGCAATTAAAGGTATCAGTGGTCCTGTTAAAATTAGCCAAAGCAGACAGTGTAACATTAGAACAGGAGGAAGAGTTTAAAATAGAATTGAGAGCAAGGTGTGCCTCTTTAGTGTCTTGTCCAGAAACTTTTGCCCTCACTAAAGATGTTAAATCTGAGAAATAAGTAGATAAAGATAATGAAATTATTTTCCAGTTGAAACTTAGCTTGAAATTTCTTGGAAATAGCTAATATGTCATTTTGTAATCTGAAATGGCTTTAGAGAGAGTGTACAAGTATGAGCAGGAAAATGTGCCATAAACCTGCAGTGATGTCAGGACACCAGGTTTTAGCTCAGCTCTTTCATGAATTCTGTGTGTTCCTGTCTGCTTAAAGGAAATGCCCATTTTAATTGTGGTTTTGGTTTTTTTTTTCTGTTACAGAGAAGGTGATTCTGAAGAAAGCCTGGGGTCACCCAGTGACCTGAGTTTATCTCTTGTCTGTTGGAGCATCAGTGGCAAATACCTGGCTGGAGCTACAGAAAAGATGGTGAACATATGGCAAGTCAATGGTACGCCCTTAACTACCTGTGACCTCTCTGTGCTGCACAGATTTGTAGGGAAAGTTACTGCACATTTGTTTACACAAGGATTTAGGTGTGGATGTGGGATTTACACCTTTGAGAGGGGAGCCTTTTAGTCACTGTCATCTGTAATCTTGGAAACCCCATTCCATTGCTTTGCACTTAGGAGAAGCACCTGTGTGAATAGACAGCCCCAGGGAAGGAATAAATTTACTTCAATAAATATTGAACAATTTAGCTTCATCCTTTACAAAACTATGTAACTTGACTGATAAATGAGATTTTTTTAGCTATATTTTATGTCTGTGTAGATTAGTGGACCGTGGCTTTGTATTCTTGCAACTTAGCTGAATTTCTAATAAGTCCCACCTAAGATCTGTTGGTATTTTCTCCTGGAAAGTATCTGTGCTGTTTTCTTTATGAAGATGAAGTCGTTTCAAAAGACTTTTTGGTCTCCTAGGAGGAAAAGGGTTGTTAGATCTTCAGCCTCACTGGGTGTCTGCTCTGGCCTGGCCAGAAGAAGGCCCAGCTGCAGCCTGGACGGGGGATGCTCCAGAATTCCTGTTAATTGGCCGCATGGATGGATCTCTCGCTCTCATTGAAGTTGTGGATATCTCAGCCATGCACAGGCTAGAACTGGAACACTGCTACAGAAAGGATGGTAAGGGGCTGCTTCAGCATGGGCACTTAAAATTGGGGAAACACCCCCCTCCCTTTTTACTAAACAAGTGTAAAATCTTGGTTTTTCTTGTTATCGTTCCTGGGGGGTGAATTCTGGTACCTGCCCTGCAGGTGTCCTTTGGCTGTGATGGTGGGAGGAGAAAAGCCTGTGGGATCTCCACCTGCACCCTCACTCCCCCCCAGCAGAGACAAACAGTCTGCAGCAACCAAGTCAAACCCTGACATTTCCTTGCTGTTGTGGAAAATCCAGAGATCCCCTGCAGTGTCTGCTCTGTCTGCAGATAGCGTGGAGTCAATTGAGCTCCTCAGTGACTGCTGCTTTTCCTTCACAGTTCCAGTCCCAGGGCACATCAAGTAGCACATCTTTGGCAGTATTGTGTGGCTTTGCATGTTGCTTCTTCAGGAAGTTTGCAGATTTATTTTTTTTTTTTCAGAATCAGTTGAGGGAATATCTACTTGCTATGAAAAGCAAGTTGTTTTTCCAGAGCTTTTCTTAGATACATGGATAGGATTCAGTCTGCTTTCCCCCCTCCCCGGTATAATTATTTTCACCATGCCAGAAATTCAAATTCAATTATTTTAGTAAAAAGAAGAATGAGAAAACTAGTACAAAATAATCTCAACAGCTGCCATTACAGTGGAACTCAATTTTTATCCTTACCATACAAATTTGAGGACATTTTCAAAGCAAAAGTATGTTAAGTGACATTAACAGTGGAGAAGTTTGTTAAACAAACTTCTCATAGTTCAGACAAATGCACTGCAAACCCTCCTTGGCAGGAGTGAAGTTAATTGAGCTTAATTAATGCTGGTGTTGTCTGTTCATGCAGTGTCTGTCACGTGCCTTGCCTGGTTCAGCGAGGACAGACCGTTTGCTGTGGGCTATTCTGATGGAAAATTGCTGATAGGGACAAAGGAGCCACTGGAGAAAGGAGGAGTCGTTGTCATCGATGCCCATAAGGTAACTGTTGAAAACTGAGGGATGATTTCTCTTGTAAAGATCTGTTGAAGCTGTTTTCTCTATTGGAAAGCTGTTTATATAGTCAGGTGCAGGTTATTTTGAGAACACATATCTATTTCTGATACAGATGTGAAACATAATATACTTTAAAGGAGCAGCCTACCAAATGTGAAAAGAAAAGGGCAAAAAGGGAAGATAAATTTGATAGCCTGTTTTTCTGTCATGGGTATTCATACAGTGACAGGAGTGTTAAGCACAAAGCTGTACCTGACTGGATTTAGAAGACTAATTCTTTTAATTGGTAAAAGTGCTCATAATAAATCCTGAATTTGCTCACGTCACATGTTTTTGTTTAGCTTCCTGTGCAAAGCAAAAGGTGTTCTCTTTGCAATCCCAAAGGTTGGCAACCTTCTCTTGGCCAGGATGTAATATGTTATTACAATCCACAAATTATTTGTTAGGCTGATGAGAATTCCTCAAATGCAGGGGTAGTAGGAGCCTCTTGAGTGCTTCTCTGGGGTGTCTGGAGCAGGGTAATCCCAGCAGGAGGATGCTGAGGTGATAAATCCGTCCTTGCCTTCTTCCTGTGGGCTGTTCTCCTTCCCTGCCCCAGTTACACTCAAAGCTACATCTGGCCCATTCCTTAATATGTTTCCAAACCATTTGTGCTACAGTTTCATAGTATAAAAAAAGAAGGAAACATTGCCCACTTCATCAGGGGAAAAAAGATCAAGGAAGGTTTGCAGTGAAGAGAAAACATCTTTGCTTTCCCTACAGTTTCCTTCAGCAAACTTCTTAAGTCTTTTTAATTTGATAGCTCTGAAAAATATTATGATTCCATAATTACAGCTCCCTCTCTGTGCAACAATTTTTTTGAGAATCAAGTACTTTTGGTGTCAATAATTAAAAGCTACATTAACTCCCAGAGTGAAAATTTTCTCCTCTTACCGTTCCTTCCGACCAACTTTTGGTTGTTTTCCACCCACCAGGACATGGTTGTGAGCATGAAGTGGGATCCAACTGGGAAGATTCTCCTGACATGTGCCAAAGAAGAGACCGTGAAGCTCTGGGGGTTCCTGGGGGGCTGCTGGAGGCGCCTGCACTCGCTGTCCCACCCTGCTCTGGTGAATGGCATCGCCTGGTGTGCCCTGCCAGGGAAGGGGCCCAAGCCCCAGCTCCTGCTGGCCACGTATGTCCCAGCTTTTATTGTTTCTGTGGTTCTTCTGCAGCTCTGTTCCACCAGTCTGGAGTGTCCAGAGCAAAGAAAAGGGTTTTTTTAAATCACATTCCTTCAATAAACCGGTTACACGAGGCTTCAGAAGTCAGGTGTAAAGGGTGACCCTGGTTGTTATCAGCTGTTTTCTCCATCTCATGAGACCTGAGTGTGTGCTGGTCCTGCTTGAATTTTTTTACTTCATTCAAATATTTTTTCTAATCTGTTGTCAGTAAAAATTGAAAAATTACAGGGTGTGAGGAATAGGAAAAAAAAATGCATTTATCCATTGGGAAGGTGCCTTTCTACTTAATATTAATTTATACAATACAGTTTTAAATGTGGTAAGACTACTGATATGATAAGTTAATACCTTCATTTTGTTTTTCTAATTCCTCTGACTTGCTTTAGGGGCTGCCACAATGGCCTGGTGTGTGTCTGGACTGTTCCCCAGGACGTTGTGATCACGCTGCAGTCCAGCTCAGCTTGCTCAGAAGGGTGGTGGGAGCAAGAAACAAGTGCCAAGGTAAAAGGAATTCTCTTGGTGGTTAAGGAATTTTCTCTGCTCGTTGTGAAATGGAGGGAGGAGAAGAATGAGAGCAAGTTCCTTGAATGGTTCCTGGGAGAAGAGATTTGCTGATAAAGGGATGTTGTTTGTCTATGTGTAGCCATTTTCAGAACAGGAAATGAAAAATCACAGGTTTAAATTTTATGTGGCTAAAGTTCATCTTTGGTCTGTTTTCATCCAAGTTGATAAAGTTATACTGAACATTTAGGAAGAGATTGAAGTGTTCTGTAGCTAGAAAGAGTTAAGATAAATTTCACCTACAAAAGCTGCAATGTGGTCTTTAATTTGTAAAGGGAGGAAAGATGTGACAAGATATGCATAAAAATATTGTCATAGTAATGGGGTTTTTAAAATTATTTATTGGAGCTTACCCCTACCTGTGGATGATCAGTGTTTATTGCAGAAGACAGGCAGTCATGCTGTTCCTTTTCCAGCTCAGTGCTCCATAACTGTGTGATTATTTACAGGATGGATTCAGGAAGGCAGTGGAAGTCAAGTGTGTGTTCCAGCTGAGGGGACACATCACTCCTGTCAGGACTGTTGCATTCAGCCCTGATGGACTGGCCTTGGTGTCTGGGGGCCTGGGGGGCCTCATGAACATTTGGTCTTTACGGGTAAGATCCTCTTTAGTGTGATTTGATTCTGGTTTTTAGCAGGAATATCTGGAGTGGTCGAGGCTTCCCCCTCCCCGGATGGGAGTTAGAAACGTTAGGGAAAGCTTGGTATAAAATAGTGTTATAAAATTGGAAATAACAAAACATAGGTTGAAATTGTGTTCTCATTGAAGTAATTTATGTTTATGGTTCTATTACTGATTAATTCTGTGGGTTTGGTCATGTTAGTTAGGCTTTGCAGAATCAGCCACTCTTTATGGTGGAAATCAATATTCTCTTATTTCAGGACTTTTTCAAGAGTCAGATAATGTGGATTAGTAAGCACTTCTAAGTGCTTAGTTATGTTATCTCCTTAATGTGATAAAAAATCTAGATTTTTTTGGCCTGTAGGATAAGTATTTCACTCTGACCAGCTTGGGATGATGTCATCCCTCCGAGGTGTGAGTGTGTGCACTCCAGCAGGGATGCCCTGTGTGCACACACTGACTCCAGCCCCTCTCTCCTCAGGATGGCTCCGTGTTGCAGAGTGTTGTGATAGGCTCTGGAGCAATCCAGACTGCAGTGTGGATACCTGAGGTTGGAGTAGCTGCCTGTTCCAACAGATCAAAGGTGACACTGTGCTTGAAGTAACATTCTTTCACACTTCTTCCTAAAAATGCTGTTTGTCTGTCTTGACTTTCTTTTCTCCCCCCACCTCCCCAACCTTTTTTTTTTTCCTCTAGAAATATCTATCTATCACTCTCATATTTTCCAGACATGTTGTTTTGGCTTTCAGCTTTCACCTCAGCCCGAAAAGCCTGGGCTTTTTTATTTATATCCTGTGTTTAATGTGGTGGGGCAGGCTGGGATCCCTCTGAACTCGGAGTTACAAAGATGCACATGGGTTATATCAGCCCCTCTGTTTAATGGAAGCAGATGGAAATGAACAATGCAAACAGACAGAAGACAGATTTATTTCTTTTAGTCCTTTATGCAACATGAAGAAATGTTTCATTTCCCCCAGCAAATAAGATAATTTGGTGATCTGAGTTAATCTAAAGCAACCTCAGAAGTTGTTAAGAAACAGCAGAATTTACTTCAGCGTTTGCTGTGTCGGGAACTTGTGGCATCTGAACAGAGGTTTTAGAACAGCTGATTATTCCAAAAGATGGTATTTTTTGTGAATAAATGTGGCACAAGTTATGACTCCTGTTAGCAGAGTCATGCTGTGTGTGGTTTGAAGTAGTTTTGTGGTTCTTGGAAAGTTTATTCTGAACTCAGACCGAGCATTAAGGTCACATTACAAGGCCAATCCTAAACTGAGGTTGCCTCTAAACTGAATCTTAACTTAAGGATGCAGCATTCACTGAAATGGTCTCTGTTTTTGGAGTGATAATGGCAGTATTGCCGTGGAAACGTGAGGAAGTGGCAGATGGAGGTGGCTACTCCGTAGCATTTGTCAGCAGATGATTCCCCAGCAGAGACAGAACTGTTTGAACTTGTGTGTTTTCTGGCCCCTGTGGAAACCAAGATGGCTGGTGATAAATCAGTGGAGCTGCTTGGTGAGTTTTTTTAATTTCTGATGTGTCCTGTGCCTGCTGTCACACAGGATGTGCTGGTGGTGAACTGCACCTCCGAGTGGATCTCTGCCAACCACGTCCTGGCCACCTGCAGGACTGCTCTGAAGCAGCAGGGAGTGCTGGGGCTGAACATGGCTCCCTGCATGAGAGCCTTCCTGGAGCGGCTGCCCATCATGCTGCAGGAGCAGTATGCCTATGAGAAGGTGAGAGATGAGCCAGCCTTTCAAATCCATTGGCTGGCACGAGGTTTGAACCTCAGCTGATGCCAGTGTTTCACCACAGAGAACCCCCCAGCCTTTCCTACATCCTATCTGCAAATATCCTTAGAAAAACTGATTTAAGCAAGGAGCAAAGTATTTTCTGAAGGATTTTCTGAATTGATTCCCACATATTTCCTTCCTGTGTCCTGCCTGTAGCCCCACGTGGTGTGTGGAGACCAGCTGGTGCACAGCCCCTACATGCAGTGCTTGGCCTCGCTGGCCGTGGGCCTTCACCTGGACCAGCTGCTGTGCAACCCGCCCGTGCCTCCCCACCTGCAGAGCTGCCTGCCCGACCCCTCGGCCTGGAACCCCTCCGAGTGGGCCTGGCTCGAGTGCTTCTCCACCACCATCAAAGCTGCAGAAGCCCTGGCCAAGGGAGCCCAGTTCCCAGAATCCTTTACTGTGCCAGACCTGGAGCCTGTTCCCGAGGATGAGCTCACTCTGCTGATGGTAACGTTGGGGGTTTTCTCTCGGTGTGTTGTTATTGTCATTGTGTTGTTATCATATATATGTTATTATCCACATCTCTATGCTGTGAATATTTATATTTATTAATATAAGCACCAACAATAACTAAGTTTAGTTTTTAATTAACTGGTTAGAATATACTGTTAAGATTGCTCTGTGTGTGTATAATGAGCACGATTCAGTAGCATATTAAAAAACCAAATTAAACCAACCCAAAGCTGTGACAGTAGTTTTCGTAAGAGGTAGAAGCAAGAAATGTAGAGCTTTGCAATGCATATTTTAAGGATTCCTTTGGCACATTTCTACACCAAGTTATTTTGCTAGTGTCAGTTTGCTTTATGATTTCTTACCTACCATATGTAAACCAAAATGGGAATTTTTGATTAGGAATTTTTTTATCAGCGAGATGTTTGCAATTGAATTGTTTTAAACCAGTGTTTCCAACTGAAATTTGTAAAAGCCTTAAGCATCAGTAAATAGAAAGAGATTATTTCATAGTGAATTTTGTTTGGTTTGCTTTTTTTTCATTTGGATTGCAAGACACAGATAACTGAGTCATTGTTGGCCTGCACACATCCTGATGTATCATTTAGAATAATTTGAATATTACCCTTAGAAAGGAAAATATGTGCATAACAATAAAAGAACGTGCATCTCTTGAGCTGAATGTGGCAACTGTGGCTTTTGCTGTGTAGGATAACAGCAAATGGATCAATGGCATGGATGAGCAGATCATGTCCTGGGCAACATCAAGGCCAGAGGTCAGTGCAGCTCCTGGTTTGGGGTGTCCTGGAGGGTTTTGTGCTCTTTTGAAACACTGGGGGCTGTTGGAAGTTCTCTTGTTGTGAAGCCTCCTGTGCTGCTCTTCCCTAGGACTGGCACCTGGGAGGGAAGTGTGACGTGTACCTGTGGGGAGCAGGCAGGCACGGGCAGCTGGCAGAGGCTGGCAGGAACGTCATGATACCGGTGGCAGCACCTTCATTCTCTCAGGCTCAGCAGGTGATCACTCAAACCCTGTCATGATCTAAGGATTTACCATCTGTTATTTGTCCAGCCTGTCAAAAGTCTCTCTCTAAATGTCTTCTCAATTTGTTCTTTGAATTTACTTATAAGTAACCCAAAACCCGTGTTTTTACTGAAGAGAAAATCTTTAATTATTTGGCAGATTCAAACCAAGAAGCTGCTGCAATCTGACAACACAGGATTATTTTATATAAGCATGATTTGAGTTATTTTATATGATTTGAAAATACCTGCCCAGCTTTAACGTAATACACATGGCAGTTTTGCTCTCTGAAATAACATTAACTCAATAAAATACTGCCATGACACAATCCCAAAGAGCACCAATTAAAAAAGGAGATGGTGCATTGTAATGCAGGTGTTACAGCTCTGCTGCATTTACCATGGTTTAAAATGCCTTCCTGTCTTTCTAAACCAGGTGGTTTGTGGCCAGAACTGCACCTTTGTCATTCAAGCCAACGGCACCGTTTTGGCCTGTGGGGAAGGGAGTTACGGACGACTGGGGCAAGGAAATTCTGATGATCTCCATGTGCTCACAGTCATTTCAGCACTGCAAGGTAACACTGCTGGCTTTGAAAGGAACCACTGAGAGAGCTCCAAGAAGCATTTTGGTAGTTAGTATAACTGTGTTGATGCTCTTTTTGCAGATTTAGACATTAAATATTGTAGTCTTTAATTAAAAAAACCTGAAAAAACCAAACTAGACATTAATTTTTTCATTCATGTTTAAGTAATAATATGTTCAAACTCCTTAATTTTAGGAAGTCTCCAGGGAAAAGTCTTTGCTCAGGTTAGGAACATTTAATTTCAAAGCTAATGGCAGGGCAGGAGCATGAATTGTACATGAGAAAACAAAGGGTTTGTTCAAAAGAAAAGTCAATTAATTAAGGAAACTGTTACTGTGGTTTGTCCTTTTCCCAGGCTCCATTGGCTGCCACCAGGCACACTTTGTATGAAGAGTTTGTTATCAATTATTCTGATCTTTGGTTCCTCCTGTTTCTCCACCAGGCTTTGTTGTGACACAGCTGGTGACCTCGTGTGGCTCCGATGGGCACTCCATGGCTCTGACGGAGAGCGGGGAAGTTTTCAGCTGGGGAGATGGAGATTACGGCAAGCTGGGCCACGGCAACAGCGACCGGCAGCGCAGGCCCCGGCAGATCGAGGCCCTGCAGGGAGAAGAAGTGGTGCAGGTGCCAAAATGTTCTGTGTCTCCTTCCAGCTGCAGGGCCTGCTAACCCAGTGCTGTGTCCCCTGAGTGCAAACAGGCCACTTGTGCCTGCTCTGGGCTCTCTGGACCACGCTGGGGATGTCCAGCTGAAGGAAGTTCATACCCCAGAGCCTGGTGTTGGTGTGGGATGTCAATGGACAGTTGGTCCTGGAGAAAGCTGAAAATCAGAGCGTGGAAGGAGGGGGGTGATCTAAAGGTTCTCAAAATGCAGGTGTGATTTGCAAGCTTCTCTTCATCTTTGCCAGGTGACTTTGACCTCCAAATCTGGTCACCAGGGCCTCCCCTGAGTGCTAACAGTGCACAAAACCATGTTTGGCTTTGATGGAGGTTTCTTTATAAAAATACAGGATAATCACACAGCTAATTTTTCCTGCAAATATCCTCTGGTCCTCCTCTGTAACGTTACCATCGAAAAGAATAAGAGATGGGTTGCTGGAGAAATCATTAATGCTAAAATGTCTTTATTTTAGCTCTTTAAAAGTGAATATAATTCAGGGGAGGGAAAGGTGTGACATATATATGTGTAACAGCCAATGTGATCTTGTGCCCACATTTAAAAATGTGTGTAAAAAATGATGTTTATTTTGCTTCCAGATGTCCTGTGGCTTCAAACACTCAGCTGTGGTGACAGCAGATGGCAAACTCTTTACGTTTGGAAATGGTGATTACGGTCGATTAGGACTTGGAAACACTTCCAATAAGAAACTTCCAGAACGAGTGACGGCGCTGGAAGGTTACCAGATTGGACAGGCATGGCTTACCTAAAACTAGCCCTGGATCTGGGTTTAAAGCTGGTGTTTGTAATGGATTTAAGTGTTCACTTGTGGCTTTTTAACCTTGGCTTTTATGTTGGTTGTGGTGGCAGAATTTGACTGTGCCTGATTTTTGTAATAATTACTTTCCTGACTCTCTTGATCCTCTTTTTGCAGAACTGCCCGTGGTTTTTAACATTTTAACATTTCAAGGTTGGGTCGATTTTAAGCATGAATCAGTGAGCTTCTTTACATTTTTAAACAGGGAATATGTGTAGCATAATACAACCCTTTGGCTCTGTGTGCTGAGAGGAACAAATACCAGAAAATCACTCCTGTGTTCTGAGTGTCTCTAATAAGCAGTGGAATTTTTAATGGTTTTACAAAGACACTTCATTTTTAAACACAGTTTTTCTTCTGAAAGGCAGTTGGAGTGTTTGAGTTAGTGGCAAGTCAGCAAAAATAGTGGTAATAACATATTTCTCTCCCTCAGGTGGCCTGTGGCCTCAATCACACTGTAGCTGTGTCAACAGATGGCTCAATGGTCTGGGCTTTTGGAGATGGAGACTATGGGAAGCTTGGTCTGGGAAATTCCACTGCAAAGTCCTCACCACAGGTTAGAATTCACGGGGAAATGATTCTGGGCACAAATTGTCGGTGTTGTTCAGACGTGTTGCAAAGTGTTCAGAGGGTAAATTATTAATTCCATGCTGTTGTAACACATTCTGACACAAATAATTCTGATTCTGATTATGGTGAGCCTGGTACTGTAAAGAGTTTCACAGAAATCAATCACAGTGACCTTATCTCAGTAGCAATACAAACAGAGAAATTCTGAGGTCGCTCTTAGAGAAGAGAGGTTTCTTGTTTTGGAAATTTGGAAATCCTTCCTCCAATATCCCTCCCCCTCATTCCCAGTAAAAAAATAGATATTTTGAATCATTGTGCACAGAATAAGATGTTACTTCCATTAAAGAAAACTGTGTTTCTGTTTCCTGTGTTAATTAGTATAATCAACAATGTATGCAGTGCACAGGGGGAAATAAAAAAATTAGTTTTTGGAACCAAGAGTTTCAGATAAAATTCATGTTTGCTTTCTCTTTATACTCTTGTAATACCATACCTTGGTTTTCTCTCACTTTACCTCTTAGAAAGTGGATATTCTCTGTGGAATTGGAATTAAAAAAGTGGCCTGTGGAACCCAGTTCTCTGTTGCACTGACAAAAGATGGTCATGTATATACTTTTGGACAAGGTAAGACAATCTGCTCTGTGGACATTCCCATCTGCAGCCTTGTGTGTATTGCAAATGAAAAGGAAGACTATTAAGACACATTTCTAAGGCTGACCTAAAGCTACTTTTTAGAAAAGCTCTGTCCTAATCTGAATTTTGGAACTTCAACAACGGAATTTTAACGTGCACCTAAAATCCAGATTTGTAGCTCTGTGCAGTTTGATCTCGGGACAACCTTTCAGGCTTGGAGGTTGTTTTTTTTTTCAGTAATTCCCTTTTTGAAGAGCATTCTCCTAAAATGTCATTGAATTCCACACATCCAAGAACATGGGATTACTTCAAAGTTTACCCAGTCCAATAAAGCGTGTGGTTGGACAGGAGAATTTCCACGAGCACCCAATTAAACACTGAATTTAAACAATTCACGGTAAACTTCTCATGTCAGTTAATTCCTCTGTATTTGCAAAGTGCACATTTCAATCTGGAGGTCTTGGGTTAGCAGACTTTGCTCTGGTTGGAGCGTTCAGAGTAGGGAACAACACTGCTGGTTTGTAGGAAACATCCCCTGCATTTCTCGTGCCAGTGTCCCAGTTCCAGGATTTTATGGAACTGCTTCCTGTCCCCTCCACTCTGCTGCTGGGTGGCTGTTCCTGTCCCTCCCTGTCTGCTGGGTGGCTGCCCCCTGGCTGGCCCTGTCCCCAGAGCTGTGTCCCTGTTATTCCAGATCGCCTCATCGGGCTGCCCGAGGGCCGCGCCCGCAACCACAACCGGCCCCAGCAGGTGCCGGTGCTGTCGGGGATCTTCATCGAGGACATCGCCGTGGGAGCAGAGCACACCCTGGCCCTGTCCTCCACGGGGGATGTCTATGCCTGGGGCAGCAATTCTGAGGGGCAGGTATGTGGGGTTTTTATCCTCCTCGCCTTTGGAAGGCTGGAATTGTAGTTTGCGGGTGTTTGGGGAATGTTTATCGTAACGAGGCTTTTGGCAATTTCTGTCCTTTCCCTGTTTGTTCCCTGTAGCAGTTTGGGGAGGCACTCAAAACATTCTAGACAAAGTATCCTAATCCAAGCTTTTTTTGAAAAAATTCATACATTTTTACCTAATTCTTGAGTTATCACCAGTTTTTTGAACATAAGACAATTTCTGTGTCAATCAGATTTGTGAACTCTTTAGGTGCTTTTCGTAGTGAAAATGTAAATTACTCTTTTTAAAGGAGCGATTTTATGAAGTCAGAAAAAAAAGGTGATAAATGATAAATTCTCCCTCACCAGATGTATAACTCAAATTTTTTGAAAGGACTTGAGCTTTTTGACACTTCTGCATGCTACAGGAATCAGAGAGAGCCTCTTCAGACAGCAGCTGATGGTGCTGCAGGAAGTTTAAGCAAATTTCATCCTCTGCTGTTTTAGGACTGAGTTTTTGAGAAGACTTGTTTTTTAGGAGCAAGTTTTTTAGGATAATTTCTCTTTGAGGTTTTTTTGTTGCTTTTGGTTTGTTGGTTTTTTGGTTTTTTTCGTATGGTACTTTGTGTCAGCAAGGGAAGAAGTTGTTAGGGTAAAAAATGTAAATAAATTGATTCTGAAAGCTGTTTTATATGATTTTTGGTTCAAAATACTGGTTTTATATGAAGTGGCAAAAAAAATGTACTCTTGCCATATGAAATTTTTCACCTAGAGAAAATGAAATTAAAATATGAAACTTGGTCAAAAGTCAGCACAGCTTCAGTAAACTTTCTCTCCACACAAATTGTGTTTTCATAAACCATTGTAGCATTTGACGTGCTGGAACAAAAATGGTCTTTAAATGGCACAGAGGAGATGCAGGAGATAGATCTGATACTGATAAATCTGCTCTTCCAATGGGGTACAGATGCAATATTTTATCAAAAATAAAAGTTTTTTATATATATATAAAAATACATTTTTACCATTTGCTCCGAATTTTGGCTTAGAGAGTTTTAGAAGTCTCAGGACGGCTGTTGATTGTTCTTTGTCCCTTTTCCTCCTGTTCCCGACAATCAGCTGGGCCTGGGCCACACCAACCACGTGCGGGAGCCCACGCTGGTGACGGTGCTGCAGGGCAAGAACGTGCGGCAGATCTCGGCCGGGCGCTGTCACAGCGCGGCCTGGACGGCACCGCCCGTGCCCCCGCGAGCTCCGGGTGAGGGACTGGCTCCTCCATCTACCAGGGGAGGTTTGGGTTGGATATCGGGGAGTTTTTACAGAGAGAATGCTCAGCAACACAATGGGCTGCCCGGGGAGGGGTGGAGTCACCGTCCCTGGAGGTGTTTACGGTGACACTGGATGCGGTCTGGGAACCACGGCGGGGTTGGATCAAGGGTTGGACTCGGTGATCTCAGAGGTCTTTTCCAACCTGGCTGATTGTGTGATTCTAACTGAGGGTTGGGTTTAGTCCTGCTGTTCCTGGGCTGTGAGTGCCACAGGAATTCCAAATGTGGGACAGAATTTGTTTAGTGTTATATCCATGCAGGGTTTCCAGTTATCTTAGTCTTAATTTGGCTTCTGTCGTGGTTTAACCTCAGCAGGCAGCTAAGCTGCTGTGGGGGAAAATCAACTCCAAACCAGCTGCCCTTTATCAAGCCCTGCTTTGTTTCTCTCCCCATGCAGGTGTTTCAGTGCCTTTGCAGCTTGGTTTGCCTGATGCCATCCCACCACAGTACGGGGCACTGAAGGAAGTCAGCATTCACACAGTGAGGGCGAGGCTCAGACTGCTGTACCACTTTTCTGACCTCATGTACTCGTCGTGGAGATTACTCAACCTCAGTCCCAATAACCAGGTACAATTCCTTTGGAAAACACTGCCTTGGCTGTGTTGTGTTATGCCACATTGTTAGAGAGTTTCTGGCCAGGTCCAGATAGATCTTTGTCAAAAAATTAACATAATATATAATTCTGGATTAAACCAAACTTTGTCAACGTGTTCTTCTGTATTTTCATTTACACTAGCATTGACATGTCAGTGTCTGAGTTTCCAAAAGCTTATTAGCTTCAAAACTCAAACCAAAAAGTGCTAACCCGTTTCCTGAAGCGCCGCAGTGCCAGTGATTGCTCTGAAGGGTTTTATTCTGGGAAGAATGGAATTGCTGTCCTTTCCTGACGTGTCCATTGTGGTTGCTGCTGTGTTTCAGAACAGTACATCTCACTACAACGCTGGAACGTGGGGAATAGTGCAGGGCCAGCTGCGGCCCCTGCTGGCACCGCGGGTGTACACCCTGCCCATGGTGCGCTCCATAGGCAAGACCATGGTGCAGGGCAAGAACTACGGGCCCCAGATCACTGTGAAGAGGATCTCCACCAGGTCAGTGCTGCTCCCACAGCCCCTGGGTGCTGCTGGAACCCCCCATCTGCAGAACTCCAGGCGTTCCGAGCTCCCTGTCCGGCTGTGTCGGGGCAGGGGTTCCGTAGCCCTTGTGTTTGAGTTACATTGTCTGGCTGTGTCAGGGCAGGGGTTCCACAGCCCTTGTGTTTGAGTTTCACTGTCTGGCTGTGTCAGGGCAGGGGTTCCACAGCCCTTGTGTTTGAGTTTCACTGTCTGGCTGTGTCAGGGCAGGGGTTCCATAGCTCTCATGTTTGAGTTACATTGTCTGGCTGTGTTTCTCCCCAAAGAGGTCGGAAGTGCAAGCCCATCTTCGTGCAGATAGCCAGGCAGGTGGTGAAGCTGAACGCCTCGGACCTGCGCCTGCCCTCGCGGGCCTGGAAGGTGAAACTGGTGGGAGAAGGAGCTGACGACGCAGGTGGAGTGTTCGATGACACTATTACAGAAATGTGTCAGGTGGGTCTGGGAACTCAAAATGCCTGGGGAGAGGGGTTCTGTTCTCTCTTTTAGTGTTTTCCAGATTTTCCTTTTTGCAGCGTAGCCAGTCCTCGCTCTGCAGTGCTGAGCCCCAGCACCAGGGCTGCCTGCTGAGGGTGTCTCTGAGGATCTGGAAATCTTCCTGGCTTGTGACAAGGAGGTGCTGTGAGGCCACACTATAACTGGTGGTACATGAGGCTCCTTGGGATTCTGAGATGGCCCCTACACATTGCAGGGGCATTTTGCAGCCTCCCATTCTGTCCAGCCAGGACCTTCTTGGAGAAGCGGTGCTGTGTTCCGTGCCTGCAGTGCAGGGACACCTCAGGCAGTGTTTTTCAGGTTCCTGCAGACACTGTCACCTCCAAATTCAGAGCTGGAAAGATCATCAGTAGCAGGAAGTGCCTGGTTTTGCCTGTCTGTGACCAGGATCTTGTGGCCATTGTTAATCTTTTCAGATTCCCCAGGAGCTGAAGGCTCCAGACTGCAGGGCTGAGACAAAGCTGGTCCATGCTCATGTATTCTGCCTGTAGTTTTGAGGATGTCTCAGCCCTGTGATTGTAGCCAGGAGAAGGATTCAGGGCAATGCTGGCTGCAGAAGTTTGGTTGTTCCTTAATCTTCCTGAAGCCTCAAACCACAAAGAATGAGGATGAGGGAGGTTAACGAGTCTGTCTGCTTAGTCTGGGCCAGGACAAGAGCTGTGGGTAGTGCTGGAGCTGGCACTGGAGTTAGAGTTAGGATACAGGATGGAAAAACTGAAGAACTCCATTTATTAGTGGGTTTTCTGAAACCTGTAAGACTAGAATAGGGTTGGTTGAGGCATAGTTTTTGGGTTCTTTCCTAGACAGTTTACATTCAACCTGAGGTGTGATGAGGGTTCAGAACAAAACTGAACATTTTTTTGGGTCTTGGAAAAGCTGCACCAGTAGGAAAAAGAGCTTGTGGCTTCTGATTCTTTTGGAAACAGGCACCAGGAATGTATCACAGAGCAGCCACAGGAAAATAACAATTATAGGCTGACATAAGGGCAGGTCTTGAGGAAAAAAAAGCTTTTATTACTTACAGCCTTCCCACCATGTTTACATTCTCTTCAATGTTTTGTATTAATCTGTAAAGAGTAATCATCACTATAGTGGAATATTCTGTCCTGTAATGCTGTAATGCCTTAATAATTCTGGCATTAGGTTTGTTATCCTATGCAATAGTTCTGATATAGGTTTGTTATCCTGTACAATAGTTCTGATATAGGTTTGTTATCCTGTACAATAGTTCTGATATAGGTTTGTTATCCTGTACAATAGTTCTGATATAGGTTTGTTATCCTGTACAATAGTTCTCACATAGGTTTGTTATCCCTGTGTCTAATAAGGGTTTTTTGTTGTTGATTTTTAAGGAACTGGAAACTGGAATCGTAGACCTGCTCATTCCTTCCCCAAATGCTACAGCTGAAGTTGGCTACAACAGGGACAGGTGAGTTGGGCAGGACTTGCTCTCACTGCAGGTGGCAGGGGGTGAAAATCCCAATCTTCTCGTGGCTGTTTTATACCAAATGATGAGACTTCAGGACTGTCTGGAGTGTATTTTTTCCTTCAGGTTGTGATGTTACTTTATTACGGAGGAGAGGGGCATGGTTTGTGAACTTGCTGGATTGCTGATGGCAATTTGTTGTTGCAGGTTTCTCTTTAACCCTTCAGCCTGTTTAGATGAGCACCTGATGCAGTTCAAGTTCTTGGGCATTCTCATGGGGGTGGCAATTCGTACCAAAAAGCCATTAGATCTTCATTTGGCTCCAATGGTCTGGAAGCAACTCTGTTGTATCCCACTCATCTTGGAGGATTTGGAGGAGGTAGATCTGCTCTATGTGCAGACCCTCAACAGCATTCTTCACATTGAAGACAGTGGGATTACTGAAGAAAATTTCCATGAGGTAAGGTGGGAAGGTTGAAGCTTTCAGGTTTATTCTGGGAGTGGTTACTTTATCAGATTGACCTTCACTTCAGTATTTAAATAATTTCAGTCTCCATTCTTGGCATAACAAGCACTTTGTGTGCATTTAGAACAGTTTGTGATCTTATCATATATAGTTCTAGGTGACTTATAGGAAAAAGTTAAAGTGGAGTGACTTACACTGAACATGCTTTTCCTGTTTTTTCATCACAGATGATTCCTTTAGATTCTTTTGTTGGCCAAAGTGCTGATGGTAAAATGGTTCCCATAATCCCTGGAGGGAACAGTATCCCACTTACCTTTTCAAACAGGAAAGAGTACGTGGAGAGGGCGATTGAGTACAGACTCCATGAGATGGACCGGCAGGTGAGACTCCTTGGGACCCAGCCCTGCTGCCAGTGGGGACAGGGGGGTGATTTATCCCAGTTTCCATCACAGTTTTTGGGAAGAAAAGCTTGGCTTTCTGCATCCTGACCGTGTCCCCACGGCTTTTCTTGCCCCACAGATTGTTTTGGGGTTTTCTTTTAAATTCATCCTGTTTTTCTCAGTCATTGCTCAGTTGGCAGAAGAGCATTAAAGTCAGAGCTTGTCTACATTAGAGTAGTCCCACTGCAACCACTTGAGGAAAGAACCTGGGCATTAAAACTGGACATTTTAACAACACAGAGGCTATCTAAAGTAAATATTATTGACAGACATTTGTTTAGTTTGAAACTGTTTCTCTTCTGCTGTGACACAAACACTGCAAATATTTCATGCTGTGTTTTGGGAAGTGTTCACTACCTGTTTGCCATTTGATCAGTGAGCCTTGTGAAAGCAGTGGACTAATTACAAGAGAGAGATGCCTGTGTGGTGTTATCAGTGTCAGAAAAGCAGCTTTCTCATCAGAGGTACCAAACCCTAAATCTTGTAGAAGGAGAACATGGTCCAGAAGTGGCAGAGGTGAGACAATTGCACTTCAAATGTCTGCTCTGTTTCTGGCCAACAGGTGGCTGCTGTCAGGGAGGGAATGTCCTGGATCGTTCCCGTTCCTTTGCTGTCCCTTCTGACTGCCAAGCAGTTGGAGCAGATGGTCTGTGGGATGCCGGAAATCTCCGTTGAAGTTCTGAAGAAAGTGGTGCGATACAGGGAGGTGGATGAGCAGCATCAGCTGGTGCAGTGGTTCTGGCACACCCTGGAGGAGTTTTCCAATGAGGAGAGAGTCCTTTTCATGAGGTTTGTGTCGGGAAGATCTCGACTGCCAGCCAACACAGCTGATATCTCTCAGCGATTCCAAATAATGAAGGTTGATAGGGTAAGTTGCCCGCTTTATTTGGCTTTTTTTAAAAATTATTATTACTTTTTTATTCATCTCTAGTATGGTCTGTCCTTTGCCAATAGGAGGCTGTTTCCACTGTTCTAAATTTAAAGAAAAAGCAGGGGATGGGACGTGGTCTGAGTTAAGCCCAGACATTTTGATTGTGCAGCAGGACGTAGGCTGCATGAATTGCATCTTAATTAACGTGGTGCAGTCGGAGACTGGAGGTCAAGACAAGTTCTTGCACTAGAAACAAACCTCCTTCTATTGTAACTCACCCCAGCCATTTTCTGTTCCAATCCCTTTTATCATTTGGTAATTTTCATTCTGTTTTTAAGTGTTAAATTTGCCCAAGTGGCACCATATGACCAGTAGTGAAGTATAACATTTTAAAACCACTGCAGTGAGTTCACAGTGAGTTATTTTCCACACAGGATGCAGTTCATTTGGCATTATTCTGGGGCCTTGTGCAGTGAAAGCACGTTGTCTGTGGACAACATGACAAAAGGGGAGATGGCAGTGGTGTGTCTGTCATCTTTGGGCGGTGTCTCTGATGTTCAGGCACGCTCTGGGTTGGAATTGAACGTTGCTTGGTACAGAGGGCTGAGGAGGGGGGGCAGCTGAGTGTCATCAGTGGGTTGGGTTATTTACAGAGTAGGTGACACAGCAGTGGTTTTGCACATACTTAAGGATGAAACAAATGCTGTAAACGAGGGAGGCCAATCCGCTTCCTAAAAGGAATTTGGGGCTGGAATAATTTCTTCATGGATGATCTGCATGAGGGGATGGAGTGCACTCAGTGCTGGTGAGGCCACCCCTGGAGTGCTGTGTCCAGTTCTGGCCCCTCAGCTCAGGAAGGACATGGAGGGGCTGGAGCAGGGGCAGGGAAGGGAACAGAGCTGGGGAAGGAGTGGAGCACAGGTGCTGATGAGGAGAGGCTGAGGGAGCTGGGGGGGCTCAGCCTGGAGAGGAGGAGGCTCAGGGGAGACCTCAGCACTCTCTACAACTCCCTGACAGGAGGTTGGAGCCAGGTGGGGGTTGGTCAATCTCCCAGGAACCAGCAGTAGGACAAGAGGGCTCAGCCTGGAGCTGTGCCAGGGGAGGTTTAGGTTGGATATCAGGAAGAAATTTTTACAGAGAGAGTGCTCAGCATTGGAATGGGCTGCCCAGGGAGGGGGTGGATTCTCCATCCCTGGAGGTGTTTAAGGACAGACTGGATGTGGCATCAGTGCCATGGGCTGGGAACCATGGCGGGGTTGGATCAAGGATTGGACTCAGTGATCTCAGAGATCTTTTCCCAGCCGGCTGATCCTGTGACTGTGAGGGTGCAGAGCGGTGGGGGCAGGGCAGGAGCAGTGAAATGCGGGTGCATGGCGTGTTTTCCGTGATTCCCAGCTCAGCAGTGTCCCCCTTGTGTCCGTCCCCACAGCCTTACGACAGCTTGCCTACCTCACAGACTTGTTTCTTTCAACTGCGGCTGCCGCCGTACTCCAGCCAGCTGGTGATGGCCGAGCGCCTGCGCTATGCAATCAACAACTGCCGCTCCATCGACATGGACAATTACATGCTCTCCCGCAACGTGGACAATGCCGAGGGCTCCGACACGGATTACTGACACTCTGTGAACAAAATCACCTTCCTTTTCCTACAGATAGTGCCCTGAGTCCGAGTCACCGTTGACATAATTTTACAGTAACCATAGATGTTTTAGGAGCATAAAAAAACCCAGATGTTAATAGGTGGTGGCCACGTTTTAGTTACTCTAAATGTAACAAACAAACAACAACAACAACAACAAATTAGATGTTTTTATTTTTTTGTGATTGTACAAAAGAAAAAAAAAAGGAAAAACAAAACAAAAAAGTCTGATGGGTAAGTTTTTTTCTCCTTTTTTTGGTCACTTTTGATAAGTTTGCATGGAGACATTTTGGTGCATTTTTGTTGGGAATAGTACATTTGTAAGCCCTCCCAGTGAAGAGTTGTACATCCCAATGAAGAGTTGTACATTGTGTATAATTGTTCATTAGCCAGGACTGTTTTACATGAATATTCACATATTTATTTTGTTTTAATTTGAATTGCCTGTGCAGGGTTCCTTATGCAGAGAAAAATAAAGCAAATTCAAGGACCGGTGGCTTGTTACACATTTGTGAATCGAGGTTGGTTGTCTCAATCTTCATGTTTTTTGTATTTTGTCTCAGGAAACCACGATGTGTTACAGTGTTTGGGCAGGGTGTGACATTTGCAGCACCTTAAAGTGTTTCTCTTCACTGACTGTGATGTGTAGCACTGCTTCTGTGTTCCCAGTGTCCCAGGGGCTGCTCTGTTTGGGTGTTGATCCTCCTACTGCTATCCAAGTCCATCTTGTGCTTGGTTCCTCCTTGCTTTTCCTGTAAACATTTTGCTCCTCCAGAGGAGTTGTTGGGCCACCTGCACTCAGAAACCTTGGAATCTTTTGGCAAAATAGTTGCATTTTTTTACTGTACAGATGACAGAGTTGGTTCCTGATTGGAGGGCAGAAAACTGACAGTGTTGGTGACAGGGCAGTAGTGGAGGCTGGGGGTTTATGCACATTTTTGGCTCTGCTTTGCTCTCCTTTTGTTGCAGCTGTACCTGCCACAATCAGCGTGGTTTGGGTTGCTCTGGAGTTTCATCCTGGGTTAGGACAGAAAGGTGCTGCTCAGAGGAACCTCTGCCCCTGTCCTCGCTGAGTGCTGGGCAATGGATAATTCCCAGTGTAGAAAGGAGCTCATTTGTGTCAAACCAGGAATGCTGTTTGGTGGTGAGGAGCAGGATTGACCTGAGAGCGTCCCCAGGTGAGTCAGGGCTGCTCTGCCCCCGTTCCCCCACCCTCATCCTCTCGGAGCTCCTGGGGGCCTGAGGGCTGCTGGGGGTGTTCATCGGTGTCACCTCACCTGGGACACCACTGACCCATCTGAGGCTGGAGCACAGGCAGAAATTCCTGCTGCTTCTCCTCACTGTATGTTCCCCAGGGCGGATTGGGAAATTCCTGCTGTCCAAGACTGGACAGCTCAGAGTGCTCAGAGCTTGCAAAGCTGCAGGGCTGTGCAGGTCTGGGTTTTACTGGTGATGTTCTCTCAGTCAGGACTAGCTGTTGGCTCGTGGAGAAGGTTTGTAGCTGTGACCCCCACACTGCAGGAGGCGGAAGGAGGGCTCAGGGCCCTGAAATCAAGCAGATCCTGTTTCCTTCCTCACTGTGTGTTCTGTTCCAAACTGGACTGAGCTCTTGCTGTCCCTTCGCTGTGTTGGGGGCAGTGTATTCACATTGTGGCCTGGATTTAGGGGTGTAACACATAAAAACTACAGTATTATAGATAAAAGGGGATTTTTATCCCCTGTAAGTCCTGTATTACTGCCTGCTAGACCTCCCTGAGGTGTCTCAGTGCTGCTGAGTTGTCAGCCTGTTTCAGTCAGGCAAAGGAAATAACAGAGCTGTGCCCAAAAATTGCAGTTTTAAATGGACTGTGCAATTGGCTTCTTGGGTAATGACAGAAAGTGAAAGAGGATGTTGATCTTGGTAAATATTGATGTTGATTAAGGGATTGTGTTTGATGGAGCTGTAATGGCTTGGAGCTACAGAGAACCACAGGCCTGTTTTCATCCTTCATCATCCCCTGAGTGAAATGTAATCACTTTATATACTCAGTTTTCAAATTGGATTGCTAAGTGAGAAAATTTGTTATTGGTGCTGAAAAAATGTATCAATTTGAACACAATTGTGTTCAGGTTTTACCATGTCATGAACAAATATCCCTGTTCATGTTGGGGAAGAGCAAAGGAGAGTGACTTTGAGCATTTGTATGTAAATAGGCAAAGAAACCAAGAGGGTGTTTTCAGATCCTTTTTAGCTCTATAAAGTAAAAAAAAAACACAACTACAACCCCCCCCACCCCAAACAGTCCTGACAGAAAAGTGGCAGAAAGGTTTAAGTAATAAGTGGACAGATGCAAACCCAGTTTTGTACCTTGTAGCTGCTTCAGAGTCTGTTCCTGCCCCACCCCCAGAGCCGTGTCCTTTCCTCCCAGGGGCTGGAGAGCTGGCAGCAGGAGAAGCTCTCTGGTTGCTGGTGGGACTGTAAATTCCTGCCTTGTTTTGGCTTGTCAGCACTCCCTGAATCTGGTGCTGTGTGTCCAAGGCAGGAGTGGGGCCAACATCCCAATTCCCACCTCCCAGTCGGTCTGTTCAGCTTTCCAGGCTGGCAGTGCTGGGTTGGGATTTGCTGTTTGTCCTTCCTGGCCACACTTGCAGTTGTGTTCCTTTGTGCTGCATCAGCAGCCACTGGAACCTGAGGGCTGAGGGAATGAAATGCCCGAGCTGTGCAGTGCCATTGACTGTCTGAGCTGTGAAGATGCCATAATGCAGTTCTGTTCCTGGTTTGCTTTCTGGGTGAGTGTTTCTTACAGATACTCACACTGAGCAAGGGTTTCTCTGGAGCTGCAGCTCTGTATGATTGAGGTGCTGTAAATGCTGTGTTTATTTCTGAGCTGAATTAGAGTTGCACCTCAAGGCTCTTTGTGGGTGCAGCTCACGAGGAGCGTTTTCAGGAGGTCAGAGCTGGCTCAGCAGCTTCTGCAGAGGGAAAGAAGCCACCCTAGGCAGGTAATCTGATGAAACAGTTCTGCTGAAATGGTTTGAAATTTACCAGTTCTGGAAATACAATTTTACACTTCTCAGGCTTGCAGTTAAAAAAATTGGCTTCAGGTGGAATTTTGATAACGTTTCCATTCTTTCTGTACAAACATGAACAAAGGACAATGTTCCAGCTGAAACAAATCTCTCCTTCAAGGCCACCTGAGGCACCAGAGCCAAGCTGGTCATTAGGACACCCCAGGCATTTTCTGCACATTAATTAAAGGAGCAACAGTGTTTGTTGTAAAGAGAATGCAGCAAGGAACTGGAAAATCAAACCAGTCCTTCCTGAGGAGCTGAGGCCCAACTTCAGGACTTGGTTCTGTAGTTTAGATGCCAGTGAGCCAAGGGAAGAAGTGTGCTCTGCTTCAGCAGCAGTTTTTCACGTGTTCTTCGTGTTTTAGAGAGGTACTGCAGTCACACCATTGTCTAAAGCTAAAACATGGATCATGCTGGATGTTTGTGACAGCCTTGAATAGTTTCTGAAGAGGTCAGAAAGAACAAATTTCCCTGGGGGGACAGGTTGGCTCTTACAGTCTTCCAGTTACTGCAAAAAATAAAATGCAGACCAGTAGTAAGGCTGCAAAACTAAACCTGCAAGTAACTGTTAAAATGCAGCAGGTTATTTTAAAACCTTGACAGCCTTGACATAGTTGACTTCCAGTGATGGCAATTGCACTTCACGTGTTTTTAACTCTGATTTCCTCAGTGTTCTGTTACCTCTCATGTTTACCATGTAAATGAGAGCCAGGCCTGCTGTGGTTCAGGCCCAGGAGCTGCTGTGCTGCTGTAATAAAATACTGAATATTTGGTCTGTTGTGGAACAGAGAGGTGGAGACTCCCTGTGGGACAGAGCAGGATTTGCAGAAATCAGTGTTTCTAAGTTTGCTTTAAGGACACTCACACACACTCAGATGTTCCTGCTCTGTGCAGGGTTTTAATTTAAACCAGAATTTTAACTGCTGTGCAGCTTCACTGGGGTCCAGGCTGGGACTGTTGAGGACCCAGGGGTTGTGAAGCTGCTCCATGTGCAGCCTGGGCCTGTTTGATGTGGGAGCTGCACTGGCACCGGTGCTCCCCACGGAATCATCTGCCTGCCTTGGGAAGCAGGAGGTTCTTGGGTGGTTATGCTGCATGGGACAGATTTAAGGTCATTAAGGTATTGGAGCCCCTGCTGGTCTAGTGGTAAAGGCGCCGCGCTATCAACGCGGAGACCCGGGTTCGATTCCCGGTCAGGGCCACTCCCGGGTAGGTGGGGCTCGTTAGCCCTTAAAGGCAACCCACCTACGTCCTAAGGACCTCGCTGCCACCGTCCAAGCTCGCTTGGCCCCGGCAGATGAACCTTAGGATTAAAGGGTGGGCTCAGTTCCGCGCACACTGTGTCTCACCTAAAAAATCCAATGCGCAGGCTGGAAGGTGGAAAGACCTTCCCCGGATCTTCGCTCGCGAAGACTGGCCATTATTATTATTATTAAGGTATTTAAGGTAAACACAAGTTCAGCTGCAGAGTCAGCAGGAATGGGCAGGACTTTGTGGTGCTCTCCAGGAGTCTGAATTCTGAATTCACACCAGAATTGCTGAACAAAATGGGAAATAATGGGAAGCAGACTTGGGGAATGTGCTCACAGAGGGTAAAGCACAGGGCTTGAGAAATGCTGTAATTCAAACAACCCCTGCAGAGCTCCCAGCTGGTGACAGTGAAGTTTTTCCTGGGCTGTGAGACTGAGACTGCCCCTCGAGTCAAAGCTGGGTCAGGCGACTGCAGGACACAGGGAGGGACACTCAGAAACATGGAACTCTCCTCAGGAAAAGTTGGGAAGGGCAGAAAAGAGTCTTGGACTGTGGTGTGACAGCCCTGAGTGCCAATACCACTCCAAACCCAGGGTGCCACAGCCAGTTTTCCACAGCAGAGTGAAACTGTGCCAGCCTTTGGTGTCAGGTTCTGTAGGTGATGGCACAGCATCACCTGCACAGCTGCAGCCAGGAAAGGGACAGCCTTGTGGGCTGGGATGAAAAGAGCTCCTTGGTGTGTTCTTTGCAGTGAGAAATGGGTGTTTATCTCCAGCTGGGCTGTAGTGTGTCCCTAATTTAGCATTTGAAGCCACAGGTTGTCAGTCCCTGTCCTTTCCTGTGGGTCAGTTCTCTGAACCAACATTTGTTCATGTTGTGTTTCCTTTCCTGTCAGCTTGGAAAGATTCCCTGGTGTATCTTACACTGGGTAAGGACCTCATGCAGGGGTCAGCCTGTGTGCTGGGTGCATGGAACCCCTCATTTAATCAGAGCCTGGTGAATGATCTCCCCTGGGAATCACTAAGGCAGTGCTGCATGACAGGTACTCTGCTTTTGCTGAAAAGACCTTACAGGGAGTGGTTACCCCCTTGGCAGGTGGAATGTTTGTATGGATATGCCCTTTAACAGAAATTTGGTGATCACTCTGCCCTCAACTTTGTGGCCATCCCACAGTGACTCAGTGCCTGCTCTGCCCATTATGGAGGAGTTTTGAGCGTGGGGTCCTCTCTGAACCCTGTGATGGAACCTCAGTGGAGGCTCTTCCTTCATCTCTGTGTTCTGGGCTCTCTGTGTGGATCACTCTACCTCAATTCCAACTCTTTGTTTTTCCCATGCAGTCACTGGTCAGGTGAACTGTGCCATCCAACTCACTGCTCCTTGTCAGACTAATGTGAAACTTCCTTAAATTCCATCAAATTTATTGAGCTCTTCAAGTTATAATTTGTCCTCCATCAAACATCCTGCTGCTCCCTCCTGAGGTGCATTCATCACCCACACCAGGAGGGACCCCAGCTGCAGCGTGGGGCAGGTCTGGCACTGTGTGACAGCAGGGCAGGGTTTTCCAGCGTCAAGGAACAACAGCAAATGTTTTTTTCCTGGTGGAGATGCCTTTTCCCTGTGCACTCTTTACAAAACCAGCCATTTGTTTGGACTTAACCAGGAGGCAGGGAAGTGCCACAGTTCATGGCCCCTGAGAGGAGAGCTCTGGTGAGGTGAAATACCCCCCTGATGACACTCACTCTACAATCTGCTGCTCCTACAGCTGAACCAGCTTTCTGGATGCTCTTTCAAGCATCAGCTTTTTGTCTGGCTGGCTGTCTGGGATCATGCTGGCACTTCTCTCTGCTCTCAGCATCACTGAAGGACGCTGTTCCCTGAGTGTCTGCAGCCCAGCCTGTGTTATGTTCCTGCAGAAATCCACGTGCAGGGTGTGCAGGGCCCCCCCGTGCAGCGTCACTGCCCGCAGGGTCCCGTCCGTGATCCGCGCGCAGTTCTCCAGTTTGAGCGTCCTCAGCTTGGGGCAGCTCCTGAGGAGCAGCAGGATGGAGTCATCTGTGACGTGGCCACACCCAGACAGCGTCAGGGACAGCAGGTTTGGGCACCTGGAGACACGATGGCAACAGGTGAGATGGTGGGAGAAATAAACCCTGACGGTGTCAGGAGTAAACATGAACTCTAGAGATACCCCTCTTCGTCAGCAGGGGTACGAAGGCAGGAGTAGGTGGGGGCACGTGGACATCTTAATCCTTACTAATGGCAGAGCTTTACCTCCTTTGCTTTCCGTGGTGGTGGCAGCACCTCCAGCTCAGCTGGCAGTGCAGAAGGGGCTGTGGGGGCCTCTTTGAGCTGCAGCTCTGTTGTGTTTTCTTAGAGAGTTGCCAGGTGCTGTGATGAGATTCATTCAGGCACAGACAGTGGGGAGATTGATTTCAGGAGGAAGGTGAGGACAGCTGAGAGAAGAGACTGCTCTATGTGGGCAGGTAGGACACTCCCACTCTGGATTTTCAGGAATTACAGGTCTGTTTGAGCTCCTTGGATTTACTGAAGGGGTGGTGCCAGCTGCTACCTAAGAGTGTTGCTGTTTGAACCCCACACAGGTCTTAAATTCTCCTTTGGGTCACTGAAAGTGGTGAGAACTCCACTGGCAAACAGGGATGCAGCAAATGGAAAAAGCTTTATTTTGAGCTGCTTGGGGAGCCCTGAGGAAGCTCAGGAAAGGCTGTTGCTACTTCCACTTGGCTGTCCCTGAGCCAGACCTGGAGCAGCTCTTTGTGCCCACCCTGCAACCCAGTGCAGTGTCTGGTTCCTGCTCACACCTCTGCAGGTGTGAGTTCAGCTGCACAGCCTCCTGTTCCTCCACGGGCAGGTCTGTGTTACAGCACGTGCTTTTAGGGGTACAACAGCAGGGGGGCAAACACGGGGTCATTTGTCCTTAAAAACGGGTGCTCAGCACGTTCCTCTGCACACCCCACCCCGTCCCTGCTGCTGCCTGACCTCACCTCTGGAGCTGAGGGAGTGAGTGAGATCACGTCACTGCACGGGCTTGGTTTGTTACTCTACAGTGAGGAACAGCTGGAGAAAAAAAGCTCCAGGGTCAAGAAAGGCTCTGACCTCCCATCCCTGGAGCCTTCAACAGAACAAAAGTACTTCCAACTCAGGGAGAAAAGCTGGATGTTTAATTTGAATGCTGGGAGTTTTGTTGGAATGCTTCCCATGATTGCTTGTGTTATCCTTTGCAGGAACAGGTGTGCTGATCCTTTGCTTATTTATTAATCCAGATTTTTATCAGTTCTAGAACAGTTATTTCTGAAATTTGGTACTTGGAATGTAACGCCCTGTTTTGAACCCCAGTCCTTGTTTTGAGCTCTGGTGCTGCCTCTCCCCAGACATCGTGTCCTGTTGGTATCCCAGGATTTTGGGCTTTTTTCAGGTTGCTGCTGGGGCCGAGGGCTGGCTGTGGCACTGGGGTGAACCCTGGCAGGGCAGGCACTGCCCCCTCCTCACGGGGTGGATCTTGGATTAGAGCTGCTTTGTAAAACAAAGCTGTTGTAAGAAATGCTCTGCACCCAGGGCTGCTTTTCCTCTTTCTCCTCCCTTAGTGTAGTTTAATCGAGCTAAACTTCAGTATAAAAGCAATACTTATTTCTTAGAAAGAAATAAACCTGATGTTTAGTAAGATGATTAATGAACATGGCTGTTATGATGTATTTGCTGTTTGAAATCGTGACTTTCCCCTGACCCACCCCCAGCCACTGCCTGAGTGCTGTGGGTCAGGTCAGCAGCAGTGTGGGAGGCACTACTGCACTTCCCCATATTAATTAGTCATTCTTAAAAAAAAATAGAAAAAATAGACTTAAGGAAAGTCAATATGAAGTATTCATTACTACCACCATCACATGAACTTCACATTGTATTTAAATTGTAAAGTGAAAGCCCTCATGTACTTCATGCTCCATTTCAGGCAGATTGGATGGAGTATTTTAAAAATAAGGTCATCAGAAGCTCTCACTTCTCTCATTTCACTCATTTCAAGGCAGGGAACCTGCACAGTCACACCCAAAGAACGTACCTGTTGCAAACCTGTAGTAAAAAATCCCTGACAGTGTTCTCATGCCTGTTACAGAAGTCTCTCTGGAAACTGTTTTTCATCCAGTCCTCAATGTTACACACCTTGACTCTCTCTGAATACCAGCAGATGGATAAGTATTTTAAAGCAGGTCCCAGGAGAAAATTATCCTTCTTTAGTTCCACTGGAGAATGAAAGTTCAACAAAGACCACAGCAGAGGATCCTCGAACACTTCTAGCAACTTGTGACATGTTTTTGCTAAATTCTTCCTGCTGTTTTTGTCCAGGAAGGAGAAGAGGTGCAGGAGGCATTCCCGGTTCAGCTGGGTGATGTGCATGGCAGGGCTGGAAGCAGATGGGGCTGGAGGGGCTGCTGCACATATATGGTCGTGGAATGGGGGTTATTTTTGGCCAACAACTGGTGCAGCAGCTCGGAACAGGGAAGGGAAAGGCAAAGCAACTGCACTCAGCTCGTGTTCCCTTCTGCAAGGGCCTGGAATGGGCTGGGGGACAGCAGGGCCTGCCTGCCATCAAATGCTTCCTTAAAAGGGATTCTTTCCCCTTGGAGTTTAGCACGGCTCCTGGGAGTTCCCCGAGTGGGGATGGGGTGTAGCTACAGCTGCAGGGAGGGCTCTGCCAGCCTTTCCCATTAGGAGCAGCACTTAGTGTTTACAACAACTGGGGCCTTCATTTGTTCATTGATTATTTTGAGGATTTTTCTTCTACTTCATGTTCAGGGACTGTCACACTGGATAATGACCTCTCCAAACATCAGCTAAAGGTTCCCTGGGTGCTTTAAGCACATCCACACCCTCTGCAGCTTCACTTTGCAGCCTCAGAGCTGTGGGCAGTTTCCTGCCCAGTTATTTGGGGCTGGGCTCTGAGCCCATAAACAAAGCTGGCCGTGTCCCCCCTCCTGCAGGAGGGAACGGACAGGACAGACTCCTGGGAACAGCAGGGCTGTGTTTAGCTCCTTGTGGGCTTGTGCTTTAAATAGATGTCTTTTATTAGCTTGAGGTTTACAAGTTGGGTTGGGTTGGTTTTGTAGGTTTAGTTCTGTCACCACAGACACCTTTTTTCCACTTTCTGGTGGAAAAAGGAGATATGGAAATGGTTTTACAAGTGTTTGTTTTCCAGTAGTTGGAGAAACTGGAGCAGAAAGTTGCTCCTGGAAAAAAATAGTGACAGCAAATTGGACTTAAAAGCAATAATAGCCCTTGAATTTTCATGTTTGTAAAACAGTTCTTGAGATTAAGGCATTTTATATCAATCTTCTGCCTGGTGTAAATGCAAGAGAAAACATTTAACAAATGGGTTGACAGAAACAGCAGAACAGCTCGGGAGGGGGGGTTTACAAGTGGCCTGCACATCTGTAATAGCTGGGAGATTGATGTACCTGTGCATGTTAATTAGGAGTGTTTTCATGTATGACAGGGCTGAGTGGGACCCAAGTTCACCTTTTCCATCTTACCCTGAGAGATTCAGCTCTGAGAAATGAGACCTGAAGTGTGTTTGCAGCTGCAGTTCCACCTCCATGTCCTGGGGAAATGCTGGTGTTGTGTCTGCAGTTGGTTTCTCTCTTTAGCATTTTCTGTGTACAGTAAGCTGGGCTGAACAACCGCCAGTCTTTTTGGTTTCACACCCTCTGCCATTTAATCTTCTCCTTGAAATGAGAAGGACATTCCTGCTCAGAGCCAGGCTCTGGACAGTGCCAGGAGTACTTCAAGGAAGGGACAAGGTTTCACATACCAGGCAAGGCAGTCACTGAAAACAGCAGCTTAAATGGTGTCCCAGCAGGTGTTGTTCTTCATTCTCATACCTGCATTTTCAGCTCTTCCAAGAACTTACCTTTATTTGTGAGCAGGTTTGAACAGCTGACACTGCTCAGGATTGTTACACGTACAGGAATATTATTTTTAAAAATATTATTTAAAAAACACCCCAACCAACCCCAGAAGACAACAACCCACCAAGGCAGCAGAGCTGCAGGACAGGGTAAGCAGTGCTGGGCTGGACTCCTGACAGAGTTGGGTGCACCACAATCTGACATAAAAATTAACAGCCCTGAATGGTAGGTCCTGTCTGGGTTTAGATGCTAAGTTGGGTAGAGGTGGTTCATGGTCAGGAACACTTCAGTGGCTTTATTTTGTTTTCCCTGTGTTCAAAGACTGACCCTGAAGTTGTTCTGCAAGCCTGGAGAAGGACAAGAGGAGTTTCACGTTCTAAGGAAAGGAGACACTTTAATGGCACATTTTCCATAAACACACTGTGTGATGAGATATAATTCACATTCAGCCTGGAAACGCTCCAGAAACACACAAGATGAGCACAGTCAGTAAATCCTCACTGAAAATTACACACAAGAGTTTAATGGTAAACAGTTACAACTATGGCACTACAGTACTTGAGGAGATCCTAAAGCACGTTGGAATCGCTGCCAAGGTGCCAGTGACCTCATCAGTAAGACACAGACACAGCAGTAATGAAACATTGTGGGGGAAACTTTGGAACAACCACGTGTTACACTTTCCATTGCTGGACTAAAATCCTTACAAATCCTCCTGCTTTCCATCCAAGTCCACTGTCCCTGCCTGTCTCAGTCCTGCACTCTCCTGCTGCCAGCTGAGAGCTGGACAGTTTGCACTTTGTCTGACATCATAAACCTTGTCTCCAGTTGTAGACGTGGCTAAACAATAACTAACGAAAGGACAACCTTTGATGGGACAAATTTTGGTGAAAAAGATGCAAGTCTCTGAACTGCAGAGAGCAGTTGCTGCTTGCAGAGCAGAGTCACAAGCAAGAAAAAAAATTCTTGCCAGCCTAGTGTGTATTATGATCAGCAGTAAGTAGAAAAGAAACATTTGGCTTAAATGAAAGAGATATCCCCCCCCACGAGCTAGTAGATAAATATAGGATATACAAGTAAGGTTAAAAATGTAATACTAGGCCAGGTGCAGTACATGTTACTGGTTCAGTGCTCAGTTACTTTTTCTTTTTTGACACCACACTGAATAGAATACAGTGGATAAGCAAAGTTCTCCACCAGGAAGAGAAATACTTGTGTTGCCACAACAAACTGTTCATACTGTCCATCTGGGTTTGCAGTGGGAGAAAGTTAAATTAGGAAAGGCTTTGCAGTGTCCTTGTTCCAGCAGAGCAGATGGCTGAGCCCTGGGCAGCTCCTGCTGCCAGGACACGCCTGCTGTGATTGCATTGAGTGCCCAGGCCAGGCAGACAGCCCTGCCCAGCCTGGCTGCTACAGACACAAAAGGGACTGGAAGGAAGTGAGAACAGAACTCTGACCCAAAAAAAAAAAAAAAAAAAAAAAGTAGAAGCTGATTAAAATAAGTGAATGTTGCTGAAGATTACAAATTTAAATTTCTAAGAATACAGAAAGGCACATTTACATCACTGTTCTGCAAGAACACTGCACACACCTGACTACTGCAAGGTAAATTGCTGCTGGCTCACAGCTCCTGCACTTTAGGCTTGGCATTGGCAAAGGAAGGGAAAATGCTAAAGGGCTCCAGGCCAAGCAGCTTGCAGACAAAATGCAGCTCTGGATGGGATCTACACACCTTCCCAGCTGCTGTGAGCAGGGAGGGGGATAACGTGCTCTGATGCTGCTTTTCCTGCCCCACACCCTGCCTGCAAGGGACACGTGGAAGGTGACAAACTATCTACAGTTTAAAGCAGTGAGCAGTTCTGTGTGCTGTTCAGCTTCATTAAAAGACAACATCCTTACATATGTGACTGTGAATCCAATAATACCCCACAGCTTTCACCTGCTGCAGTTCCATATTCATCCACCACTGGCTGTGCTGAATGCTCTCTGCAGTTTTATCTGAAGCCAATTTCTCCCTTTGCTGGTTTAAGATGCTGTGTAAAAGCTCTCCAGAATGCCCCTGTCCCAAAGATGTGGCTGTGATTGGTCTCTGTACAGCCCCTCCACCCTGCCAGGGCTTTCAGAAGCAGGAACTACACTGGGGGAATCACATTTTGAGTTCTTGTGTGTTTTCAGACTCCTCTATTTTATTGCTAACAAAAAACACAGCTAAGAGGGGCTGTTTGAGGGTGTGACTCAATACATTAAGTATATTTTACTCTCATTCCCACCCCTGTGAGATGTGAGGAGTGCCCAGCTCCTTGCTTGGCACAAAGGGCCAGCCAGAAAGGGTGGGCTGAGGGAAGAGACCTGAAATGCAGCACTTGGCAAATGTCACACCTTGTGTCACACTCCTGCCTTGTGCAGTTGTGGTTCTGCTCCCCACCTTTTTTCATCCTGCTGACTTGCACTGTTCAGAAGAGCAGGACAGCTAAAATTCAGGTTGCCTTTTTAGCACAAGTCTTTTCCCCATCACGTGGCTGAGTTTTAGGAACTGCATCCCACTGCCAGTGTCCACCCAGAGACTAAGCCAAGGTGCCACTGCCACAGCTCCACTGCAGGCTTGGCTCACCCCTCCCTCACTGGCTCTGCTGGAAAACCATCCATCTCAACACAATTTAGACAGGTGATTTTAAGAGTTTTTTGAAATTTGAAGTGGGTGGGGGGTAGGGCATACGTGAGGAATACTTGAATTAAATTGCAGTATTAATACAATTGAACCAACTGTTTATTTACAACGATTCCTGAAAGTCAGCAGCCTGAATACACACCAATATAGCAGCAATTACCTGGTCTACTTAATGATGCCACATCTCCTCTCCTCTGCAGACAAAGAATGATTGGTCAGAGGTCACTGTTTAAGTTTCTTGCACGAGGGAAAAGAGGACGTGCAAACAATTCCTTGATTGAAAGAGATTAAATCATATCTAGGTGACAGCACTGAGAACAGCATGAAGTTGTATTGCTCTTCAGAAGCACATTTATCTTGCTCGTAAGGAGGACAGAAAGCTTCTTGGATGTAAATGTGCCTTTAGAAAGTGAGAACTGAAAACATTAATATAAAAAAAGTCAAATAACTATTTCATGAAACTATATATATAAAAATCGAGTTATCACAACTAAAGCAGCAAATCAAAATCTGCTGAGGTTTTCTGGTATAACTAAAAAAAAAAAAAAAAAAAAAAAAAGTTAGTTTGTGTCCAAGTTCAGTAAGTCAAATGCTACCATCGACACAACAAAACTAAAACCCACAAGAGGAAATTGCAAAGTGCACAATGAAATCAATAAGTCTTGGATCAAGTATTTATGGAGAAATGGAAATGTTTTGTCCGGTGGACTCGATAAGTGAGACTGAGAAGGAGGTATCAGAGTTTGTCGGCGCCGGGCCGGGCCTGGCGCTCCACGTAGAACAGGATGTAGGCCTTGGCCTTGCCCACCGTCTCCTCGTCCGTCAGGGTCACAGTGCTGTCGTTGAAGTGGAACCAGCGGCCCTCGTGCGCCGCGTACGCCGTGTAATGGCCAGAGCCCACCCTGCCAGAGAGACAGCGTCACACAAGAGTGGCTAACTCCTGATCCTGACACAGTCAAAGGAGACAGTCCAGACAGACACGTCACAAGGTCACCTGATGCTGCCAGAGAGACACAGTCACACAGAGTACAACCCTGATCCTGACACAGAGCCCACCCTGCCAGAGAGACAGCGTCACACACAGCACAGCCCTGATCCTGACACAGTCACACAGAGCCCACCCTGCCAGAGAGACACGGTCACACAGAGTACAACCCTGATCCTCACACAGAGCCCACCCTGCCAGAGAGACACGGTCACACAGAGTACAACCCTGATCCTACCAGAGACAATGTTACACAGAGCACACCCTGCCACAGAGACGACATCACACAGAGTATAACCCTGATGCTGCCAGAGAGACACAGTCACACAGAGTATAACCCTGATCCTGACACAGGTCACCCGCACAGCACACCTCATGCCAGAGCCCAACCTGCCAGAGACAGCGTACACACCAGACGTCTGCAGAGCACCTGATCCTAACACAAGTCACACATGCAGCACACCCTGCCAGAGAGACACGGTCACACAGAGTACAACCCTGATCCTGACACAGTCACACAGAGTACAACCCTGATCCTCACAGTCACACACAGCACACCCTGCCAGAGAGACAGCGTCACACAGAGTACAACCCTGATCCTCACACACAGCACACCCTGCCAGAGAGACACGGTCACACAGAGTACAACCCTGATCCTCACACACAGCACACCCTGCCAGAGAGACAATGTTACACACAGCACAGCCTGCCAGGGGCACACAGTCACACAGAGTACAACCCTGATCCTCACACAGTCACACAGCACACCCTGCCAGGGGCACACAGTCACACACAGCACCTCACCCCAATCACTGCCTGCCAGGGCTGAGACACTGCCAGGAACCAGGCACTGACAGCCCCCACAGCAGTTGGGAAGGTGCTTCCCTGCTTGAGCTGTGCAGCTCCAAGTTAAGATTTTATATTAAGTAAAATAATCACTTACTGGGAGGAGTTTAAAGGGGTTTTTATATAAAACCCCATAGCTTTTGTGCAAGGCTTCCTGCAACACTGAACTTCACATCTGCTTAGGTACAAATCCAGTCCATTGTCTGTTATTCAAGCATTAGCTATAAAAATCTCACTGCACTCTGTTTTCAGAAATCTTCCCCATTTCAGGCTGGAGACACTCACATTGCCTGAATATAACCAAAAGCAGTCACAACAAACCTATTCCCAGAATATCAAGAAGGAAATTTGTGTCACTACATGGGCTGCCCTTAGCAGTCAAATCCAGGAGTTCAGACCTTTCCTCTAGAGAAAGCAAAGGGAGGGGCTTTCTGCACAGAACTGAGACTTCAATTCAGGTATCAGCAAGGTCTTGATGGGGTTTAATTTCTTTAAGAAAACTCCTTTCACAGCTCACCCCCAGAGAGTGACTGCCTGAACAACAAGGACACGCTTCTCTCAGGATAAACAGCTGTCTTGTCCCTACTCCTGTTATTCTCAACAGAGCTGTCAGGGCTGGGAAAGGTTAAAAAACACCCACCAATTTTACTTTAAAATATGACCAGTAGCCAGCCCTGGGGCAGGACTGAGGGGAGGACAGGTAATAGTGGGTTATTAGTGGGTTAATAAAGTGCTTTCACAGTGCCCATCTCAGCACACACACTCTTCTTTAGCCCAAGTGCACATGCACTTTCTGGTTTACACTAAGAATTTCAACATGAGGCATCACCTAAAAGGCCCCCTGATTCATTCTCTTGGTTCAGGGCTTGCCAGGCTGTTTTCATTCCACCTCACACTCCTAGTCATTAACCCCAAGGAGTGCCCGTGGGCATTCACAGCAGTAACTGTACAGAGCCATCTGAAGGTAATCTAAGTTTAGTTCCATGCCAGTTCATAAATTACTGCTTATTTCCAGCAGTTAAAATCCATTATCCAGGGACAGAAAACCCTTCATTAACTCTGCATGTACCTGAGTGGGAGAAGGTCTGTGCCAGCACAGCTCCAGTACTCACCCTGAGCCATGATGCACCACCACAGCCACGAGGTCATACAGGCAACTTTCTGGGCCACTGTTTTCAGGCTGTGGTTGGAAAAACAGAAAACTCTTCAAATCTCAAGAGCACCTACTGTAATTTGTAATAAATGTAAAATTTGGAACAAAAGTGTGCAGGAAGTGCTGGTGAGCCTCCTTACCTCTAACAAGTAGCATTTCATGTCTAGGCCTCGTAAGGGAAACTCAACATATGTATCCACCTTGTTCCTCAGATATGCTGTCCAGTGAAAGCGTTTCAAGTGTAAGCATAGCACCTGCAGGGCACAGGGAGGGGAAGGCAGTGTCACAGCAAGGGATGGGCTCAGGCCCTGCAGCAGCCTGGCAGGGCCAGGTGCTGGCTGAGCCATTATTTCCCTTGTGCCAAGGTCACACCGTTATTTTTTGTGCCTACACAAACCTTTGGTAGTTTCTGAATCCAGAATTTTTTGGTGGACTTCTGTTTCTTTTTGCATTTGTGACACATGTACAGCTCTGTCTCATCAAGTTCCTCCAGGTCTGTAAAACTGCGAAGACAATCTGAAAAAGAGCAAGGTACAAAAGCACTGAACACAAGCACACCAAGAAACCTGAGTGAAGATGACAGAGCCATTTCTGTAACATGAAATACAACCAATACAGCAACACAGCTGAGCATGGGCTGCACTCACTCTCGTTATATCCACCTGTGCACTAAGGTGTTTGAATACAATGCCATGTTGTAACATGTTCCTGAAAACACCTGTAAGTAGTTTAAGAGGAAAAAAAAAAAAAAGGCATTCACAAAAATCTCCGTTTTTCCAACAAACTTCTGCCCAACATTAAGCACAGCTGGTTTCAAAGAAAGCTGACTGACTTCTTAAAGCAGCATGTTCAACTCTGAAAGGTGGATTGGCTTTAGATATGAAGTGAACAGAGGCAATATTAGTATTTCACAATCTGCAGCCACTACACTGACACATCTGTAGAAATTACCATGCTGTAAAGGGTCAGGAAGAGCTGCTGCCCAAGCTGCTGCACTGCATTTGTTGTTTAACAAGCAGAACCCCCAGAGCCATCATCCCTCCTGTGGGCAAGGGCTCGTGCTGCTGGGAAAGACTGAGATGCATCAGAAATGCTCTGACTGGAGAGAAAAACCTCTGCTGCAAATTCAAGTGACCTCCTGAAGCACTCCCGGGCCCCAGGTCATCAGAGCATGGTCAAGACACGGTGACTGGGGTAAGGCTTTCATGGAAAATTATTCTGGCACCTCCCAGCCCTCTGAGTACACTCTGAGCCCTGGTGATGATTCCCCTGGCCAGGCTCCCTTACCTCGTAGCGTGCACATTGGTCCACTTTCTTGGTTTTTAGAACGTTTGTTTCTGAACTGACTTGGAATATCTAGGGAAAGGTCTGGAAAAGCAAAGATTAAAACAGAAATGAATGAAATGTGAATAAAACAATGCCTGGTCTTTCCAGGCTGAAACTCTGGTTCAGTCCTGTGACATCTACATCTATCCAGCCCCAGATTTGTTTCCTGCCCTCTGTCACGTGGTATTTTGGAAGCGAGAGGCACCTTACCTAGGAATGGGTCAAACTTTCTAGATTCAGTCCCACATATTAGGCAGTTGACTTCATTTTGAAGGATGCCTCCAAAAATGGCTGTGACAACAGTAGATGCTCCATTTCTAGACAAAACCACATCAGAGAGGTACAGTCAGTCCCAGTGTCTGAGCTCAACTTCCCGTGCCTGGTACGTGTTTACACCTCCCACTGCTGGGCTGAGCTGTCTGTCCGTGGGCAGCAGGGACTGGGGGCATCCACCCACAACTGCTCCCTGCAGACATTTAGTGGCTACACAACAGCTATTTAGTGGCTACACAACTTCTGCTTCACCTTGTAGCTAAAGAAAGGGTGAGCTGTGTGTGCTCTGAGCAGATGCTCAGCCTTTTCAGTGGGGCAATATCCCAGTTGGCTGCATTTCTCTGGTGGAGCTGTACCTGGTGATCACACAGGTACAGTATTTTGACACTGTAAATAAAGCTGTATCTGAAATAAAATTTCTTCCCTCCTCGAGGTAGCTCAAGCATATTTTTGGTTCAATCTGACACTCTGTTACAAGTACTTCTGAATTCTTGGGGCACATTTCTGCACTTCACTGCCAGGGGCAGCTCAAGTTGCATTAAGACATGATAAACAACGTGCAATATCATCATCACTGCTCTCTAAGCTTTCACTGCTCTCCTACTTCATTTTTTTAGCAGGTTATGTAATGGGCCTGCTTCTCATAATCCAATTTAAAAAAACCCAAACAAAATTTAAGTTAGGTTATTAAACAACTGACCTTGCTGGTTTGTGCTGGCAGATCTGACACTACAGGCCTGCAGAACCCTGTGCTCCTGTGCACCCCACCTACACCTTTACAATTCATCTGAAAGCTGCCTGAGCAGGAGGAAAAGGCTCCCCAGGCACACTGGTGCACAAGGAGAGAGTGTTTGCAGCACATTTATTACTTTCCTGCAGGTGTTCAAGTGCATGTGGCCTTACTTTGCCCTCAGCAGAACACAGCTGACTCCACCTCACCCTGCCTCTCCACAGCCACTCTCAAGGCAAATTTAGAGTAAACAGGCGAACAAAGTTTAAATTCTCCCTGGATTTTGACATTCAAAATGCTTCCAGTGTTTTCAAACACATGTCAATTCTACAAACATTTTAAGATTCTTCTGTGGGGGTTTTTAAGCATCAGTAACACAACATAAATGCAGTGAAGAGCTCAGTCTGAACTCCAGGCTTTGCCTAATGAAGCACCTACAAAATCCTGCCTCTCTCAGGCCTGCTTCCTCTGTCCCCATCAGCACAGCAAGGGAAAACTCCCTCAAGTTTTATGTAGGGGATCAAGGAGCAAATGTTCAGGCTGAACTGACTTAACGTTCCTTCCTGGAGCAAATTAAAAGGCTTTGTGACAGTTTGAATCCGAGAGCAAACACAGCTGGGACAGAATTCAGACACAACAGTATTTTGAGAGGTACAGAGAGAGAGGAGTGAAAGACAAAAATGACCCCTCTGTTTCAAGGTACACAGTAACATGAAAATCAAAACTATCCAGATAAAAAAGCAGCAGCTGTAACTGTCAAGTGATATGCAAATACAGCATGATCATGTGCAGGACAACTGACTGCAAACTGTGACTGCTTTGCTCAGTCCTTAATCCAGGAGCTTTGTTCCAGTCAAATATCCAAACACTTGGCCATCCTTTTTTTTGCTCCTGTAACATGCAGGGCATCCATCACCCTTATTATTAAAATGCCTTAACAACTTAGCCTGTGTGCTCACTGACACCTCTGGAAACTGCTGATCTGAGACACTGCCCTTTGAAAGGACACAGATCCTGCAGATGCTCACCCTTCATAACCTGCAGCTTCGCAATTCTTAAATTACAGAGGCACCTGTAAAACCCAAAACAAGGAACCCCAACTGGAAAGTTCAGGGCCACCCCACGTACAAAGGCATTGATTAAGGCTTTGAGGAAATTAAAAGCCCCTCCTCACATGCAACATTTGTTGCTTGCAGACAGGCTGGAATTCTCTTGCAGAATTACTGAGCGTGAGACGCCGTTGAAGCCGCCCTGGAGCTCCAGGTGTAGATGGTCCAGAAGGTAACGCATGAACTCGTGGGCATCCTGCTGCTGGTACCCCCTGGGGAGAGAGGGGACAACAGCAACATCATCACAAAACAGCCAGGCTGCTCTGCTGCTGACACAGCACCAGGCTCAGGAAAACCTTTGGCTGTTCACTCCTCCTGAGCAGACTTTACACACGTGATTTGTACCCAGAAGGTTTTCCAAGCAGCCTCTGGAAAGCACAGCAATGTCTGCACAAACTGGTTCTGGTCCTTTGCAGCTCATGCTCTCTGCTCATCTGTTTTTGAGGAGGGGGAAACATTTAGGAATATGCATTTTGGAAGGAAGAGAAAACAACAGGGAGCAGCAGACACCTCCCTTTGCTCAGGAATTGGGTTAACATAAGACACTAAGGCCCAGTCCGAGCCAGCAGCACCCCAGGACTGAATCATGTTAATAAAAGTACAGGATGTAACAGTGACTCCCCCTCCACTTGCTTTGTCACTGACTGCATTTGATCCACATAGTTGATTCATAGGAATCCCACTCACACACTGCACTGTTTCTCCCTGCTCTCAGCGTGCCACCAATTATGGGCAAGAGATTGTATTCTCAAACCTGGTAAGAGTCAAAAGGAAGGTACCACTACATGTATTATTCATGTAGGATTCAGAGTCACATTTGTGAGTGGTTTTCATTCAGCAGCTGATCCCACTCACTCTGGCAGGTCCCAGTGTTTGCTTGCCTGTTTGTTCCCCTCCCACCAAAGGCAGGAATTTGATCTCAGGGTTTGTTTTCCATAAGCACCTTTCAGTAACACTATGAAATCTGAAATAATTAAGACAAGAGCACCCTTTTTTCTATGGTGTAGCCATGCTCAGAATTGCACACCTCCCCTGCATAGCTCACACAATTTCCTGGCAGAGGGAGGTAATGGTGGGGCATTCAGAGCATCTCTGGAGCATTTGGAATGGGGAGGATGGGGCTCCAGCCTCAGATGTGCCCTGTCCTCAGCAGCAACGCTGCTCCACCACCATTATCTCACCACTAACAACACTTATGGAGAACAGAGAAGCCATCAGGGGGAAATGTGCCTTTACAGTTATTTAAGCTAAATCATGCATCAAATTCAACAAACAACTGCTGTTCATTTGCCATTAAGCTGTACACTGAGACAAAGCAGGAAAGCATCCATAGAAACAGTGACAGCTTTGTGCAGCACTGACATAATTATGTGCAAGCCATTGTAGGCCGAGCTACCCAAATCCCTGCAGAGCAGGACTGGCTTTGCCTCCTCCTCTTGTCCTTTCTTTGAGGTTGTTTTATCAGGCCTCCCCTGCCCCTTTTCCCCTTCACTACTCCACCTAAGTACTGGCAGTAATTGTCACACAGGAATGTCTGGGAGAGAAAAACAAATGGGTTTTTTATGCCAGTGCTCAGGGGAGGGAAAAATGCCTGTGATACTCATGGCAGGGCAGCCAGAGCTGGAGAGGAACCAGAGCAGACCCTGGGCAGTGTGAGGCTGATGTGCTCAGGGAAGGACACAGGTACACCCTGTGGAAGTACTGCTAGGGGGTAACAGCAGGAAAATGAAATAAAGCCTTTTCACCCTGTAGGATTACAGTGATGCTTTCTGCCAAACCAGCAGCTTTCAAATAAATCAGTGAGTGTGCATGGAGACCTCACAGCACCCTGAGACACACGGGCAGCACTGCTTAACTTTGACAAGGGAAGGAAAACTGGCCCACAGGAACACTGCTGTGCTTCAGCAGGCCCAAACCAGGACTCACTCTCCCAGAGTCGCACAATAATATTATACATTTGTTGAAACAAAGCAGTGACACCGAATTCTCCAAAGCTGCACGTTAATTCTGCACAGTTTTGAAGTTGCTGAGGTAACACAGGATTTGCTTAGTTTACTGAACACAGATATCTTCAGTAAGCATACAACCAGTCACATTAAACAGCTGAAGATTAAATTTATGGAGAGTCTTTGCTTCAGACATCTTTTAGACAATAAGTTCCTCACAAAAGAGCTCTGAAGTACGTGGCACACTTGCTCTGCAACACGTTGGAAGAAATAAACCTTTGGAATCATTCCACGTGGCTGGCTGTGCTCCTGGTGCATGTATTTATACTTGCACACAAGTATGCTAATTATAGATGGAAAATTCTTTGGATTGGTTAAAAAGCCTAAGTAGAGATTACAGACCTTTAAAAGGACAGGATGATGTGGACAATGCACTGTTTAGAATTAGCTGTGATCTTAAAGCCCTTCAGCAAAAGCACAGTTTCTCTGACAGTCTGTCTGAGCAACAACACTGATCTCCATCCACCTGGAGCAACTCAAGCCCACCTCCAACATTCTTTTTCCCACTGGCAAGAGGACAGGAGATAAACAGGGACAGTCACAGGAAAACAGAGCGGGGCACAGAGGGGCAGGGAGGGCAGCAGCACTCGCAGTCCTCCGAGGCAGCTGAAATGTCTTTGAAACAAATCACATTTCCAGCTGTTTCCTCCCCCTGTCCCCCCACTCCAGGTTTCAAAAGCACATGCCAAAGTGGCTGGTTTGCTGCTAACATGCTACTAGGCTCTTTCCTTCTGGCTTCTCCCAGTCTCCCAAGAAGTGCACAAGGCAGAACTGGAATGGCAGCATCATGAGCTTTTACAAGGTGCAATTAAGCACTGAACAAATTCAGCTCTTTCCCCCTGGACCGTGTGGAAGTGGGGACCTGCTAAGCAGCTGACTCTATTCTCCAATTTAATTTTATGAGTTCCCTTATCCATGAATCATGGACATGCTCCCAGAAAACTGGAAATAAAAAGAGAAGAGGGAGAACCCCAACAAACAGCACTTTTTCTTTTCAAAGCTGTGATAGAACCCACAGTGCTGAAAATTTGCTTGAGGAACTTTAATGAACTGGTTCCTCCCTTACTCTAACAAGAATTATAGTGAAGACTGCAATACAGGGAACCTGGTCATGGACATTAGGGGTGATCTTTGTTTGCCTGTAATGATTTGGTCACTGCTTGCAACTACTGGTGTTAAACTTCCTTGATTCTCATCAGCCAAGTGGAACTAAGTAGGGGTGTGAAGAGCAGAATAAACAGGGCTGTGTTGCTCGGGTTACTCGCTGAGCAGGTGTGGTCACAGCATCTTTTCAGCACTGCTGGAGGTACAACAGAGAACAGAACATCTTTACTACCCGAGAACATGGAGCAACTTACCTTCAGCACAATATATCCTAACAGCTTTCAGTGCTCCTTTGAAAGAGGTTCAGGGGCCAGGACAGGGAGACCTTGGAGAGGAACGATACTTCGATTTACTTTGGTAACCTTTCCCCTTTCTTGTTATTGTCTGCTTTGTCAGTAGGGGCACAAAACGCCTATTTTATGCACAGGATTCTTCTCTCATGGCCCTCATTTCATGTCCAGCTGATAACTACGGTATTTTGAGAGAATCAAGGAAGTTTCAGCCAGTGTGTTTGCATTTAGGCCTGTAGGTGCTGTATCTTTTTTAATCTGACCACATCACTTTCTTATTGCAGCCAAGCTGGGTTCTGTCAACACCCTGCACTTGGCCCTTACTACCAGTCATTATCTTGATTCTTTCACCCTTTGGAGCACTGGCTCAGAGCTACAACTGCTGCTATTCCTTATGTGAGATGTCTGTCCTCCCTGACATCGCTCCATGCAGCCTGTGGCAGAAGGGCAGGAAGAAAAGCAAGCACTACTGATGGGACACAAAACTGTAGATCCAAGCAAAGACCCTTTTCAAAGCAGATGCAGCCCATTTTAGAGCAGGACACCAGCAATACAAGTTTGCAATCAGGAATATTGGGTTTTGGTGTGGTTATTTATTTATTTTGTTCCAAACTTACCTAAAATTTGGCATTATTTTCCAAACGACGTAAAATAAAGACTCCGGACTAAACGCAGTTTGGCTTCCTTGCCATAAAGCACAGAGTGTCTTTCTGAATTCTTCCACCAATGAACTGGAAAGAAAAGAAAAGTTAGTGTTTAATGTGGGTTTGTGTTATAACCCTTAGAGGTTTACTCACTCAGTGGTACCAGTATCAAACATTAGCTTGGTTAAGATTGGAATGACTGGGAAAATACCCTTTCCAGCACCTTCAAAGATTTCATGTCCAAATCCCTACCCATAATGTTGGAGAGACACATGGGTCAGGAAACTACATTTCAGATGGAAATCTCTCTACCTTTTGCCATTTTAGTGCAGACTCTGCTGACATCACTCCTTTAATGCTCTAACAAGCCACGGGTTGTGAATCACTTCTAATTATTTTTTGTAGTAGTAGTAGCAGTATGTTGACTTGCAGTCACATCCCCATGACCATATTTTAGCTGGAATTAAGTAGCACAATGTCTGGAGCACATCCAACCAGCACTTCTGAGCGTTATTAAAGTGCAGTCACACTCCAGAGCTCTGATGTATCTGCCCGCCCTCCCTGCAGCACCAGACCCGGAACAGCAACTGCAAGGGATCCAAGTTTCTTTCTGTGCACAGACAGCGATTTTCCTGTGACCGTGATGCCTGTGAATTGTGCACCATCAGAAGTGTGTGGTGGCTGTGCTGCCCAGGCTGTTTCCTGCCCAGCACACAGAGCTTACACGTTGTTGTCCCCCTGGCTCCTGGTGTGGTAAGTTCGCCGCCCCGCCGTCTTCCCATTCCTCAGCTCCACCGCAGGCAACTCTTTGAAGTAACAGCAGAACTGCTGAATGTTACTAGGAAAAAAAAGGAAATGTGAATGAAATCCTTCGAGGGCAGAGAAAGAAGACAATGTTATGTATTCTGGAGCCTGTTCTTTGAAATGCAGAAACACAACTCCATATAGGATAGTAATCAGGAACAGTTCAAGACACAGGAAATCCTGTAGCAAACACTCCTCTTCTGTAAGTAACTGAGCAGATCTGTAAACATCACTGTCATCCCAGCTACCTAAAACAATTACAGTTCGGCTCTGCTTTGACTAGGAGATACCATGACTGAGGTACCACTTCCTAACAACCCAGACTGCACTGCTGAGGAGGTTTAAACTCCACGTCTGCTGCCACCTCTCAATCCTGACCTGTGCCACCAGGGCCCCAGTGATGGAACACGGCACAGCTGTGCCTCAGCTCCTGCAGGGAACCCTGAGGGGTGCAAAAGAGAGCAGAGACTGCTGAGCTCTGCTGCAGCCCAACTCAGCCTCCCAGGGAGGGAGGCAAAGGACAGCTGCAGAGCAGTTGGGCCTGGCAGCAATGAAATGAAGTCTACCAGCTCAGTCCAACTGTTCTCCCGCCCACTTCCATCAAACCCATCCTCAAAGACTGTCTCTGCTTTCCCAGAGACCATAAACACCACTGTATTTCAACAGCCTGAGCAGTGCAGGGCAGCCTGCTGTTCTGCTGAGGTGATGGCAGGTGTTGCAGACAGGTTCCCTCTGGAATGCTGCATCCCAGGACACCGCAGTACCTGAGGGACTGCAGGATGGCGTTCATGAAACACGTGTTCCCCAGGTTCCGCAGGCCAGTGGCACACAGGGCAGTGGTGCTTCCCTGGAAAGGAGAGCAAGGGAGTTAAGGGCACATCTGGACAATAACCAACTACCCTGAGTGCAGTTCCAAACACAAAGCAACCACCTCACCAGCTCAAACTACCCTGAAGCTCCATCTTGACATGAAACCTGTTTCTTACTCACTCCTGTCAACAGCAAACTACACTACACCTTCCCCTGTGCAAATAAATCTACAATAGGACAACACAGAGTTAATCACAGGCTCTTCCTGCCAAGGATTTGTGTGTATATATGTTCAACATTCACACTCCAATAGATGGCAATTTCCCTGCAGTGCCTTTTAAAAATGAGAACGCCAATCCTCATCCATCTATTCCCACGTCTACCATGCACAGTGTGGCTGCCTCCAGGTTGTTTTTAAGTCACCAGCACTAGTCTGAGTCTCAGTGGGGTTTTGTGGTGGCCAGGAGGGTTTTAAAAAGACAAGACAACAGCATTTATCTGAGAAAGAAACAGTCAAGTTAGACTGTGCAAAGAAAAAGCAATATGTTGAATGAAGAGAAGCAAAATACACATCATTTACAGTCCAGAACAATGTCACCCACAGATGGGCTTGCTTTTTGTCAAATAATCTTCAGGGTGGGCAGGGAGGAGAAATGTGGGCAATGCTGCATTGATGACTCTTCAATCTGCAACACTTGGACACGTTCCATTGCCTACAGAATATCACACTGAAAGCTCCTCACATTTGGGGGCCTTTTTCATTGTTCTCACACAGTTTAAAAGCTGACACTCTTTTAGTAGTTGTAGTTTTATCTCACAGTGCAAACACCACAGTGTCCTCAGCATATTCTTCTCTCACTCCTGCCCAGACTGACCCAGCACACATCAGTGCCCACCTTTTCTAGATAAGGATCCCACGTGCCAACAGTGAAAAGATAATCTGTTCTCACAGGCAATATTCAGCATTAACAAAACTGGGAACACAGCACAAAGAATAAAGGCAGCATTTAGTTCATGCTTTCTAATTCTGTCTTCTCTGCTGCCTAGGATTTTTCTTCAGGTTTTGAGTGACTTGGAGTTTTCCAAACACACAGTAAGAACCCCCCACTGTTTCTCCCAGGCTTCCTCAATCCCTGCAGTACAGGAAGCAGAGAACCCTAAACTGACTGTAGGTACTGCATTTTTTAAAGTAACTAAACCCCTCCAGACTTTGCAAAACAGCAGCTGACTGCTCACATCCCACCCTCTTCTTTCCATTCACACTCCTCTCAGGAGCAGCTTCTCTTTGTTCTCAGTGAATTATTCCCTGGTTGGAGGCAGCTTTTGCTGCAGCTCCCTTTGGTGCCATCGCTGCCCTGAGCCCCAGGAAGATGCAATGAGAAGAAGAAAAGCTTTCAGATTACCCCACAGTTCCTTCTGAAAGCAACTTTTACTAAGCTCTTTAATAAAATCGTTACAATTTTATCCTTTTTCCCAACACTTACTCTTATACCCCCTCCCAAAAGAGTGTATCTGCTTCTCTGCCTTCTGCACTTGAGGGAAAAAAAAATAAAAACGAAACAGAAACGCAGCAGAGTGTCAAACCTGCTTTTGTGTGAAGGGGCTCTTCTGGGTGTGTGGTCAGAAGATGAGAAAGGCAAAGTGCACCAAGCAGAATGTGGGTGACTGTAAGAATTTAAAGTTTAGGCCAACTATGATCCCCAACAGGCTTCTAAAAACCCCTCAAACTCACTGTCCTGAATCTGTCATACTTACATTTACTTTTAATAACTTGCTGTTCAGAGATGAGTTTTCCAATAGTTTTCTTTTCCTATGTCTGTCTGATGTAAAGGCCGAACTGTTGGAAAGTAATTAAAGGAGGTTATTTACTATAAAACCAGAGCATTGTGTGAAATGGGCAGCAGACAATGAGCCTCATGTTTACCACGCTGATTCCATCTGCCATCAGTTGTCACTGACAGCAAACAGCCTCCCAATTGCAACACAAGCCTGAAGAGTGGCCTTAGGAGCAGGCTACTTGTCACCTAAAATATTGATCTTTTCCCTTCATAGAAGAAATAATTCACACAGAATTTTCCATAAAATACTTCTGTCAGAAGAACCATCAGAAAGACAACTTCAAGAAAATCAGGATGAAGTTAAGTTCCCAAAAATCCAAAATACACTTCTGTGTTACAGCCAACTTCTCTCACTCAAATAAACACACGAGGTTATAACATGTGTGTAAAACACTAAGTTACAAGAACAATTACTCTCCTGTACATCCCTGGAAATTTGTGGCCCCTCAATTATTTGAGTTGATGATTTCTCTGTCATTTAATAGTGAAACCAAAACTTGTTCCAAGCTTCAGTTAGGTTGTTTGGGTTGGATTTTTGGGTGGGGTTTTTTTAGTTTGGGGTTTTTTTGTTTGGTTCGTTGTTGTTTTGGTTGGGTTTTTTTTTTAATTAGAAAGCCCTCCAAACATTCAAAAACTGTCATTACACAGAATGGAAGACTCCACAGTATCATTTACCTCCCAAAAAGATCGATCTCCTGGTCATTTCCAAAATACTAATGTGCACTTCTCATTACCCTTTACCATCTCTACATCTCATTATACACCTGAGAAGGCCACCAAAAGATAGTGGAAAAGAATGAAAATATATAATAAAATGATCTTTTGGTTTGCAAACCAAACTATATAATTAATATGAAGGCTACTTCCACCTCTGTTTTCACTTCAATTTCTCTGATAAAAAAACCAAACTTACTCTGTTTTTTCAACAAACCTATTTCTGTTCTGTTCTGAAAAATCTCTCCCATTTAAACGGAAAAGGACAGTAATTATTGTCTAGCTGGGAAGGCAGTTAATTGATATCTAAATTTCTGTTTCATCATGTGCTGCTTCTGCAAGATTTACTGTGTGAGACACAAGACATATGAGATCAGCCAAATCCATTTGTTCTGCACCTCCTGCTTCTCAGTGCTGAAGAGGTTATTTAAACATCCACAGTGTCCCCCCCACACAGCAGCACCAAAACATACATGTTAGGTACATATACACATATAAAACAATAAATACCAGTACTGCAAGTCCACCCAAAGCAGTCTGGATGCAAAGGAGCTACTCACTTTTCCAAGTTCTGTAGGTGCTCCCTGACCTTCTGTACCAGGCCCAGCTTGGTATCGTTGACTACGAAGTCATCACAGCGATAACTGCAAGAAAAACAGTCATGAGGGAGCTTCAAACCACACCAGCCTGAGGGTGGGAAGCACTGAAGTGATCCAGGAGAGATTCTGAGGGGAACTGGGCAGCACAACACCCACACACCCAGCCTGCTTCCCTCCAGGAACTACCCTGTAGCAAAAGAGGGTACAGGCACCACCTTATTGCATATTTTTATTTCCAGTTCAGTTCTTTATTAGCAATCAGAAGCACGAGGCGCTGCCTGCCCCAAGGCAGAACTGCAGCTCAACAAAACCTCACTGTAACCAAAAGCAGCATCACTATCAATTTATCAGAAAAGATCAACTGACACCCAGTAAACAGAATAAAAAAGGTTTTATTGATTTTTTAACTACTTCAACACTGTAAAGCCAGCACTGAAACCTGAAGTGCTCAACAGATACACACACACAACATCCAAGTTTGTGTTATAAGGGAAGATGAACCAAGAGATCGTGGGAGTTTTCCACGAGCTGGGCCAGCAGTCTGTGGCAACTTCCACCTCGTGCTTTAACCACAAACATCAGTGGCTCATTAGTTTTTATACAGACACTCTTATGACAAAACCTCAGGCAATATTTTGAGCTTTTTCAGGGTAAGTGTGCAAAAGTCAGTAACTGAGATGAAAAAGAGAGCAAAGCTGATCCCTCAAAGCAAATGTAAAGTGAAACCAAATCACAACTGCGAGGGTTACAAAAGTCTGCAATCCTGTAACGTTCCACAAGGAACTCGCCTTTCCCAAGCAGCAAAAACGTTCATTATCATTTATTATTCAAACCCTGGGCTTGCAACACGTCATACAGTGCACAAAGGCCAAGGTCAGAGACACTGCTAAAAGGGGAGGGTCTGAAAAACCCCCACACCTTATTTCAGTGCTCTGCTGACACGAGAAGTCCCAGAGCACACACCACGCTGAAGGACAGCACAGCAAACTGTCATTGCTACCAGATGGCATCAACTTCTGCTGCTTTGCTGTATTTTACACCCTTTGCATTTCTTGCCCTCACAAAAAGAGGGAATAGAGGTCCTAGAGCGATAGGAACCCTCACAGAATCAGAGAACGAAGCACAGAATGAAGCACAGAATGGCTTGGGTTGGAAGGGACCTTAAAGATCATCCAGTATTCCATTCCTGGAGGAAAGATGACCTCTGCATACAGGGGTGGGGCAGCAGAGAGGGGAGGGAAAGGAAGGACAAAAATCCCTTAAAACCAAGGCACCAAATGCTGCAGTCAGTGGGGATGCACAGCAAGAGGCCTGAGCAGCTCCCCAGGCCGGTTGGCAGCAGGAGCTGCACATCCCTGGCCCAGCAGGGCAGGGTTAGCCAAGAGCCAGCCCAGCCACCTCATAACCTGCAGCCTGCCACGAGAAACAGCAGGGGAAGAGAAGGGTTAACGCTGCCCCAGCTCTTCTGGAAGCACTGGGACAAAAAGGGAGCAGACACTTGTCATGGTCTCCCTTCCCCACGTCCCACGAAGGGAGCTCAGCTCCCACTGTTTGTCAGCCCTTGCTGTGAAGCATCAAACTGCTGCTTTAAATTCTGGCAGACAACTGAACTTGGTCCTGTGAAGAAAACTACCTTTGGAAATGTTTAATATCAGAGCTGCATCCACGTCTCTTTGGCACAAGAGCAACTCAAATGCAAAATACACCATGGTCGCCTCAGGTTACTCCTGCTGGAGCAGATCCACCCTTGCTTCCTAATTTAATCAAGCTACGGACTCGAGGCACAGCTGGAATCTCCAACACTCCTCGTTGCACAAATCTGCAGTATTGCTGGTGTTAATTCAAACACTGAATTCCTGAGGAGGCTACAGAGTTGAGAAAGTAAAGAAAGGTCCTGCTGCTGAATGGAGGACCATACCATAAAGATCACACTAAGCTTATTTTCACAGGTTAGTTTAGCACCTTCCCCAAGAATAAAACTAAATACATCAGTAAATGTCAGGGTCCTTGCAACAGTGGAAAAGTAATTGGAAGATTTACTTAAAATCAAGACAAGCTTCTTCTATTTGTCTTTTTAATGGGCAGGTTTCTTAAACTACCTCTCTTGCAACACTGAGGATTCAGCACTACTACCTGAAATAACAGCACTGCCATGAATCTATTTTGGATAAACCCAGTAAACACAGTAAGTAGTAGTTTATGTTTCAGTAACTTCAATTTGCTAAGCCCACACACCTTAAGAGGTAAACTGCTGAGCAATTACATCCTATCTGTGAAGCTGCCACTCAAAACAGATGTTCAATTTGTGATCCTCGGGATTATCCCAAAGAAACAACCCCCCTTATTTGCACCCAGCAGTTCTACAACGTGCTTCCAGAGCAACGGGGCAGAACCAATTCTACACCTTGCAGAGAGTCCCTTGTGTGGCCTAGCAGGGTATTTTCCTCTCCACACACTTTCTATTTTTAGTAGCTCTGCTCTCTCCCTTCCCCTGGGCTGCACAACCTCAGCCTGGGCTTGAAGGCCCCCACTGGACCGGAGGAATTACAGGGCAGCAAACAGGAAAAAAGCCCAAGTTTCTTTACTCATAGAAAGTGTCAGCAGAAGTAAACTAAGAACTCAAGTGTTACTGTCTGGATAAAAGGCTTTTTACTCTCTCTTTGATTGTCACTGACTGTAGAATGCAAAATATTAGTACTAAGTAATCTCATTTTCTGATGCTCATGCAGCAGCACAGTAAGTCTGGTTTGTTTTTTAAATAGAAACAGCATCACAAAAAGAAAGACTAGAAAAGAATTTTCTTAACAGTTACTTATTTTTCCATCAGCCAGGAACACACATAACTGTGCCCCTTTAAGGGATAACAAGGAGACTAAATGGGTAAGAAATCTGACCTGCACACTCTGCCTGGGATTAAATGAGCACAGGAAACATATTATGCAAATACATAAACAGGGCAGCCTTTCTTCTTCTGTGCCAACTGTCTGTGCACAGAGAAACAAATTTACAAGAGTCCTCTTTCAGGAGAGCAGGGTTCCTACATGGATCACTTTACCTCTCATGCACAAAAAACCCGCTAGCCCACTGAACACCAGAGTCTGAAGACAAAAAAGATCTGTACTTCTTGTAAACTCTTTGTGTTTGGTACTTCAGAACTGACTGAAAGGCTGATTACCTCCAGAAAGTGGAATTCAGGACTCAGTTTTTCTCAGCAGGGAAGGTCTCGAGTGTAATTTAGTCTGAGGGTTTAGTGTTGCACCCACCAAAGGGACCCAAGAACCAAGAAGAGTGTTATACTGTCATAATGAATAAAATATTAACATTCTCTCAACTTTTCCACTGTGAAGACTGAGCAGGTGAATAGGAAGACACAGAACAAGTATCAGAACCCTCCATAGTTCAAAATATTACCAAATTCATAAATACAATAAAAACTTCCTCTCAGATTAAAAAAAAAATATTAAAAATTAACTACTGTCCCACCAGAATTGCAACACTTTTCCTTTCAAAGCTATGCTGAAAGCTTGTCATCCTGTAAAAGAAAACACATACATCTGGACTTCCACCTGAAATGCAGTTACAGGACTGTATTGGGATATATATATATATATATATACACACACCCCCTATCCCAATAATGTCCTATAACAGGACAGTTACTGGGATCCATAGGATAAAAATGGAACAAGAGTATTCTCCTCAGCTCTGTGCAGTAAACTAAACTGCAAATAAAAATACAAAAGGCAGCACTGCATCAAAACATCTCCATTATTTTTACAGTAGAAGTAAAATTCAACTAAGTCTTAGGATGGTATTTTCCTGACTTTCAAATTATTGAGGCAGCCCACACTGCCAGCATAAAATATTAATCTTCACATACAAGTTTACTTAAAAGGAACATCACTGCATAAACAAGCAGTGCCTACTGCATTCATGTCTGCACTGAAGCTGACAAACAGCATTGCCAAATTCATTCTCCACAGAAGCTCAGGCTTACCCAACTATTTGCTTTAACTGGCAAGCACTATTTCCCTGTCTGAAATGAAGGGGCAGGAGTTGGTTTCAGTGCTTCCTGCTCCACCTGCACACAGCCAAGCTCATTCCAGCTGGGTGCAGCAACAAACTCAGGTGTCTTTCTCTGATTATCACGTGGGGAAAACTGAAATATCCCCAACGAAAGCAAAGAGAAACCACTTCTGAACCTTGCAGAGCTTCACATTCACACAGGAGTTCCAACCTGCTGGTGAATTACCCACCACAGGCACTCCCCAAGGCACAGCTCGCTACCATCAGTTCCAGTTCATCCACAGATGACTCAGCCCTTGACTTTGACTGCAGCAGAGCAATCTCCTGCTGAACTGCCCCACACACTCCAGTGCACTCCCCACTGCGTGGCTACCTGCTCCTCACAAGCACAGTTTGTTGCAGCAGCAGATCCCACAGCCCCCAGTTTGCTGTCAGCATTTCCCAGCGCCCACACTGGGTTTGGGATAAGCTCAGCAGGGTGCTGGGACTTGCTGCTGTTAACTCATCAAGCCTCAGCAAGTTGGGCATGCTATTTGTCATAATGAGACTTCAAACACCCTGCTAAAATTCCTCCCCAGATTCTGACCTTCAGAATGACTGGAAGACAGGTCATACTTCAAACAAAGCAAAAAGCCACAACACAGAACTCAGTTGCTACCAGGATTAATTGGGAAAGTGAAATTAGCTTCCCACAGCTGCTGCAGTGCTGGTAAGCTGGGCATATGTACCATCAGAAAAACTTTCTGCTTTCTGCTGTTCTCACACAGGAGCAGAACAAAAATGGTGGTCGTTTAAATAAAGTGTAAATAAAAGGGTCATTTCCCTGCATCACCAAGCTACTCAAACCCTTCCTCTGTGCTTAACATGCACCACCTGAGCAGCTTTTGAGTTGCTCCCAACAACACTTTTTAAGGTGAAGACCACCTAACTGTGATTTTACTTGCAGGGGATAAAAACATCTGTTACAGATGTATTCCTCATAAACCTGGACAGCCAAACTCCAACAGCCAGATTTTTCCCAGGCCAAGTACACAAAAGACACCCAATTATCTGAACAAAACACCCATCAGCAGAGCCACACACCCAGTAATTGTACAAGGCTGTAACATGGACTTCCCTGAGACTGACTCAATCCTGCACAAGTAACACCCCTGGGAAACCAGGAACTACCTGCAAATGGGGAAGCACCAGTTCTGGTTAAGGGTGAAGAGGATGGAAGATGCTGAAGGCAAAAAAATAAACTTTTAATAAACTCCCAGTCTTTGCTCCCTGGGGAGCAAGGAAGATGGGGAACCCACCATTAGCAGCATGAACATTAAATCTCCCTGAACAGTGCTCATCTTGAGAAACACCCAGGGTGATTCAGCCCAGGCCATCCTGCTGCCTAAAAACACATTTCTGTGCCTCCTCCTTACTCTTGTCAAGGACTTGATGGTGCTTCCCAATAGGATCCATCCCTTTCCCAAACTCACAGGAGCTACACACACAAACACACCTCGAGGTCAGACCTCCTGGGTATTACAGCACTGTCTGAACTGTGACCAGTGAAGGGGTTGTGAAAGGCTCACCGGTCTGATGGAAGGAGGAACTACAACTGAGCAGCTTTTGCAATTAAAAGGTGAGGTCTCAACACACCCCAAAGCAAACAGAAGCAACTGCAAACCACACAGCACTTGTTTCAGAAAGTTCCTGCTGTTTAAGCCAACTGACTGTGGGAGTTTAGCCCCAGCCAGTGCTACAATCCACATGCAAAAGCAGAGTGTTTCCAACAGCCAGGTCTGGAAAACAAGAGATGAAATGCCCAAAAAGGTGTGCAACATAAATAATGTTTCTCAAGAGCCTAAAGCTTTCACTTTCTAGTACAAAAAAAAACCGTTGTCAAATGACAGTGTTTGAAGCCTTACCAGTATGTGCTGTAACTACTGCAGTCCATACACACAGTATGCTGAACTTTCTCTTGTTTTTCTGGTTTCTTGTGATTGCTCATAGGAATCTGTGCATCTTCATAATGCTTTTTGGCGTGGCCATTCACGTATCTAAAAGACACACAGAAAATATCATGCTTTTAAACAGCTAATCGACATTCTTTTAAAAAAAAAGAAGAAAACAGGCATTAAAAAAGGTAATTCACCTTCAATGCAGTTAGTTAATCCAACTGCTTTCCCATATACTCTCCTTGTAGCTCATTTTTAGCCACCCAGCTCTCCTGTTGGTGATTGCTGTGCCTGTGCTGACCCCAAGACCACAGCACACCCCTTGTCAGCCTTCCCATCCTGCAGCAGGATTTAATCTCAGAGTCACCAAAGTTCATGAATCTGAAGGGCTCCAGGGCTTGGGGTTACATAACTGAAGAGGAAATCTAAAATCCTACAGCTCTTTGGCTGACATAATGAGCGTTTTCATGCTCAAGATTGGAAATTAAGCATCTTTAATTAAAAAAAAAGGTACACTACACTGTACCTCACTACAACTGCAAAAAGCCCAAAGTGTGGGCTGAAAATCATTAACACTTAGAAATGCATGGCTGGGCCTCAGGTGAATTCCCCCCTCCCCCTCAGCACAAATAACTGACTCACTGTCTGCTGACTGCACACAAGAAAGGCCATTTGTGGACACTAATAATAGTATTTTTTTAAGATTGGTAACTATTAAAAAATTCCAAACTATTTATTTCACACCATCACATAACGTGAAGCATCTCCCCCTCTCCTGGCTCTCACCAAGTATAAATATATAAAACAAATTAATAAATAGAAGGAAAAAAAAAAGGTTTGGTGCTGAAAACACTGAATAAGAGATTATTAAAACTGTGACACTTACTGCAATCCAGAACAAAGAAACAAAAGCTGGAGTTTAATGAGTGTTAAATGAGATAATGAAAGGTTTCTTGCAAGGAAATTTTTGAATGAACTGCCCCCCCAGCCAAGCATCAAAAGGACAATGATAAAGGTCTGATAAAGTGATTTGCACACTGACTCTTGGTACTCACCTTCCACAATGGACACTTGAACACGTCAGACAGACCCAGGGACTTTTATTGGACCGGCACACTGCAAAAAATTGGGGAAAAAAAATGTCAAATGAATGAAATCTACTCGATTTTAAAATACAACGCAGAAATACCAGAAGGACAAAAACACTGGTAAACTTTAGACATTTTGCTTTGGGTTTTTAATAAGGCACCCACTGAACACAGGAAAAAAACCCAAGCACTTCTGTTTCACAGAACTCGTACCAGAAATCATTTTAAAGAAGGTACTGCAGGAAAGCCTGGGGATCTGATAAGAAGCACAGAATAAATCACTGTGCAAAGCATGACAATCCACACATTTATACAACATTTATACTCCTGAGCTGCAGTGCTCACAAAGAACTTATCCAGAACGACTTGACCCCTCCAGTCACACCCAGGAAGCTGGAAGGTTAAAATGTAGCACCAGTGCTGTGCTCTGCAATCCATCCCAAATCATCCAAAGATGCTATCTGAGATTCTGTCTGCCTTCTAAATCTAGAAAATTTAAAACATGGATGTTTTAAGATAAAGGGTTTAAACAACAACAACAACAAAAAAGGCAATTATTAAAAAAGAGATGAAATGCCATCCCAGGGCAGAGTCATAAAGACAGGATATTCCAATTCCAACCCCTTTCAGATCACTGAAAGAGGGATGCTGTGATATTATACAACACTTAGATCTGAATGAAGTAAAGCTGCGAATCCATGACCACAGAATTGACAGAAATAACATTACACTTTCAAAGACCAAACTAACACCATTAGAAAATAAAAATGAAATGTTAAGTGCACTCCTGCAAGGGAGGAAAACAATAAAACACAACTTTGATTATGCCATAAAGACAAAAGCACGTGGTAACACATAACTTTCTACACACCCTAAATAACTGTTATATAACAGAAGTAGTTTCTTTATCAAATTAAATGGCAATTAAAAAGTAAGGAAGGGGTCGATCTTTAATCAGGAGAGAACTGACCAGCTTTTACTTAGAAGAGCTAATATATTCTCCACCATCAGGTTTCACATTTTATATTAAAATCATATAAAAAAATAGCTATGCTGCTTCTTAAACAATTATTTTCTGGATTTGAATTTATTATTGCAAATAGTTGTTGTATTTAAACACATAGGTCAAAGGAATGCTTAAAACTTAGAATTTTACCATGCTCTGTGGAAAAAAAGCACATTCTCCAGGACTATTTTTTGAAGTACCTATTTTAAACTCTCTGGTAAAGGCTCCAGAGTTGCCTCTCTCAGCTGCTTTACTTGAGAAGGACATTTTCCCACACGCCTCAGCTCTCTGGTGCTGGTTCTCCAAACCCCAATTTTCCTCTTTCTAAAGCAGGGGGGTTCCCACAGCTGTGACCACAATCCTGCAGCAGGTTGAGGGCAGCCAGGTAGAGCTGTTTGGATTGACATTTCGTGGCAGGAATGTGGAAGAAGTTCGTCTAAGCTGACCAAAACGTTACCGAGAAAACCAACATTTGGCACCGGCAAACAGAAGGGAAAGGGAAGCCCTTAAATAGCCTAAAAGGGGCTGAAGGAACCACCAAGGCCAACCTGATACTGGCTTGGATTCCACAAACTGGAAGGTGAAATATTAACCAGGAGGAAACAGGAGCCAAAAGCATTCGTGCACTTAAACACAGATGGAGTGAACAAAGCACTACCCTGCACTTCCCCTGCCAGGAACACAAACCAGCCTTCCTTGCATTAAAATCCCAGCAGGAATCTCCCACTTGGAAGTGACATTTTTGCTTTCACTACGGTACCAGCTGTGGATGGAACTGGTACTCAAGCAGTAGGTCAAAGGATTATGATGGAAACAATTACTCTTACTTTCCACCCCATACCAGACAATTACAAATCCACGTTCAGGTACTTTAAATACCTGCACTGCTTGTTTGTCAAGTGTTAAATTATATTGAAATAGTGTTCATCCTGCAGGTTTAAGTGCTCTGTACAAAGCCAGCAAACAAGTCCAACTCTGCACAAGGCCAAAAAACTAGCATCCACTAAAATTTTCCATCTTTCATATCAGGGGATAGGAAAAGATGGCTCATTTGTTTACTTTAACTTTTAGGAAGAACTCTGCTCCAATTGCATCACATTAGAAATGTGTAGTTTATCTTCTGCACAAACATCTCCACCCACAAACTCCAGTAACATTGAAGTGACTCCCACCAAGATTAAACACAGAATCCAGTGCTGAATTTGTGACCTACAATTGCTCAGTTCTGAGAGCACCTCACTGTTGGTTTTTCAGAACGTTGCAGGATGTTGCACTCAGTGTTTCTCTGAGGTTGGCACCTTCATTAAACCTGGCTCTCTAAGTATTCCTCAGTTCAGATCCTGGAGCAGTCACCATCTGTTCCTTAATAAATTAAACCAGACTGGAAGTTTCAGGCATCAGTCAGGACTCTCTCTAGACAGGCACGACTGAATGCACAGCAAAAGCAGTCACTGCTCTGAACTGCTTATAATCTAAATTAAAGGGAGACAGTTTAGCTTCATCTGTACAGGAACTGCACGTTATCCCTTTCAGATGTGGTACTGACATGCAGGCACGAGGCTTAAAAGCAGACCAAGAGCAAGGGAAGAGAGATCCACAGCAAATCCCCCCTCAGTTCAGAGAACACCACACAGTCCTGGAAGTTGGCCCTTAAAACAGACTGGGGTGTTGTGGACAGGTCAGACAGTGGCACTAAATCATGAGGACAGACTCTCCAGCCCATCTGTATGGGGATGAATGCATTGCCTCAATGATCAGTATTCCAGCTGGGATTCGGGGTGGGATGTGATTGATGCGGTACATGCAGGAAGATCAATTGCTGACATGGCCTAAAATTCGACTCGACACGTAGAAAGACTAAATTACAAAAAAAAAAAAAAAAGAAAAAGAAAAAGGCTCTGATGTATCTGGAGAGCTAAATGTGGGTGTGATGGGTGGTGCTGGTGGTGCTGCTCCCCCACAGGCCGAGCACAGCTCCCACTCACACAGCCCGTGTCGATGCTGCTGCTGTGGGAGGGGACCCGCCTTGGCTCGGGCACCTCCCCCCCAGTCCCTCCACCGCCTCCCCGCTTGAAAAGTCCTCCCTCCCTCCCTGTCCTCTCTCGCACTGCTGTGTTCAGAGCACAGGCAGATGAAAGCCAGGCATTTTTCGACGTCCGCCTTTTCCAGGGCGGAATTCTGATTGCATAATCCAAATACCGAGCTGAAGCCAGCGAGGGACGGGAATTCCATGCAGATGGAGCTGCTCACGTTGTTCCCTGACAGACGTTCCTCAGCCCTAGGAATGTGCTGGGCACTTCAATGACCTACTTATTCTAGGAAAAGTTGTTCCCCTGGCCGTGTTCTATATTCTTGCTCAGTTGTTGCTTAGCATGTCTGAGTTGTATCTGGTTTTCCATGGTAAATGGAGACGGTTCGCTGCAACCCTCTGGGACATTTCTTCCATGAGACTGAGCAGTGCTTTTGTTTAGTACCAGGAGGAGGAAACCACCTGTACAGGTACAAATGAGCACAAATAGTAGCTGATGTCTGTAAGTTCACACACAAACACTACATGACTTGTTTTCTCACTAAAAACTTCAGCTGTCTGGTTTTGGCTGAAAGGTAACAGAAGAAATACCCCGGGTGTTTTTAGCTGTGAGGGTTGTTTGTTTATTTCTTTAAATGGAGTCTTAATTAAATTCTTTTACATTTGAATGTGATTTGAGTCACATTGACACTTCCTACTGTAGAGACTTTTATTCACTGTGAAAGAAGGGTTTTTGCTAAACATTTTGGTATGTTTAGCAGTGCTTACCAGGAAACTTGCTTCCTCATAAATTCTCATGCTTTGATTCAAATGTAATTTAAATTTCATATTTTCTTATCTTTACTTACGTGTGTGTTTGCTGATTTTGAAGCAAAACATTTTAAGTAGTAGAATTAAAAACCTTTTCCCCTTCTGTCTGGTTTCATTTTGACTAGAATGCTGTTTTTCTAAAATAGGCAACAAAGATGTCTAACAAATGAAACTTATGTAAAATATTCTTAAACAGAGTATTTTTTTCATAATGTCAAAGAGTTTAGAACAAATTTAGCACACTGAACCCTTTGCAATGGGGCTGAGAGTAGGACAGAAAGAACTAATTTATGTGAAATGAAGTCTGGAAACGAATGGGAGTACTCTTTAAAACCAGGCAGTAAAACCAGCTGGCTTGGAAGTGTCATGATTTTCCCATCAGGTTTAATTGAGACACTTCATTTTTTTGATTCCTCCAGAATGTAAACATACAGCAGGGTCAGATAATAGTAAAGCTTGTGTGTATGCAGGGACTGCCTTTTTAAATGCACAAGTGAATGTGAAGTCAAAAACTGGGAACATGATCTGTGTTAATAAATATGTGCTTAGTACTGAGTGTGGAGCCCCTGGTGGTCTAGGGGGTAAAGGCGCCGCGCTATCACCGCGGAGACCCGGGTTCGATTCCCGGTCAGGGCCACTCCCGGGCAGGTGGGGCTCGTTAGCCCTTAAAGGCAACCCACCTACGTCCTAAGGACCTCGCTGCCACCGTCCAAGCTCGCTTGGCCCCGGCAGATGAACCTTAGGATTAAAGGGTGGGCTCAGTTCCGCGCACACTGTGTCTCACCTAAAAAATCCAATGCGCAGGCTGGAAGGTGTAAAGACCTTCCCCGGATCTTCGCTCGCGAAGACTGGCCATTATTATTATTTATTATAGTACTGAGTAACTTCTATTGCCTGTTGTGGACTCTGACATGCTGCTGGTAAATATACTGATGTACCTTGGGGAACCCCTGTGTTCTTCAGGGCCTCTTTGATTCTGGCAATACGGTGTTTTTAATGGCAGGGTGAATTCTGCAGATCCCCACACACCCTGTGATCTTGAGTGATGTTCTGTGATGAGGAGGGCTTTGCCTGGAGAAGCTGTTGGATTGTACGTGGTTTATAACTGAGTTCATGGCCAGAAGGAAGGAGTGCACATGGCTCTGTAATGTGATTTGCTCAGTTCACTTTGGTGGAAAATCCTCTCTTCCAGTCTCAGTTCTAACAGCTGTGTGGACTCCAGAGTGCCTGGCTGTTCCCTTGCTGTGGAGAACACTTGGAGCAGCAGCTTTCTCAGGTGACCCTCAGACACCTGCTGCCTGTTGTATATTGGATCTGGGCAGCTTTAGGTGTTCAATTCACAGCTGGTTTGGCAAGTCACCTTACAAGTTTTTTGTCCTGGGATATCCCACCCTTTCCTGCAGTTAAAATGATTTTTAAAGGGCTAAGGTGTATGGGATAGTAGGATCAGTTCTGATCAATGCTGATAAAATTCTTGTGGTAAATTATTTAATCTCTGCTTCTCTGTTTTTCAGTCTGTGAAATGGAAGTGGGCTCTCTGTAATATTGCTGCATCTCCTTCTGAGAGCAAAGTCCAGGTTGTTTTGAGAGGGCCGTGGGGACCGTTTGAGATAGTTTAGTGACCCTAATCTTGTTTCCATTCTTCGTGCTTTTTACAGAAGGACCACAGTATCGCTCCTAGTATATTTTGTGGCCCTTTCTGTAGTGATGCAATGAAGGGCTATTTTAAGCCCCTGCTGTAGGCACAGTGCTGCAGCAGCTCTGGCCTAGGGGCACTGGTGCTGCCGTGCTGGCACAGCCACCAACCAGCCTGCATCGACGTGGTGCTGTGCCTGTGCCAGCCCTCGGGTGGACACTGCAGCGGGCAGGTTTCTGAGCTTGGCTGCCTTTCAGAACCTGCTTCCTGTTGGTCTCCTCCTCTTCCTGCTGCTTTTCTCCACTGGCAGTTTCTCAGCTCTGCAGTTGCTGTTTGACAAACCCCAGCATCCCGCGGTTGGTTGCAGGTTTTTACATCGCTGGAACTTCCCTGCAGTGGGGAAGGTGCACGCAGCGCCAGCAGCGTTCCTGCTTCCCAAGGCTGCATGTGGAGTCAGTGTTCAGTAAGAAAAAAAACCCAGTCAAGCTTGAGAAAGACATATTTGGGTGAGCATGAGGGTGGGATGGGGTGGGGACCCTGTGGTGATGAGCCATACCTTGCTCATTCTGCTTGGTATAACTCAGAGTTGCTGGGTGATTTCCAGGAAGGGGAAGCTGGAGGCACAACTCTGAATGATCCCACAGTTCTGAATGAGTCTGGACTAGGGGGATTTGCTCTCCTGGGGATGGACTGATGCTCCATTTACGGAGGGATTTGTAGGCTGTGTAACAAATGAGTGTTCAGATTCCACTCAGAGAAATCACTCTGTAAAACACAGTATTTCCCCTTCCTATTATATGGTGAAAAATAGTGTTTCTAAGCTTCTGAATAAGATGACTTTGATGCAAAGTGGCAAATGACACTGCCTCAGAGAAGACTGTGGCAGTGCAGATTTGCTCTCCCTTTCCTTTTGACGGGTCAGTATGATCCTCACCCCACCACTTGAAGCAATTCTAAAAATACAGCCAGATGAGGCACTTGGAGACTCCTTCTGCAGTCACTTTGTGCAAGCTGAGAAAGCAGCCAGTGTTCCTTGGCCTGTGGACCACTAAATACGGTG